CCATGCATTGCTCAGCAGGGTTTCCTGGCTATCGGCCATGTTCACGAACTAAAGGCATATCTATGGGACGCCTATTGGATAGATTAGATAATATTTTAACAAACAAAAAAACAACAGAATTGGATTTTGTCTCACAATCAGTTTTGAGATCATTTTCATTGAAGGAGTCTGGCACATAGGGATCCTGATTGCTTTGGTTCTCCCCCTCTGAGATACATTGCCAAAAAAAACAAAAAACTATATATCTTTCTGGCTGGCTGCAAAAACACATCATATTTATCATATTGTTTGTAGACACCCATTTATGGCAAAAAGGGTTCAAGTACCAAGCTATGTATCCAGTTGGTTGACCCAATTTATCCAAACATAAATCCTGATTTCTCATGCTTAAATCACCCATGTATCCACCACTTTCCATGGTTCAACCACCGGTGATGAGCCGAACGGAAGAGATCCTGTTGATGCGGCCATGCTTCACACACGCCGTGACCGGGTCGGGGATGGTCCCGCTTGACTTTCCAATTGCTGAAGCTCCCGATACAGCCTGAGCAACGGCGCAACGGCGATTGTGGTCTCGTCACCGGGGGAAAACCCAAAGTGCCAATTCAATGAAGGAATGGGATTGTGGCATATTGTGGCTTCTCACCGGGTATGTTCTTTTTCAACGCTACTATTAGGAGATGGGAGCGACCTTGGCCAGGAATCGATACCTTGATCAAACAAATTTGGAACATGCCCAGTTGAAGAACAAGAAAACATATCTGGCCATATCTGGCTGAGGGTGTTGTGTTTCTGGCAGCAAGTTCAATTCCGGCCGAAGGCGGTGCTATTGCAGAGAGCATCTAGCAACAGGTGTAGTTTGGAATATTTCTGCTGGGGACGCGGCAGGCGGGCGGGTCCCCAGCAGAAATTGCTTGAGCGAGCTCATGGACTCGCTAAGCCGTGTCATCTTGATCTTTTCTTCGCTAATCGAATGTCGAGCACTCATCGTGGCGAATGAAAACCCAGGCCTCTTAGGCGGCCATTTTCTGTTCCGAGGTACCCTCTGGTAAACTAACGTAACTATGGAAAATCACCATTTTCAATGGGAAAATCCACTATAAATGGTGATTTTCCATAGTTATGTTAGTTTACCAGAGGGTAATCATGAAGATGATCGGAATCCACTCCAAAGCGAAGGACCAGAACCAGGGTGATTTGTTGCTCCACCATGCTCCACCTGGCGACCTGTTTGCCAAGGACAGATGCCCAAGGCCCAAGCATTGAATCTCGGAGTTGAGCCATGACAGAAATCAATTTCGTAATGGCTCCAGACCTGAATATGTAAAAAACGCTTGACGTACAACATTGTTTCAAGCTTGATTAGACTTCACCATTTTCCTGGCCAAGGTCAATGTATATACAGTATTTCTAGTGACCCCGCCACTCAAAAAATGACAGTCTCCTTCTCGAGAAATAGAACGTTTCAATGTCCCGCTATAGCTGCACTATTTCTTGATATCGTCAAAGTGACTTCCCTATTTCCGGCACCTCCCGAATTGTTGTCTCCATATGGAACTGGCAGAGGTAAAAACAACCACGCAAATGGTGAAATGTTCGGATTGCGGGTGTTTATGGGTTTTTGGGATAAATTTCAACCAAGTTTGATCCTGTCTTCTGCATTAAATAGCAACACCAAGATGCTCATCTAGCGCCATTCTTCGGCGAAGATCATTGCTTTTGGTCACTGCAGCTGGTCTTAAAGGTTCTGCCTCAGAAGTGGAACCCCCACACGCTGTCGGGTTGAATCAAAGTTCAACTAAAAGACTGGAGATTGGAAGTTTTGATTTGCATCTTCGATACCAACACACCTTGATCCAAGAGGGAGAGGATTAAGCAGCTGCTGGTGAGTAGTGAGGGTATAACGGTATACGGTATACTGTATAACCAACAACTATCGTGCGTGTATGTATTTATAGCTTTACATATATATATATATATATGGTATATACACACGTATACGGTACTTCTCATGTGGGCATGGAACACGACCTCTTATACCATCCACCATATTTCGGGCAAGTGAACATGGTCGGGTGGCCGGTTATGCCAGGAGTGCAGCCCAGTCTCACAGCCTTGTAATTTACTGGAGCCCAAACATGACAATCTTCAAAAAATGTCTTTCAAATGAGCTTTTAAACTTAACTTTCAACAGAAGCCGGTGCTGGTTTCCATCTTCACCTAAAATGGCGCCAAGATTCTGATCGTGCCCGTGCCGTGCTCTTGCCTCAGTATCTGGCTTTCATAGGGATATAAAGCAAATGTAACAAACGATAGACCATTTCAATCCATTTCATGTGGATATAATGGGGATATGAATGGGATATAATGGGGATATAACAAACCAACTCGATATGATGAATTTGAGTGTGTCGGAAAAAATGGGTACATAAATGTAGCCTTTAAATGCCACCTGTAACGGGGAACATGATGATTCACCAGTGGATCTATAGGGGTAGCCTATTTTCAAACAAACACACATGTTGCAAGGGACCGATTTTCCCGGTAAGATCAGGAAAAGTCCAAAACACGTGCTGCATCTTGACAAATGTGTCGCGGACATGGATCATATGTATAAAATCAATACACATATACCAAATACATATGTAGATAGTAGATATATATAAATTATTATAAATTATATATAATTATATATATATATACAGTAAATGCAACATATGCACCTCTTCTCGTCTGAATGTAATGTAGATTTGTTTCATTAAAAAAAAAGCTTGACTTTTTTCCCCTGTTTATATTTGGATGGATGGATACCGTAAGACGCACAGGTTTCCTGCAGGAAATCGTTGCAGGCGGGATGAAACCTATCCTTTGAAACCACTGGTTGATGAAGCCCTACTTGCACGTGCATTTCCTTTTGAGTGGGTATGTGACTATCAAATACCTCCCTTTAAAACAATGGTTTAGTATTGGATATATTCATGTCGGGTCCGACATTCCGACATGGGGGGAAATTTGAATCTTAGTGGGATGGGATTATATATACATATAGTCTCAACTTATGCGGTGAAAAATCTATTTAAATCCAACATGTGAAATCAGCACAGCTCTATGCATCCATCCAACATTGTGAAAGCACATGGTGGTTTCCTGAAATAGGGGTACCCCAAGTCATCCATTTTAATGGGATTTTCCATTATAAACCAACCATTTTTGGATATTCCCTATGGAAACCCACACATGAACATAGTGTGTTGCCATTTTAGGGCCACCCAGGCGACGTCCGGCAACGCCGAGTCCAAGGAGCTCTCAAGCGATCTGGAGCTTCGCACTTTTTTTTCAGACTTTCCTATAGAAATCACAGACAATACACCCTGCAAAATGGTGGGGGGCAGTAGAACCCTTTTTAAAAAAATGGGTGTTGAAGGTCGGCCGGTCGGCCAGTTGGAACACTGGCCGATCCACGCTGACCATGGGACCATGGGATATGATGGCATGTGATGTGATGTGATGTACCTTAACTCAACAGTACGCAATGGTATGATACGATATGGTATGGGTTTGTATTATATGAATCATAAGATGGTATGGTATGTAACTGTATGTAAATGGCCTAGCCCCATCTTCGATTTGGGTAACTCGACGGCTAGGGTGATGGCATTCCTCAACAATAAAGCACAACTCCGGCGGATAAACATGGATAAACTATAAATAAATCACTATATAATTAAGCTGAAAGGTGTGGCCATATGATTCCCCTTAATCATACTTGTTACTTGTATAATCATCATTCCCGTTAAATCCAATTACATCTCCATGATGCCACCTTTGGTGTTGGTTAAGTCACCATTATTAGTTGATCATTCCAACAAAATCCAACAAACATAGTGATATAATGGAGATACATATAGTCGAAATATGATTCTTGGGTGTTTGCATTCAGTCATCATTGTTGATCCTTCTTTCCATAACTATTGCGAAACCTCAACAATTCAAACCTCAACAAACAAAGAAAAAACGGTCCTTGGAGCTGCTGACTCAAAGCTGCCTGCGGCGCGGCTTTTGGCTGAAAATAGCGAGCAAGGGGTCCTTGTGATAACGAAAATGGTGATCTGACCATTGGAAACATTAGATTTCTTGGCATCTTAAACTGATTTATGATAGGTTGATGAGTTTTTAAACTTCAATTTCATTATTATAATACTTAAAACATCTCGAAACTATAGAATTCATGGATGTTCATGGGCTTAAACAAAAACCAACATTCACAACACAACGGCCCGTATTCGGGAAGTCTTCCGAGCTCCACCGGTCTGGGCTCTCCAGTGTTCGCAATAAAAGGCCAGCAAACATGGGGACAATTACCCATGAAAATTACTAAATTTCTGTTGAGACGTGGAAAATCCAACATTTTCAAGTTGCCCGTTTCAACCCTGCACAACTTTGGTGAAATGGGGGTCATACCAAAAAGGGCTTCACATGCAGGTTAAACCCCTAAATATATATATATATACATACATATTCAATATAGAATTTAGAATTATTCGTTTGCTAAAAAAATATTGCTTGTTGGTCCGGTCAAAGCTCAATTTTTATTGAACAACATGTATTCTTGTTGATTTATTTGTTGCTCAACGCTCCATGTTTGTTGGCTCCATAAGTTTAATGATTCTCTGAATGCTGGGCGATTTTGGGATAGCTCCCCTGCTCCCTAGTAACCAGCATTGCAGTGACGTCGCATTGAGGTCGTTACGATCCAAATATGTTTGTGGCTTACACCTCCATATTCAGGGTTGCCCCCACCCCACACACAAGAGAGGGAAACTGGGTAAATATGGAGTTCAAGCTACGAATTTTCCCCCCTTGGGGGCTATCAGTTTCCTTTAATGCCTTGGAGCAATCCTGTTGGAACTGCACAACCATGTTTATTTCCCTACAATTTCCTACAGGGGTTTGTTAAACTGTTTGTTGCTTCAACAGCCACGTATTTTTCAAACAGAATAGCCATAGGGGCCCCCGTTCGTTCAACGCGCATCAACGCGCATCAATGCGCATCAACGCGCCTGCGACTGCACCACCCTCTGCACAACTTCACTCAGTTGAAGCACCTGATGCCTCGATCCCAGCTCGACGAACGATGATTTGAGCATTGACAATAGGGATTGCTCACGGGATTTCATGGGATTCAAAAAGAATCTAATAGACAGTTTATGGGATTTACTGGGACATGGGAATTTCATGGGATTTTAAGGAGATTTCATGGAATCTATGATGGTTAGTTAGCCTCTGGCAATTTCTTACATGGCAACTCTCCATTTACTGGGGAAATCATCGAAGCAATGGGCAATGTACCCCACCTTGTAACCTTGGATCATGTACAAATGATGTTTATCACAGCTTTATGCTAGTATTTGGCATGGTTTAAATGGTTTAAACAAAACAGAGTATACTGTCAACCAATCTAGTAGCTATCCAAAATTTAAGATTTCGTTGACAGAGTTTGGCATCTTAGACTTCTGTCAACCCAGGATTTCACTAGCAAACAGCTACTGAAATCACCAGTGGGTAGCCTCCTGATGTTTCATCAGCCAGGGTTTATTATCTGGGGGTTGACATTATCCTGATTTGTCTTTAGTTGGTTACTAGCTGAGCACGTATTAACTCCTTACTTTCCTCCAATTCTGGCCCACTCTACTTAGATCTTTTGGACCAACAAAAATCTGCATGCAAACCAACAAATCATGAACGTCTTTTCAAAAAAATGTACCAACCAATCTCCCCAAATGGGGGCCATTTTTAGAGAGGCGGAGTGAAGAAAGGGCTCACCTCAAGATACACCCTTCACCAATCGGCCTACTCTTTCACCGGACATGGACATGCGGATGTTCTACTGCCATAGTTGGCGAACGGGAACCTGTCCTGGCTCAATTTTGCATGGGAAGTTAGTTAAATTTTGTGGCTACATGTCGCATAAAAACAATGCCTTGTAGGGTGTTCAAATTCCTCAATCTGCATGATTCTCATCAGTTTCCCAAGTCAAAAGACCATAAAATTCGGCATCCCGCAAGGTTCGACAGCTCATTAGTGGTTTCAACACCCAGCCATCTGCCAGCCACTGGGGATCACCATCCCTTCCCTTTTCTATCATTTTCTATGGTTGAGAATAAAGACATGAAAGGAACTATATAGTTATCACGAAAACTCCATGTTCTTCTCCGTGTAACTCCATGTTCTTCTCCACTTTTTAGACCAGCTAGTTCATCCATGAATATCTCATGAATACCTCATTAGTATAAGATATCCCTACTGAAATTCCCATGAAAATTCCCATTGTACATCCAACATATTGAAAGCCCATTGGATCCATTGGTAGCCCATTTTCAGCCCATTTTCATTCCCAGCTTCCCTAGGCGTGATGTCTGATCCAAGGAGTCACTGTCCTTGGCACCCCGTTTTTTGGCTGGACAAATGGGCAGATTATGGACTTCAGGAAACATGTAAGATTGTTATCATTCCATAAATGGCGAAATAACCATCATAAATGGTGATATAATAAGCATTGAGCATCTCTTGAAACATCACCACATTTCACCACGACCTTACAAATAACTCACACATACCTTAAGATTATGGAACGTGATTGACTCAGGAGAGCTACCACCGTGAGTAAGCACCTTTTGAAACTTGACCATGAGCTGAAAAATCCATGACCTGAAAAATCAATGACCCACAAATACTAAAACAACAAACATGCGTGTTCTATATGGCCATCCCCGGGAAAAACTAGACGACGGATGGCCCGAGAGCGTAGAGGAGCATAGTGAGAGGTATAAGTATGAAGATCTAGTAGCATGAAACGTAAATATAGAAATATACGATGATGCGTGGAATGAGAAGACATGGCGCAGACGTGTTGTGAAAAGTAGGTACGTATAAAGAAATTGAAGGAGAAAGAAAAGAAGGATGAAACGAAGGAGACACAGGAAGAAGAAATGGGACATACATTTTTGCATACAAGCGTGCTGATACATACAAACATGCCTCACACACAACTGTGATTTTACACACAGATTGCTTACCGAACCAACACTTTTACACACAATCGCTTTTACGTACAAAAACACATATGCTTTTACACAAACGCTTTTACACAGAGACTCTTTTACACACAAACACTTTTATACACAAACACGTCTACACGCAAACCCTTTTACACACAACCCCTTTTACACACAAACACTTTTACACACAACCCTTTTACACAGAAACACTTTCACACACAGACGCTTTTACACACCCTTTCGCACGCAAACACTTTTACACACAAACACTTTTACACACAGACGCTTTTACACAGAGAGACTTTTACACAGAGACGCAAAAAATTGGGTTACAGATGTATTTGTATGCTAAAGAAAAGGAAATGCTGCAGATGATCAGCAGAAAGAAGATAGAGATGATATGTGAAGATTCTAAGCTGAAACCTGACGAGGTGCATAGGAAGAGTTTTATATGCAAACATTTTTACACGCACACACTTTTACTCTACGCACACACACACATGCTTTTATACACAAATGCTTTCACAAACGGACACGCACACAGACGCGCACCTCTATACGACAAGCAAACACACGCACACAGTGACCGACTCATTCGGTCGCTCTGGCCTCTGCCATCATGTCTCGGAATGCCACTTCCAACCTTTGCTACTGCTTGCGTAATGCTAATTCAACCCTTAAAAAGCGCCACGGATGAAGCAATCAACGGCTTTATCTTGCTGGCATCGTTTCAAAAGATTGCACTGTGCACGAGCAAGTCTCAGACAGACCCGATTGACTTGTTCTGTACTATCTCATGCCTGCATACAGCTAATTGGTGATCAAAAGGAAGCATGTGCATCAACAAGTCTCAAACAGTTTCGGTTGACTTGTCTGCTGCAGTGTCACACTCAAATGCCAAAAAAGAAATGCCACACAAACACTTTTACACACAGTCCTTTTACACACAAACACTTTTACACACAAACGCTTTTACACACAAACGCTTTTACACACAAACCCTTTCACGCACAATCCCTTTTTACACACACACAATCGCCTTTACCCACAAGAATGTTTACACACAAATAACGCTTGTGCACAGAAACACTTCTAGACACAAACGCTTTTACACACCAACGCTTCTAAACACTTCTAGATACTTCTAGACACAAACGCCTTTACACACCAACGCTTCTACAAACGCGTTTGCACGCAAACGCTTTTACACACCAATTCTTTTACACACAAACACTTTTACACACAATCCTTTTACCCACAAACACTTTTACACACAAACGTTTTACCCCCAAACCCCTTCGCCCTCACCGACTTCTACTCTCGAACCTCGTTTCGTGCGAAAGAGTTGCCTCGGACACCGTGCAATCGCAATTTTACCTCAGTTCTTGACACTCGAACCTCATTTCGTGCATTCGTGCGAAAGGGTTGCCGCAGAGGATGTAAAATCGCAATCTTGCTTCAGTTTTTGCCTTAAGAAAGAAAAGAAAAAGAAGGAGAGAGACCGTGACAGAGGGCAAGAGAGAGAGAGAGAGAGACAGAGAGAGAGAGAGAGAGAGACAGAGAGAGAGAGAGAGACAGAGAGACAGAGAGAGAGAGAGAGAGAGACAGAGAGACAGAGAGACAGAGAGACAGAGAGACAGAGGGACAGAGAGACAGAGAGAGAGAGAGAGAGAGAGAGAGAGGGAGAGACAGAGAGAGAGAGAGAGAGGGAGGGAGGGAGGGAGGGAGAGAGGGAGAGAGAAGGAGAGAGAGAAGATGTGAAGATGTGAAGATGAGAAGATGAGAAGATGTGATGAAGATGTGAACATATGAAGATGTATAGCAAACCTCCACCTTTCACCCTTCGCTCAGACGCTCTCGGGAAACTTGAACATGAAGAGGTTTATTCAACAACAATGGACAAATTGCAAATCAAAATGGTGAATTCAACCAAAGCACATCAACATAAAATATATCTTAAGTAAAGTGCAATTTTTCTTGGTTTAAATCCTACCAGTCGAAACTCAAGACTTACCATTACAGAAAATCGTGGAGAGATCTTGGAGTGGGAGGCAAATAATCAGTCTTTTTAAAAACATGCGACCAAAGAAACGACCATCCATACAATTAGCCTGTGGCAAATTGTTACACAAATGGGGAAAAATAATTGGTAAATGATCGATTTCAATCTCAATTTTTCATGGCTATTTTAGAGCGTAGTCGCGGTGCATTTCATTTTTGTACCCTATATGTGAAGATATCTATTTTTCATGCAGGGAGTGTGGTCGGATCATCGCACTTAGCAACTAGTTAACAACCCTGGCTAGCAAGTACTCTAAGGGTGTGTCGTCCTATTTAGAAATGGGTATAACCGCAGTTCCTAACCATTTCCTAAGCGGGGTGGGGTGGTCCTCCGAGCGTTGGGGTCACGATGAATTTCCAAATGGTAACTCATCCTAAAATACAGGTACTGCACCATACAAACCATATTTTGGGGGTATATATCCCCTTACATAGCCCTTACATAGCCCTTTCATAGGTCTTATTTTATGGTAGGTACCTCCAATTTCTTCGGTCGTGCTGCTGGCAGCCTTTGGAATTCCGCAGTTGGGCCGTCAGAGCCTGCAAGTTGGATGCGACATGGGACGTTTACAAAGTGGGCCCCCGTTTACGATAGCTAAGTTGGTGAACATAACCCAACAATTTATGGTTCATAATAACTATAACTATAATTATAATATAGATGTAGTTATGTATATATATATAAGATTAACAATATTCATGAGATCTATATAGTCATAAACCAACTTAAAGTTGGGGGGCCGCATTTTGACATGTTGTTATCATCTACAAATCCATGTTGTCTATCCTACCTGGTCCTGCCGGACACCTACCAAACTTTGGGACATGGGTTTTGGCATCCCCTTCAAATCCTATGAAATCCACCTAAAATGTCATTAAATCCCCTTCAAATACCCCTTTAATGGGTTTAAAGTCATTAAAACCATGGTAAAACCATTAAAAAACATGTTTCAACACATTAAACCCATTAAAACCCATGGTTTTACCGGTTACCACGCCTGCTGCACGCCCAGCGAGCTCAGCCTGCAGGGCCACCATCTGCGCGCGCATTGCGTCGAGGCTGGCCTCATGGGATATATGGATCGTTATAGCTGGATCACATTAATATATAACCTATATATATATATTATAGCTGGATAACAATGATAACATATGTGGGAGATAGGGATACCGGGATACCTATAGAAACTGCTGGTTTTTCAGAGCTAGATTGTATTTAGGCTATATATATATATCACAAAAAGGTATCCGTAAACATGAGATTTCACCAACAAAAGAGGAAACATTGGGGATGTAAGCTGGGTATGATGGGATAATCATTGCAAAATACCCAGCTGGGAAATCCCTGGAGAAAGTGACGGGTTTTCCAGCAAGCCATTGGGTTATTACCGATAGCTATTCCTAGACTTCCATAGGCAGTGGAACTATCCCAAAATAGGTGTAAGTATCCCACAATGATCCAACATGCCCTTTTATATGTCAGTGAATTATGATGCATTTTATTCCAGATATAAAAAATTGTTGGTGAAGAGTTATATCATGTTATATCTTAGTGAATTAGCGTTAAATCCCAGTAAAATCCTTGGCTGATGGCAAATATATCCCCAAAGTCAGCCAGATACATCATCCACATCTGTTATTGTTGGGATATCTCACCACCATCACCTACAAGTTCAATGAAAATTACCCTTTGGTAAACTAACATAACTATGGAAAATCACCATTTTTACTGGGTAAATCAACTATAAATGATTCCATTTTCAATAGCTTTTTGATGCTTTTTGTATGTTTACCAGAGGGTTTCCCCCCACTATGGAAACCCACGGTTTCAACCAACCCCCATGACCGGCCTCAGTTTCCTGCTTCAAGTTCTCCACCCGTCTCTCGGCGGAGGAGGCCTGCCGCGCGACGTCTTCCACTTTCTTCCTGGGACGGGTCGGACCGAGCTAAGCTCGGACGGGGCCGGGAGGTCCAAGGGTTGGTGGTTTCAACATGATTTGAATATGCTGAATCAGGGCTTAATCCCCGAAGCTGTCAATGGAAATCATATAGTGGGTGGAAAATATGAATGAATATTACACACAAGGAATGAAATCATGAAATTGATAATCAAACTAGCCAGGATTAATCTACCCAGCTGCAATCACTGGGGCCTGGATGTGGTGCACGATCGGTCTTCCACTTGCCACTTGCGAGACTTTCATGGGGTTGCAACTGCCATGATTTCTACTTAGATCCCCCAAGCTTCTGCCTTACATCTCTAAAACCCCAGGAACAACTGGAACAACCCTACTATTGTCACCAAAATCCAAGTTGCACATGAAACTTTTCTTGATATATAATCAGTTCTAAAATTTTATGTGGAACAACTATATTTCCACATATATGAACCTGGTTTTCCACATTGTCCACTGATATATAAAACTCAACTCTATTCTCAAAATTAAAAAGTAATCACGAGGTTGTCCTTATTTTCCTGGTGAAACCATGTGAAACCACCGAACATCACAGCCGCTTTTCAAAACGTGTCCGTAGAGAATCCGCATGTTTTCCCATATTTTTCAATGGAAATCAGAAATCACCTAAATCACCAATAAAACCCTATATTTTTCCAGGGAAAAGCACAATTTCTTGCAGTTTTTCATGTTTTTCTAGGGAAACTCTGGGAAACTCCCACCGTTTTCCCCCGTTGGCCGTTGCCGGGGCGCTGCGAGGTCTCCGCGGCGCCCAGGGCATCGTCGGCCAGGCGCACGCAGGTGGCCTGCGCCTCCCGGATAACCAGCGTGGCCTCGTCTTTGGAGAGCTCCTTTGGAGAGCACGAAGGGTGGTGGGAACATATGGTTTAATGGTAATTTAATGGCTTAACAATGGTGAATAATGGGATGATATGGTAAGCCCTCTGGTAATTTTATGGTAAACCCTCTGGTAATTTAACATAGCTATTGAAAATGGCCATAGAAATAGTTGATTTACTGTACCTATTTCTATCATGGTGATTGCCAGGGAAAACTAGAGAAATAACAGGCAAACAACATCAAACATAGGGTTTCTTAATGGTGAATATCAAATGAACATGGATTAACATGCAACCTTCCAAAATAGATCATAATAGTGATTTGTGATAGTGATTGCATCTGAGATGCGCTAGTTTGATTTTCAGGACCTGATCCTGAACGCTAAAAAAGACATCGATTGTTTCTCAGCTCCCCTAACAGTTAAATTTCTGCTCGTTTCGTATAAATTACGTAAAATTCTTTTCTTCCCCACCAAAAAAAACTCAAAGTCTAAGGGAAACGGCTAACCTTTTTTTATTTCTATCAACATCTGCCGTCGGGGCAATGCTCTCCTGAGAAGCTTGCAGCCGCTCCTGCCACGCCCCCAGGCCCCCAGGCCCCGTGCGAAGCTGACGAGAAATGCCCACCGAAGCCACTTGGGATTTTACGCAATTTGGGTCACCACCGAATGTGGCAAATGCGTTGTTTAAGCATGTTTAAACTAAGAAACCTGACTTTTTTTTTAAAAAAAACAACAAATATGATCGAATCATTCTGGTTTCATCAACTTCGGGAGTTTCCTTCCTTCCCCCCCACAAATCTGCGTGCGCCCCAACTCATCCAACTCTAGCTGGTAGCCCCAGCCCTCTGAAAATACATGTGCTTATCAATTTGGATCATCTTTCCATTTCTTGAATTGAAGATCAAACATATTTCAAGCCACCAACCAGAAGTCACAGCATGAACCCTTAGTGTAATCATTAACCACGATTATTATAAAAAACAATTATTAACCATGGCTATCAACTATTACTAGGCATTATTAACAGTTGTTCGCCATGATTCACGACCATTGAGCCAGTATTCACCCGTTCTTACTCAACGCTAAGTATCCAAAACCGTGATAACGATGTACTTTCCCAAGACCTTTGTGAGAATTCTTGGTGGATTGACCTATTTGTTTCTGCATTTTCCTCAAAACAGGCAGTTTCTGCATGTCCACCATGGGATTCTTGCACTGAATTGAGCACAAGAAATGTCTGCCCTCCCCCCTATCTCCAGCCATGTGCTGCAACCCCTACATTTTTTTGAATTGTGCTTAGACCCCCTTATTCCTCCTGACTATGATAGATATTTGAGTTATCAAAAGAACGCATGACAAAAGATAATTGGGTGTGTCCAAACTTGCAAAATATGTTTCTTCCGATGTCTTCTGATTGGCCTTTTTTGCTCTGACTCCTACCGGAATCTTGGCCGGTATTACCATGGGAATTGGCATCATAAAAAAAACTAGTCAAATTTTGGTGAATTAATTGGGGTTGTCGGAACATAGAACTTTAGATCGCACACAAAAAACATACTTGCATGGCAGAGGGTCCGTGCGTGAAATTAGCATGAAATTGCGTGAAAATCCGTAATGGGGAAGTTTCCTATGCAAGATTTGTGAAATTTGTGAGTCCGCAATTTTTTATTTGATTTTCACCCCCGATCCATTACCAATCCAATCCTTCGTACAGGAATAATGAAGGATTTTGCGTATTTAAGCCCGGGATTACCAGACCTTTTTGTGGGCGTTCGTTTTTCAGAAAATATGTTCTAAACAAACAAATAGTTGTGTACCTGAGTTCAGGGCCCGCTCCGAAAATACACAAAAACGATCGTGGTTGGGAAGTTTCCAGTAAAAACGTTCCTTTTTGAAAAACATATTATGCCCCTTGTAGTTTTGCCTGTCAAGATCCATCTGATTGCTTATTTTTTTCATGAATTTTAACTTTTAACTAAGGAATTGCAAGGCGGACTCATGTTGGCAACCTGAAGCTCAATCAAAATTCCACATGCTACCTGAAACTTCCATATACATTAAAAAATACATCAGAAAGTCAGCGGATAACTAAGGGTTACTGGTGGGACAACCAGCATACTTGCGCAGGAAAAAGCAAAAGTGTGCTTGTCGGAGAAGTGCCTATGTACTTTGGGGCAAAGTACGCTGGTATTAAGGATTCAGATCCTAAGGGCAAGGAATATGAGTAATCATTATTAGGAATTATCAAGGTTAGTGTTAGCCACTGACTATTCACCGATTATTCGCCATTAATGGCCATTACCCCATTCTTCACCACTACTAACCCACTATGTAACCATCGTATAAACCATTATTAACCCATTATCCACCCACTATAGACCCATTAAAAACCCATTACTCACCATTATGAAGTATTATATATTCACTATTTCACTATTCTAAACATCTATTAACCCAATTTAACACATGACTCGTGCTTTCGCATTGAAACCACTGCGGGACTTGGCTCCTCCATGCGCTCCCGGGTGGTGCGCAGCCGTTCGTCCAAGCGCTGCGCCAGCTCTTGCACCTTGGTCGACGCGCAGCTGGCGACATTCATAGAGCAATTCTGGGATATGTTGGGATATTTTGGGCAGTTTTGGGATATTTGGGGATAGTTTCTGGTATATTCTGGGATGTACATGTTTTCTTTGAGTTATATAATGATTAACAAAGCCTGAAACAAGGCCGTGTTGGGATATTTTCGGATAGTTTGCCTAATCCAATTCCCATCATGCTAATGACATCGCGACGTGAGGTCGCTCGATGGACCAAATTGCCAACTGTGGTGCTACCCTATGGTAACTTAGCATAGCTATTGAAAATCATGATGTTCAACAAGCAAATCATCGAACTAAATGGTAATTGTTCATAGCTATGGCTATATATAGCTATGTTCCATTGCCAGAGGGCAGTTGTAGACTTGAATCAAATATTGAATGTAAACTATTCCTTTTAGGGAGCAATGATTTATTTTGAGCCATACCAGCCACACCAAAATGGTAGATGGAAAGCTCCAACTATGGATTTTTCAGGTTGCAAAGAGAGAGGACATGGCCACGACATGGGAATTTCTTTGCCCTTTTCCCAATCACATTGGAATCTTACTGGGTATAACTGGAAGTTTCCAATCCTCGCCTGCAAAGATTTGCCCTTAAAATGACCCAATCACTGAAGTACAGTGTACACCATACATGGAGATACATGAAGCGGGACTTAGCAATGGGATCCCATCAAAAGAAGTAGATCACTAGTCCGCCCCGGGGAAAGGTGAACGGCGAGTTCCAAAACATGTGGGTTGGCCAATCTTCCGCCATGATAATCGCTTTTGTAGAAGGCTTTCTTGCAACCTTGCTTGACCACCAAATGTTAGTGGGGCCACTCATTAGACGTCCCAACATGTTTTCAACAATTTTGCTAGGATGTTGTGGGTGATGTTTACATCTTCATTTCAGCTTCTGTCAATTCTACTGAGACCTGCCGAGTGTCTGATAAGTTCAGCTCGTTCCGAAGTCTTGACATGTCCTCAGCCACGGTGCGAGTTTGGTGGCAAGATCCCTGCAGGCTCAGGGAAACAGACTATAGTGGCCGGCGGCCATACAGCAATCCGTAAGGGAGCAAACAAGGACTTGTGCACCATAAAGCATCTCTGCCAAATCTTCGTTCTTTGTTAAATACATCCCATGTTTACCGGGCACACTACAAATTATGGCAAATCGTCCTTTTCCACCGCTCCAACCCCAAATTGCCACTAACACTGGCTTATGCCAAAAATACACATTTTTTAAAAACCACAGTAATTTCCGAAAAACAACATCACGAACAAATCATCGAAACCCGTGTTTCCCCACATTTTTAACCGCCCAAATGGAGGATCAGCGGAGTGAGCATTTGCAAAATCACAATGTTGAAGTTCGGTAAATCATCATTTTTATCATCCATTTCTATGGGCCATGGTTTCCATAGCATCATGTTTAAGTTCGATAAGTCATCAAAATAATATATTTCTATGGGTCATGGCTTCCAGTTCGCTAACTGTTATATAAATAGCCAGAGGATAAATCCATGAATATTCCCATAATCTCCTAGTTCATAATTCACAAACTATGGTTCTATCATCACAACAAATTGTTATGTAGCAATATAGTCCTACCTTGTTGAAAAAACAACATGCCATGGTTATATCACTATTAAATCCCTCTGTGGATGGTTGCGAAATCCTGCGCCACAAAAAGGATGGTTGAAATCCTATAAATGATGGGATAAACCATCGATTTCAACTGGCGCAGGATTTCGCAACCATCCACAGTAGGACTATTAAAATACTATGGTTCTATAATCACAACAAAGGTGACATATAGTCCTTTGTTTCAAAATATTGCCATGGTTATATCACAACAAAAAATCCCTGGATGGTTTCTTGTGTATGGTTTATGGATGGTTCATGGTTTATGGTTTACTAACTATGGTCTATGCTAGATATATCATGATATATAAGCATGGTTTATAACTGGGGTATATATGCATATAAATATTAACCATGGTTTACTCACTATGCTTTACTATACTATTCCTATGGTTTTTATAAAGCAACAAACATCACCGTGGCAGCGGAGTCTCCGCCTCCGCCGCAGTGCGGCTGTCGCTCAAGGCCTGTTCAAGTCGCAGGCCGCGGGATTCGAGGCCTGGGACCACCACGAGGGACGTGGGGATTGGTTTTTAGGGGATTTCTATGGGGAAATCATGGATTAATAGAGGTGAACCATGACTTAATCATGGTGAATAAGGGTTAATTGAATAATGGTTGATAATGGTTAGTAGTAATAATGGTTAATAATGGTGGATAATTTAATATTGGTTGATAATGGTTAATAATGGTGAATAGTGGCTTAATAATGGTGATTTGTTTTTTTCATGGCTTAATAGTGGTGAATTTAATTGGTGAATTGTTTTTAATGGTGAATCATTGGGAAAGATGGATCATGGATAATGATGGATAGAAACAAAGGTTTGTTTATCAGACATTCTTACCGCCAAAGGTAAATACTTCATGGCATATGATGGGATATGGGGACATGCTGGGGATACACAGGTTGATAGATATACTTAACGGTGATTCATTGATATTGGATACTCAATGGAACTTACTGACATATTTAATGGGGCTTACTCTATGGGAATCTAACGTAGCAATGGGAAATGCCCGAAGTAAATGAAAGTTTATAGCTAGGAAAATCATCGAACTAACCGAGAGTTTTCCAGCAAGCGATGGAGCTGATTACCCGAGGGCAGAAAAATAGGTGGATAAATATACGACTGGGATATTGGTATAATATGGGACATCTGGGACATATTTAAATAGTTTTATATTATAATATATATATATATGTACCCATGTCTATCCATATGCAACCGATCTTGTATATGTAGAACAAATAATGTGTCTATGTATGTGTATATGTAAATATGTACATAAGCATTATATATATCTGTATATCTGTATAAAGGTATATCTGTAATATGTAACATGTGTACTGTAAATGTATATGTGTAATTATGTGTATCCCAAACGGTCCGCTGGCACAAAACCATGTGCAATTATGTGTATCCCAAACGGTCCGCTGGCCCAAAAACACTTGCATTGTTTATCAATGTTTATCAAATGTGCGTGTCCAATCCAGACCTACCAAACGATTCTTGGAATGGTTTAACGGGAATATCGGGGAAAATTACTTGAAGAATACGTACAACCGTATAAATGAAATCAAATGAACCAACCACCTGCTGGGAATTGAACAACTATTGTTGGATTGGTTGAAGGGAAAGCACAACTGTGGGAAAGCAGTGTCCTGGGTGAATTATGAAGAATTCACTGACCTGGAATATCATTTTTTTGGGGTAGTTATCCCTACTAAGCGTCAATCCAGTGAGGCCGCTGTGAGGTCATTATAATTTACCCAGATTGCTTCATTTTTCCACCAAAGGGAATTGTTTCCCTGATATAAATCCTCTGCATTCATAGCTGGGACATGGGTATGGACTGCATGGGTCAAAAATGGTCAACATACTAAAACTGCCAAAATCTCTGGGCTGTTAAATCTTCACCGCACCAGTTCAGTCAATTCTTTGGATGATATAATGCTCGGATTTGATTTCCAGTATCATCGATGGAATCAAGAATGCTCCCCTACCTGGCCAATGAATATACATGATTGTCTAGTTAGATACTGGTGTAGGATTATACATGATATACCTAGTTGATAGTATGATATAGACGAACCATGTTTGTCTAGTTTTTAAGCTGGTGTCACCAAAAACCTTCGTCTGGGAAGCAGTGGGAACACCCCGTTAAGAGTCAGAACTTGCAGTTTCAAAGGCAAGCGCAGCACAGGCTTCACATGTGTTCCCAGTCAGGATTGTGGAAGGAACGTTCAAGCAGTCAAACACCATCCCTAGATCAGAAACCCCTAATTTCTCCATAGATCGATCTATATTCATATACAACATACACCCTCAAAAGTTCGAATTTTCACATCGGCCCCAACTGAAACAAAGCCACACCGGCCCACACCCCAAACCAGTCTTAGGACTTCCAAGTTGGGGAGGTTTGCGGTTTGCGGGCGAGATACGATGCACATGTTCAAATGCTTCGTGCCGTTCACTTTGGCCGACCTCCACTGTGCTTTCGACGCGATGCTGGGCCCGGGTGAAAGATGTGAAAAAAGCTGCTGAAATCCCACCATTTTTTTTGTTTCCTGCTTTGAAAATCTCCATGTCCGGTGACATCCCATGTTTTTTTAAGATCTAAAAACGACTGCCCCAAGAAAAAAACCCTCAACAGCTGCGCCGCCTCCAGCTGCTGAAGAGTCTGAGCCTAGAGGAGTGACTTAATTTATCCATAGGACATCACATAATGACATTCAATATTCACTACAAATAGTATGGAGATATTGAATACATAGGAGTACTTGGAATATTACATATTCAATATTACTCTGTAATCACTATAGGAGTACTTGGAATTAAAAAAAGTGCTTGACTATACTTGTACGTAAAAGTATGTAGTATTTTTTGCATATGGAATTGCATTCGTACCAGCAGTATAAGTAATATATGTACAAACAAATAGTAATAAGTGCACTTAAATGAATGTAACACCTAAGAGTACGTACGTCGGAAAAGCTATCATAGCTCACAAACCTGAAATAAGGCTACATTGGGATACTTACTTCTATTTATTCTGATGTTGCAGTGAGGTCGTTATAATTTATCCAGTATAGTATATAAGTAGTAGAACAGTACTATACATGTATGTATATAAATAGATACATAAAATTTATATGATTATCTGTATGGATGATACCTTCTATAGCTACTGTAGATACCCCGCTCCACTCTGCAACTTGTTTCAACAAAAACGCTGCCAAACACTTCACCAGTCCCAGCTCGGCTGGTCGACACCTTGACCAATTCCGAGCTCCTGTGCGATCTGTCGAATCTCTCCTGCGACCAGGATGCGGTATCCCAGTGATGTGGTCGTCAGATTCTGTGTGTTTTTGAAGTGCAACAAATTCAACCAAAAGTAGCTAAAAACACAATCGTACCATAAAATAGCACAGTAAATTAGACCCTTTCTATCTTTTTGGGATGTACTGTGCAGGGTTTGGTGCACACCTTCATGCAGCAGCCCATGAATTGGAACTTGGGGGAGCAAGTTCTGCGTACAGAATTGAGCGGAAATAGTTTGTGCATCACAATTTTTTAGGCAGCCGGCTATGCATGCAGGTGCCCGGATTACTGCCACACATCCATATCAGCTATTCGAGGGATCTCAAAATGGAGGCGAAAATCATCCACAATTACTGTAGCCAGTCTTAATGTTTTAATCCCTTGAAGAGTTGAATGTGGATTAATCACGATTAATCCCTGTTTTAGATTGTTTTAGTACACTCCATGGCCTTTTGGGGTGCCTCATGGTTTCCCCCATTTTTTCCCACCTTTCCGGAGCAGCCGGGGTCCTCAAGATCGTCCAGTCGACCTCTCATCAAGCGAACCTCGTCATGGAGGCTTTCCACCTCCAAATAGGCTGCGTTGAAGCGCTCCTTGGGGCAAAACATTAGGCTGGTTCAGGCTCAGAAACATCCAGAAACTATATTTCTGGAGGTGGTCAATTGAGATCGCTGCGTCAAGATGGAGCAGATGGAAGTACAGTAAAACATGGTAACATAGTAACACTTCATGTTCCTTTTGAATCCGCAACAACAAAATGATAAACATGTCACAGGCTACTTCTGGAAGCTCCCCCACAGGATGTTGAGATACTGATGGGCATGTGCTGATCAACCTTTCCGTTTGTCCTAAGCATGGGCCATGGGGAACAAGATGAAAGACCTACTCCAGCCTTGTTTGAAAACCACCTGTTGCTTTGACAGGCATGGCTCTTGTTGTTTGTGTCAAAGAGATGTTAAACATACCCCATCTACCCACTATCTAAATATAAACATCATGTATACTATATATCTACAGTTATATGCATGTAGACGCTTTATACGTATATATATATATAAAATTGTATCATATCTCTTGGCCACCATGTTAGCTGATTATATTGCTACATTCCACATGATTATGGGCCAAATTCAGGGTCCATAGATCCTGGAACATTTCACCCGAGAACCCGGTAGCGGCGCGGCCAAGGCGCCACATGATTTTCCAGGTAGGCCTTGGCACCAGTGGAGCAATTTGACTTAGCGGACTTAGCGGTTTTTTTTCCAGCAAAATTTCAAACATTCAGACAACAAAAAAAAGTACAGCTAGCAGCTATGCGCTCCATCCGTTTCTGAGTATGCTGATCAGTGCAAGAAGGCTCCCACACAGAGCTAGCTGTGGGCTTGTTTATAATAACATTGTCTAAGTCTACCGTAGATATATCATGTACGTATCAAGAACTGAATCCTTCGCCAAATTCATTGAACTTACCCAGCTGTCAATCTATTTCATATGTTACCCTCCAGTAAACTAACATAACAATGGAAAATCTTCATTTTTACTAGGTAAGTCATCGATAAAACACAAATTTCAATAGCTATGTAACAAGTAACTGGTGGGATCCGATGGGTATATACCCATGTTATCCCAGCATGGTCAATCTTCAATAGTCAATAGCCCATACAAAAATTGTCTGCTGGTTGGCTGCTTATTTTCATTCATTTTTTTTGAAAATTTAGAGAAAGAAAACCACGGAATTCAACTACCCACCCTGTCGGTTGGGGATGGGTAATGCCGCCCCGGAAGGCATCCAAAGTGGCAATGTAGGCGTTTCGGTCGGTGAGCAGCTTCTTCCGATCCTACTTGGCAGGGAATTTACGGCCCGCCCAAAGGTGATGGCTAAGTTGGTTTAGCTTCACCCTGTAAGAACTTGTAAAAAAACAATCATAAACCACAGGGAAACTGAAGTTATGTTCACCAACTTAGCTAACATTCAGGGGGTATAAAACTCCGGCTTTTTAACATAGTCATATGGAAAATCATATGTGGGTTTAGAGTAAAATAGTCAGAAATCATCTATAAACGGGTCATTTTCCATAGCAAACTGTGAAATTACTGGAGGGCAAAGCTCATAAATTTTGCAACTAAATAGTGGGTAATTTCACCGGTAAAAACTCTGGTTTTTCATGGGCTTTTGATGGACCGACTATGGGATATAAAGAGAACATATGGGAATACAACAACATAAAACAACCAATGAATATCAACGATGTGGATCATTTTGGTGAACCATCAACATCTTTTTTTTTTTGGTGTGTGTGTAAAGATGACCAACAATATCATATGTGTGTGTCTGAAAATAGTGATTCACTTCCAAGTGGCCATTTGAATAGGAATCATTGGTGGCTTAACCAGTTGATGAAATGGGACACACATGACCCCCACAACGGAAGGCTATAGCTGAAACTAGGTTTCATACGGTCCTGACAGTCCTGACATGATTTTTTTTACGTATTCCTTCACAACCCCCTCCCCATGTTGTAACAATGCCCGAAGGGCCCTTTTCGGGTAAACAGGTGCCCTTAACTGTCTCGCAGGTTGGTTCTTCCCAGGGCCAAAGCATTCCAAGCAACAAAAAATCCCTGGGAAACAGTATGATATTCTTACTTCCATGAAAGATGTCATTGAAGTTTTCATTTTGCTTCAGTATTTGGATTTCTTTTGGATTTTTGGAAAGATGTCCTTTTCTGTTCGTTTTCGCCTTTTTCGATTCCCGGCGGATTTCCCGTTGGAAAATCCATGCAGCTGCTGCAGAGCATCATTGCTCTTGGATTCTCCCAGTTGCGCTCGTCGCGCGTAGCCCGCAGCGTATCCCTCCATTTTCTGCAGTGCCCTGACCCACACAAAGGCAGAGCGGCTTGGATGTTTTGGATAAGGAAATTGTTACACCGGCATAATGCGCATATATTGTCATATCTCTCTCTCTCTATATATATATATGTAAATATTAGACCATAATATAGATGAGAACCACATAAGTAAATAAGTAAATAGATAAACAAATAAATAAGCAACAATTAAAAACATGTGCGTACATGTTATCATATATTATATAATTATATATATATGTAGTTATATAAAAAAATGGTTCCCCAACAAGATTGCTCCGCACCATATGGTTTGCAAATCAGCAGGAAAATGATCTGCCATGACCAGGATGTCCATTATGGGCGCCACCAATTCCCTCAGCATTGCTGAAGCAACGCATCAGGGTTTCCAAAAAATATGGGTACCCCAAATGGATTGTTTATATATATAATGGAAAATCATATGAACATGGATGGTAGCATGGGGTAGCCCCATTTTATGAAGCCTCCACAATTGCCCATCATCATTAACAACAACACTAGCAACAAGAAAAAGAATAAGACCAACAACAGCAACATAATCACTCGTCATTATCACATTCTGCAACATATTCACATATTATGTATATATATATATATTCATCTTGATCATCATTGATCCTTTTCCTCATCATCACCCTCGAAAACATCCAATGTGCACCTTGGCAAAACTTCTCAGCCCGCCATGAAATAAGGACAAAGCATGTCCCGAAGGAAATGTAAGGTATCTTATGGTATTTTAGTGTACCATGGGATTCACCCTTTGAGTCGCTGAGTGTCTTAGCATGGTGATATCTGTTGAATTTATCTGAGGTTGAGTAACTTGCCATAGTGTCAGAATTGATAATCTATCAAAATCATGTAAAAAAAAGAAACCACCTTAATGGACAGCTTACATAATGGTTTGAAATCCATAGTTTCAAGCTGCATTGGTTTCTGCGAAAGATGTCTCTAAGTTCTTATTGGAATTCGTCCCTTTGCCTTGGAAGGGTGCCCCAGTGAGCCAAATCGCGAAACTAGTGAAAAATAACTCTAATAACTGTGGGGTTTATGGAAATTATATCCAACTAGTTGAACCATTTACAAACCAACTAACATTTCACTGCCGGGTACCCTGTAGGGCCCCTTGCTCCGTTGATTTTCGCTGTGAGAAGCAGCAAATATCAGCCATGAGGGTTTCAATCTTCGAGCTGCGGCATGAGGCCATCAAATTTTACATTCTTTTTAAGCAAGCAAAAAAACACAAACTATAATCATCTATACCCCATATGCTCCATGTATAGTATATTTACGTACATTTGGGTGATTTATGGGGTAAATGTTGGTAAATATTCCATACATGGAGCATATGGGTACAGTAAATGGTCTATTTTGTCCATAGCAAAGTGCCGGTCCGCCGGTGGTTTCATCCCTATGATCCAACCGCATTGGGTGATCCTGGACAGATCTAGCTGTGGCCGTGGCGAATCTTCTTAGATACCGATACGGTGCAAAAAACCTTACTGGTTGGTGGTATACCTCTCTGAAAAATATGAGTTCGTCAGTTGGGATTCTGAAATTCCCAATATATGGAAAAATATAAATAAATAAAACATGTTCCAAACCACCATCCATTTTCACTGCAAACAAATTGCCAGCGTCCCAACATGAAGGTTTACCCAGACTGAATCTAAATGAGACACTTCGAAGATTCATGTCCTCGTGATTCGTGGTTTCAAAAGAAATCATGTTCGCTGCTTCACACGGTCCTGAAATCTATGAGTCAACCTGTCCCGAAAAGGGACGGAAAACAACCACTTCAATTCAGTTATCCAAAGACCGGTTGTTCGTTAAGTCCTTGGAATATAATAGGGATGATTAACAATTCCTTTTTTGTATTTAAATCCATAATCAGTCTGATATAACACTGTTTATTTGCTAAACAATCCCCACTTTCAGCCACTGACATTCTCTCTCCATCGCAGGACTTCAGCAAAGCTTTGACATTATGTTAATCCATGTTAATCCATTCATTAAACCAGGTGATATTTTTGTAGAGAAATCTCCCATGGCCCCTGCCTCCGGGACAGCTCTGGCAGAATGGGCCCCAAAGGCTGGGCCTTCAGCGGATCCATTGGACATGTGGGATAGAAAGCAAAACAGCCTGTTCTCACGTCTTCAGGTTATGTCACCATCTTTTGGTTCGTTTAATCAAACATCGCTTCATCGTGCACTTTGGTGAGCCTGGAAACTCAGTTTTGCTACTGTATGCGTAGCAAAAGAGGTGGATAAAGTGTACATATCAGCAGCTAATCACCAAGAAGCCGTGCAGCCAGAGTAAACTCGGAATCAAGTTCAAAATGGAGGTTCTTAAATTGTCCCTGTTGAACCACTAGATTGATATGGAGGGTCAAGTTCAACATATGCTCAAAACACAGATTTTGAGGCCCAAATAACAAGGACTTATTCACCAGCAACGTCCTTTTCTCCAGCGGAGGTAGTGACCATCGGGGGGTCTGGGGATTCACCTTTCTGGAGGCCCAAATCCTCCCAGCTGAGATCTCCCCACTGACAAAGAGGAACAAAGGAGCCTCAAGCGCAGAGGCGACGCGGCGCCGAGCCAACCATGCTCACCATGCTCGAAGAAAAGAGTTCTTTTGAAATGGTCCATTGGGACATATTGGGACCATCCCATATACCAAATATGCCACATTTGGGAGGAAACCAGAACTAGAAAGATTTGGGATGCTTATGCTTCTGCTCTTCTCTACTTACATTATTTTACATTCTTCGCGCCAAGTTATGTGCTGCCCATTTCGCAAGAAGGAATGCTGATGTGATTGCAATTGTTTGATGCTTTTGAAAGCAAAGCGGATGGTTGCCCTTGACCTTCCCCATCATGTGCTAAGCAGAAATTCACCACTCAACATTGCCGACCTTTGACGACTGCATCCCCATCGTGTGACCAGGTTACCCCAAGAAACACGACAGGGCGAAGCGAATGAAGGTATGCCTGGCCCGATGCGTTTCTAATGACACCGACACTGGGACACATTTGGCGGGGAAAACACCGAAACCTTTTGGGTACTCCAGCCGCCAGCCAAGGAAAACACAAAAAGAACACATGGAACCAGAAGTTTGAAGGAACACTTGAGAGACACATCACCCTGTGAACCCCTGGTGGCTTCCAAGGCCTCTTTGGGGCTGATGAGTTGTGAGTGATCCAATCCCTAGGCATGTCACTGTCCCATCGGCCCAAACTTCGCAGGGCGGGACGCGCACGGATCATGAAACCTGGCGCCAGGGGAGCAACTCAGGTTGGGATTCATAGCGAGACCCCACAAATATCCACAATGTGGTGCCCCCCAGTGATGTTTGTTGGTTTATAAACCCCATTAACATTAGTTATATCTACCATACACCATAGTTACTGGAGTTATTAACCAATTTAGCTATCTAGGAGGATTTCAGGATCCTAAAATGGAGGTAATAAAGGGAAAATCAGGATCCTAAAATGGAGGTACTGTACTATATAAGGCAATATTTTGCTGGGATATTCCCTGAAATTTAGGCCATTGAACAAATCACAATCACAAAATTTGATCTGACTGGATTATGTAACTAACTTGATCTGACTCAATTAACTTGACACTTTTTTCAGGCCAGGGCTTGCATATGCACAAATAATTCATGATGATTCAAGAAATAGAGTGAAGGCCTTTAGTCGCATCAACTGCTTGCCGGCAACATATTTCCTATGCGTGGAAGTCGATGCGACCCCTTGTTTTGAGGGTTCTAAGACCACAACCTCGAATACTCTTGGTTCAAATCTTGAGAAGGGGGACACAAAAGGTAAATCTCCGGAAAGTGAACACGGAGGTGCAACGCCAATATGTACAAACATGTATAGACATAGGTTTGTTCTACTTCTACAAGAAGTTGGAAGTAGATCTAGAATATATATATATATATATACATAATAATAAAATAACAATAATAATATGTATGTTATATCTAATATAATAAAACAACAATAAATATAATACAATACAAAATAATATAATGTAATATAATAAAATAAGATATAATATAATATATTATATTATATTATATAAACTAATAAAACATAATACAATATAATATAATATATTAATAAAAAATAATAATATAATATAATATAATATAAATTAATAGAAAAATAAAATAATATAATATAGTATAATATATTATAATATTTAATATAATATAATATACGAATGAATGAATGAATGAATGAAGGAAGGAAGGAAGGAATGAAGGAATGAAGGAATGAAGGAATGAAGGAATGAAGGAATGAAGGAACGAAGGAACGAAGGAACGAAGGAATGAAGGAATGAACGAACGAACGAACGGACAAACGCATGAATAAATGAAGATATGATCTATAATGGCAAGTTAATAAACTCTGCAGCAGAAAAATGACACTAATGACTCATATTAGACAGGGATGGAATGATTTAAAACGGGTTAGATTCATGAGCACCTCATGATGACACAGTCGCTCCAGCCTTCTTAGAAACTGCCCATTGGCATAGGTGCTGAACCTCTGCGGAGGGGTGAAACAAGTGGGTCAACCATGGTCAACCAGCATGGGCATCATGGGCCAAGAAATTGTGACCTCAAATGCCTCAAATCAAAACTTCTGATCTTCAAAGATCTTCAAAGCATGACGTGATTTCTTGACGTTGTGAGTTTTTTGTGCTTGGCGTTGACTGACAAAACGGGCTCAACCGGATCCGGGGGATCCAACACTGCAGATGTGGAAATCCACAGGGTCCCAACCTCGGACCGGAGATCTGCTGAGTTTCCCCTTCGTAAAAGTGGCCGGTCGTCAACTTTCGAACTGAAGAATTGTATCATTACTGGTTGGTGGTTGACCATTTCATCATCTTGAAAAGTGATGGAGTGAGTTCGTCAATGGGGTTGGGATGACATCAGATATATGAAATGGAAAAAGATGTTCCAAACCACCAGCCAAATTATATGTCTTCATATGTTGGATACTGGATACACAAAAAATATGATTGAAATGATTGAACTACATTTTAGGCCATGGCTTCCATGGCTATGTAACAAAATTCCAGAGGCCGCAGTTATTTTTTTCCGAGCTGCAACGAGCAATCACCGCTTCCAGCGCAGTACGGCGCTGATCTTTTCCAGTGCAGCGTACACGGGATTCTCAGTTCCAATTCAGAGATGCCAACAGCAAGGAACCCTGGATGCTCATGATGTGGAACCGTTAAGGTTTTTTACTGGGGATAATGATATGATACACACGCACCATTTCGGATGATACGCACATGTGCGCAAAGGCATGCACGTGCCGAGTCGCAGTGACGTCGGTGTCACAACCCTGTTGCAAAAGCTGTGTCATATACCGAGGTTTCAAAAAATATCATTTCTTTGGCTCCTTGTGCCAGCACGAAACAATGTCATTTATTTACCCTCCAGTAAATTAACATAGACCTGCCAAATAGGGGTTGGAAGATTAGTTTCCACTATAAATTGGTCATTTTAAGGGTCTATATGGGTCTATGTGTTTACCAGAGGGTAACATATAATCATATATTCAACATATATTCATATGTTGGGAGGTTCCGCCCCCAAATCTCCCCAAGATTTCATCAACAGTGGCCTGCCCCGTTGTGAAACGTTGATTGGTTTATGAAGATGTTATGAACTAGCTCGATAAGTATCTATCAGTAGCATGAATCTGCCATATACGTCCATATACCATTTTCAACCTATTTGTTTCAACATGTTTCAACCAACTTAGCGATGAATCGCTCACTGAGGCACCACCCGGTACCCCCGGTGGCAAAGAAAGTCCCCGACGTCAACAGCTTGGCTCCAACGCTACAATGGCTGCAGTTGGAGAAGTCAAGAGGTGCACACGCAATCAGCAATGGACGCCTTGGGCCTTAAAGGGGAGCTAGCGTAGCAATCCCAAAAAAAGGTAACAAAAATAGAGAAAACGCCAGAAAGCTGGAAATGTGTGGTAAATATCACCGAACCATACTGCAAAACTCCCCTTTGGGCATCTTTTTGGGGGTTCTCCATTGTAATAAAGGGTGCCGCATGGTGCCGCTATGATTGACATTATTTAGGGAAGTGATGAAAACTAGGGCAACAAGAACCTGCTCAAATAGGAACATCATCTGCAAGTTAAGCTGTTCATCCAACTGTTGTTCGCCAATTCCTCACGATGGTCGCTCCGTCTTTGGTCGCGAAAGAACCTCGCGAGGCACTGAAAGTTACAGGCCTGCCGCGCCTCATGTCCTTGGCGGCCCAGCGAAGAAATGATCTGTTGCAACTAGACCTCCCACACTGCAATTTGCCCATCAACAGTGGTCAAATAGTGCAATTTTGCAATAACTTTGATTGTATCTCATTGTCTCATAATATTATTCATTGCGTTTACCAATTTTTCATGGGTGCTTTGAGGGGTAAGGTACGCTTTCAAATCACATGTTTTCCCCCACAGTACCGGAATTCTTCACGGTAGTTGAGGCCCAAACTTAGGCAGCGGGTTGGGCCTGGAGCAAGGGGGACTGGTGACATGAAGCAGGACATGTTTACCACCTGAGCACCGTGAAACCAAAAAAAACATGGTTTTCATGGTTTTGGAGAGGTGAAACCTGACAAAATTGGGAAAAAACATGTTTTTTTTTGGGATGATGTTCGTTTGGACATGGCCTTTTTTGCGGGGATTGATTGGAAACTCAATGAAACTCGGCCTGAGGATTTCGTAGCAAAATTACAGGATCACTGGCTGTCCAAAGTCCAAAATCTCTGATGTGGCAAACTCAAGGATCATAATGATCGAATCCCAAGACAATTCCCATCCTTTTTTCAAACGTGGCTGAAAAATCCCCTTCATAAATGGATGTTTATAGCTGGCCAAAGTAACGAACTAAAATATGTTGGGAGATAGGTGCAGTTGAGACATCTGACCTCCACTTAATGTTAAGCAATAGGATCCACCATCCATCACCATCCCCAATGACTACCAATTTTATGGGTGACATATAACCGTTAGTAAAAACCTTCAATCCACATGCCGATCCTTCAAATTCTCCAAGCAAGGGGATGAGATGCTTTTTCCTCCTCGGAATGGCAGTGGCAGGGCAAACGCGACGTCGAAACGTTTCAAAAACGGCTTAGGTATAATGTCAACATCGGACCAATCAACCCCCCCCCACAAGGTTAGATGGACCTTGTAAGGTTTTTCCTAGTTTTCCCCTAAATAAACGGCCTCTGAACCATAAAATTTTGGATATGATGAAATTTGTATAGATTTGATTGTTAACATCTCATGGGACCCATAAGATTCCATTGGATTTGATAAATTTTGATTCTTAAAATCTCATGGCACCCATAAGATTCCATTGGATTTGATAAAATTTGATTGTCATAATCTCATGGAGAGCCTTGTGCCAAAAAAAATGACGAGATTTGATTGCTGAAATCTCACGTGTCTGAGATTGATGAAACATGACGAGAAACAAAAAAACATGGAAATAAAGAATTTTGGAAAAATGGGATTTCAGCACTGGGGGTTGATTAATTAGGTCCAAACCAAACAGTTTATTAATCCACGGGGGCCACCTGTTTTTAAATTACCATTTTTTTGGGGGGCAGTTGAGGTTGTTTAATCCGGCGGGGTGTATGAATCCTCACTTGACATTACACAGAAATCATCAGAAATCGACGTCTACAAATCATCTACATCTGACAATTTGAAGTTTAAAAACCATCCCTGTGATGAATGATGAACGTTTTTGTTTCGGAACTGGAGAGTTCTGAAAAAATCTGAAATCTGAATAGTCACATCTTACCATTAATATTCATATATCAACTTGAAACATCTAGAAACTGTTTCTGCCCAATTTGGCGCTTGCGAAACCTGGTTGTAACTGAGTCACCCATGATGGTCACCCATGGCCCATGAGTCCCGAAGCATGGACCATGTTGGCACAGGAACAATTTCTTGGGGATCATTAAGCAATCATTGAATCATTGGGGGTCATTAATCCATACTAGTGTGGGTAAAACAAATAATAAACCACCCCTAAATCACAATAAATGGGTGGTATAAACCATTCCCAAATCTCTCTCTCTCTCTCTCTATCTCTCTCTCTCTCTCTCTCTCTCCATCGCCATCCCGAAGGTTCAGCTAAGGCTGAGGGCGAGCTGGTGGCCCAGTCAAACGGAGCCACACTTTGAAACCATTCCCAAATGGGTGGTTTATTTTGACCACATTACTCTAGATATCAATATCTATAAGCTATTATATAATTCATGTGCATTGCACTTGTCATAATAAACTGCACGGGCAATTGACGGTTTATTTGCAGTTTAACAAAAACTATTGGACAACTATTCATTGTTAAACCGCATAGCTGCTCATGGCTTTTTCAAACCATTTCTTCCCCAAAAAAACATCATTGAGGCTGAGGCTTGGTCGAGGTCAAGCCCGATGAGCTCGAATAATGAAAATCTATCAGTGGCATCTGTCACATGCTGTTTGAAAAACATCGTCAGCGTATCTTATAACAAATAGAATCATTGTTCCCAACCTGCCAGGTGAGGGTCTCTAGATGTTAAGAATGGTGCAACTTCTTCATCTCCTCACCCGCCATCGCCAGCTCCGGATGCTGTGGAGCGCGCCTCGACCCGAACTCATGCCAGAGAGAATGTCAAATAGAATGCGAGCTAGAATGTCAGAATAGATGCCACTGAGAATGCCAGAATGAATGCCTGAACGGATGCCAAATAGAATGCCAGATGTGTCCGAATAGATGCGAGATAGAATGTCAGATAGAATGTCAGAATATGAAAAAAAACAAGATGCAGCCCACGAACCCGAATGCAATCACGTAGAACACTTTTGTGAAACAAGTTATTTGAACAGTCTTGTACATTTTCCCCTGTTACCGTACCAGTGCACTGTAGACTGTGGAAGGCGGAAGGGTGTGGAGTGCAAAGCGTGGGGGATGAAGAAAGTGGAGTGTTGAGTGGTGAATGTATATGTATAATGTGAAGTGGGGGTTCTGGAGTGTGGGGTGTAAAGTGTAAGGTGTGCGGTGGAAAGTGTGGAGTGTGGAGTAAAGTAAAGTAAAGTAAAGTAAAGAGTGTGGAGTGTAAAGAAAGTGTAGTGTAAAGTGTGGAGTTAAAAATGTAAAGTAAAAAGTGTGGAGTGTATAGTATAAAGTGTAATGTGTGGAGTGTAAAGTGTGGAGTGTTAAGTGTACAGTGTGGAGTGTGGATTGTAAAGTGTGGAGTGTAAGTGTAAAGTGTGGGGTCTGGAGTGTAATGTGTAGAGTGTGGAGTGTAGAGTGTAATGTGTGGAGTGTGGAGTGTAAAGTGTAAAGTGCAGAGTGTGGAGTGTAAAGTGTAGAGTGTAAAGTGTTGAGTGTGGAGTGTAAAGTGTGGAGTGTGGAGTGCAAAGTGTGAAGTGTAAAGAGTAAAGTGTGGAGTGTATAGTGTAGAGTGTAGAGTACAAAGTGTGCAGTGTGGAGTGTAAAGTGAAAAGTATAAAGTGCGGAGTGTGGAGCGTAAAGTGTGGAGTGTGGAGTGTAAAGTGTGGAGTGTAGAGAGTAAAGTGTCAAGTGTGGAGTGTAAAGCGTGGAGTGTGTAGTGTGGAGTATAGAGTGTAGAGTGTGGAGTGTAAAGTGTAGTGTGTGGAGTGTGGATTGCAAAGTGTGGAGTGTAAGTGTAAAGTGTGGAGTGTAGAGTGTAGTGTACACTGCGGAGTGTGGGGTGTAAAGTGTGAAGTGTAAAATGTAGAGTGGGGAGTGTGGTGTGTGGAGTATGGAGTGTAGTATGTGGAGTGTATGGTGTGTGTGGAGTATGGAGTGTAGTATGTGGAGTGTAGAGTGTAGAGTACGCAAAAGTATTGCGCCTGCCACACAAAATGACTTTTCGACACGTTTGCAGACACATGAGAATGTCACGAACTGCCGCGCCTGTCACGCAAAACCACGTTACAACCGGCTTTGAAACCTTGAAACAGGATAGGTTTTGCAGCTTCCCCGATAGACACGGCGAGGCCACATGAAAACCAGAGACTCGACACGAGATTGGAGCATCAAAACGAGCATTTCGTGCGAGACTTCCTCCAATTTTCACACTCTGTAGCTTCAGAATCGACGTTTTCCTACGAGTTTTTTTGTGAACCTCAAAATTTGCTACCTCAAAATCGATGTTTCCGGCGAGGCTTCCGTCAATTTTCAGCACATCTCACAAAATGCCACGGCTGCCACAGAATTTGCACGTTGTCACCACTTTGAGGCAGCCCTGACAATGCGATTGGTCACGTCCAAAGTGCTGCGCCTGCCACGAAATTGGAACTCATCTTCTGAAAACGTCGCAAAAGTATTGCGCCTGCCATGAAAAACGACTTTCGACACATTACGAAACACGTCTGAATGTCACCAAGTGCCACGCCTGCCACGCGAAACAAGGCGCGCGACATGTGAAACCTCCAAAAGTGACCCCTGTTGCAGAACTTGCCATAGGCACGGCCATAGCGACCTCGCGCAAACGGTTGCGGACGGTTGCGAACGCGAGCGAACACACCCTCAACCCCCAGACCCCCAGAGTGAAACGTGAACCCTTGTTAAACATTCGGGAATAATATATGCCATATAAGCCATATATACTTCCAGATGGTATGTCAGAAACTGCCCTCTGGTAAACTATTCTAGCTATTGAAAAAGGCAATTTATAGTTGACTTACCCATTAAAAATTGTGATTTTCCATAGTTATGTTAGTTTACCAGAGGGTATGTCAGACTGGTTCAGGGGATCGAAACGCCCCAATTGCGTTGCGAGCCGCCGAGCAATTTCTTGGCCAACGAACGCCTGGACTCAGAGGACGCCCCAGGTCGATGAAGACATGTCAAAAGCTATGGGATTATTGTGGATATGGATATCTGGTTGGTGGTGTTAACCATCTTGAAACATATTAGTCAATGGGAAGGATTATCCCGTATATTATGGAAAATAAAAAATGTTCCAGACTCCAAACCGCCAACCAGCTATGGTTGGATAACATGTCAAACCCAGGATTCTAACTAAATAAATGTGTTGATCAGATGTTTAAAGTTTTATGTTCCATTATTATTGACACTATTGATGATATTACCGCATTAGACCTAGTGCTTTATCCTTCAAAATAACGTGGTAAGAACCAAAACAGAATCATCTTCAATATCAGCAGAAATGGGTGGTCTATCTACCTGGTTGGTTGCTTTTTAAACCATCCCAAATATATTCTCGTCATCTCAACCAATCATCCCTTCCGTATGGTTGAAAAAAACAACAAAAACATTAACCCCCAACAAGTATTGATACCATGTTAATCTCATCCCCCTAATAATAAGTGTCCCAGTATGTGTATATATATATATATTATATTTATAAAATGTGTGTGTGTGGTGTGTCTGTGTGTGTATCCATTTATTTATACCGCATAATTTCCATAGAGGAATCAACAACAACTTACTGGTGCTAAACGCAGGGAATGAGGGAATGATCCACAATAAGTATCAATAATCATCCCAGCAACCCCCAGCAACCCATCCATTCCCTACGTTTAGCACCAGTAAAATAAACATGGATGAAGATCCATTTATGTGGTGGGTGAAGGATCAAAAAAAAAAACGCATCAAAAAAAATTATCCCCATAAGTATCAAAATAAAAATTGATTTGCATCAAAAAAAAATATTCCCCTGGACTTCTATGGAACTGTCCAAGATTTCAACGTGGTACACGCATCAAAAAAAAATAAAATTTGCATCAAAAAAAAATAAATTCCGAGGTATGCTAATACAAGTGAGACTCGTACGTGTCTGGAGACAGGGGAGGGAGGGTCAGATGTCGATTGCCGATCTGTCCGCAATATCCAGGTGGTCCGTATCAAACAAGAAAATTCCGAGGTATGCTAATACAAGTGACTCGTACGTGTCTGGAGACAGGGGAGGGAGGGTCAGATGTCGAAGAAAAGGTCGACTGTCAGCAGACAACAGATACCAATGCATATTAAATCACAACTACTCTTGGGATACCGACTCAGACGAAGAGTCCCATTAAGGTGCTCCATAACGCAATGCTCATACATGCGAGGCGATCACACGTCTGGAGAACTCTCTTGAGATCCCAACAGATACCAGCGCATATTAAATCACAACTACTCTTGGGATACCGACTCAGAGGGAGAGTCCCAGCAAGGTGCTCCATAACGCAATGCTCATACATGCGAGGCGATCACACGTCTGGAGAACTCTCTTGAGATCCCAACAGATACCGAATAAAGGGTCGAGTCCCAGCAAGCAAGCTGCTCCATAACGCGATGCTCATACATGCGACGCGACAGCATGTCTGGAGATGGAAGTTTTTTATGGTTTTCTTCAATCAATCAATCAATCTATATACATATGTATATATATATATATATCTATCTATCTATCTATCTATGTATGTATGTAGGTAGGTATGTATGTATGCATGTATGTATATACAGGGTTTGGTTTAGGGTTTAGGGATACAACATGTAGGTATAATTACGTGATTATTTGTAGTATATTTTGGGATCAAAGCTGTGTATAAAAACAACCACAAATATGTCATATATATATATATACGTCTATCTATCTATAAGTAAATATGTATGTGTATTTCTAAATAAACATATATATATATATATTTATATATACTGATAGAGACATAATTATATAAATATATACACATTGATATGTATATACATATTCATATGTATATATATATATACATATTCATATGTATTTATATATATATATATACATTTATATAAGTACATAAATATATATATATAAGTGTATATATAAATGCAAAGATATACATACATACATACATACATACATACATACATACATACATACATACATTAGATATATATATATGTGTGTCTATGTATATATATGTCTAGATATATATATATATATAAACATAAATATTAATATAAAAGAATCAAACTAGTAATTGAAAAGTGTGCAAGTTTTGAATTTAAATAATTAAAAAAAAAGCGGGAGAGGGGGATTGGGGGGGAGGGCGCCGCGCCTCCCCCCCAAAGCAGATTGGAAACACCTATTTTCACATGCAAGGTGCTGGGTTGAATGCGATACTCAAGGTGTATGTAGGTAGGTATGTATGTATGTATGCATGTATGTATGTATATGCAGGGTTTGGTTTAGGGTTTAGGGATACAACATGTAGGTATAATTACGTGATTATTTGTAGTTTATTTTGGGATCAAAGCTGTGTATAAAAACAACCACAAATATGTCATATGTATATATATATATATACGTCTGTATATCTATAAGTAAATATGTATGTGTTATATAAATATATATATCTATATTTACATTTATATATATATTTATGTAAATATATATATATATATATTTATGTAAATATATATACTGAGAGATACACAATTATATAAATATTTACATGGATATGTATATACATATTAATTTATATATATATATATATATATACATTTATATAAGTACATATATATATAAGTGCATATATAAATGCAAATATATACATACATATATATACATATATATGTGTGTGTCTATATATATATATGTCTAGATATATGTATATATATATACACATAAATTTTAACATAAATATGAATATAGTCGAATCAAACTATATAGTGTATTGAAAAGTGTCTTTCTTTTTTATTTAAATAGTTTAAAAAAAGCGGGAGGGGGGGATTCAGGGGAAGGGCGCAGCGCCTCCCCCCCAAAGCAGATTGGAAACACCTATTTTCACATGCAAGGTGCTGGCTTGAATGTGATACTCAAGGTGTATAGACTACACGACATGCACCCTGGAAACATGTGGAATACAGTATATATACTTGTAGATACATACTCATATATATATATACAGTTATATGTATATACATATGAATGTGTATATATATAAGTACATAAATATATATATATATATTAATATGTAAATATAAATATATAAATATAAATACATAAATATATATATATAAATATATAAGTGTATATATACATGCATAAATATAAGTATATGTATATATTTACATATTTCTATATGTAAGTATATATATATATGAATTTGAACATAAATAGAAATACTATGTATATAAAAATATAAACAGAAAATATAAATAATATAAATATATTTAAATATAAATATATAAGTGTGTATATAAATGCATATATATATGTATATATACATATACATAAATAACAGTACGCAACTGCTACGGTGATGCCTGCATGTAATTTGAATGATCTCTTCTGCATGTAATATTACATCATTATTTCTTTCCTTTCTTGTTTCCTTCCTTTCTCGTCTCCGTCCTTTCTTCCTTCTTTTCTTTCTTCCTTCCTTTCTTCTTTGGTTCCTTTTTCTTTCTTCCTTTCTTGTTTCCTTCCTTTCTTGTTTCCTTCCTTTCTTCCTTCCTTTCTTCCTTTCTTCCTTCCTTCCTTTCCGTCTTCCTTCCTGTCTTCTTTCCTCTTCCTGTCTTTCTTCTTTTCTTCCTTTCTTTCCTTTCTTTCCTTGCTTCCTTCCTTCCTTTCTTCCTTTCTTTCTTCCTTTCTTCCTTCCTTTCTTCCTTCCTTTCTTCCTTTCTTCCTTCCTTCCTTTCTGTCTTCCTTCCTTCTTTCCTTCCTGTCTTTCTTCTTTTCTTCCTTTCTTTCCTTGCTTCCTTCCTTCCTTCCTTTCTTCCTTTCTTCCTTTCTTCCTTCCTTTCGTCCTTTATTTTTTTTTGATGCATTTTTATTTTTTTTTGATGCATTATTATTTTTTTTTTGATGCCTACGCCTTTATGTGGGCTCACGGGTCCACAAGTTCCACCTGAAAAATCAACCACACGCTGGAGTTACAATGATACAGTTTGACAGAGTGGGGCCCCACTCTGGGGCCCCCGTTTGGTAGCTAAGTAGCTAAATTAGTTCATAAATCCAATAATTATGGTTTGGATGTTTATGGTACTTTAAACTAGAGTTAATATGGGGTTTATAAACCAACAAACATCACTGGGGGGACACACATTGTGTACATGGTGTTCTTGAAACGATGCCCTACAACTACCTCTGCTGCCCTCGGCTGACCGCCTTAGGCGAAGTTGACGCTCTTTTTCTTGTTGCTCCTCAAACAGTGCATCACCATGGAACCTCTTGGAACCTCTCGTTTGACATACAAACAGACAGGAAACCGTCAAAAGAGCGTGCATGTTCACCCAGTTCCATAGTCATGAAATTCTTGTAAGGTTTAGGTTCACCGCAAAAAAGAAACAGAGCCTTCCTTGAAGCAGGACATACCTCAATAATCCATAAGCCCCTGATCATGGCCGATTCCAAAGTCAGCATTCGACTCTTAGTCCCTTCCTATTGAACACCCCTTGGAAAGCATGTTTTTTTTGCCTGGGATTTACCAAATTTACACGCATTTAGGGCCATTACTATAGGGCTGTTTAATATGGGGGATGGGTCACCATGGGTCCTTCCCCTCTTTCAGGCGGCGCTTGTCCATGAGGTCTTGCAACTCCTACGGCTGACCCTTGCAATGCCAAGGTTGAGGTGAAATTCATACCCAAAATCAAGCTGAAACATTGGGAAAGGTAGAAACAGTGGGAAAAAACATGGGAAAAACTCATCCGAAAATATGGAAAGGTAAAAACAATGGGAAAAACTCACCCGAAAATGATCTAGTTACTTAGTTTGCGGGGGAAGGCATTAGATTCATGTCGTGAGTTTCAGATCCTTCTTTAAAATCAAAAGTAGAAACCCTGTTCTCCAGGGTTTTTGTGACCTAAACCGGTGGAGTACACCTTCCCATCGAGTCAGAAACCTCTTCAACTTGAATCACATTGGTCGAATCAAATCATGCCATGATTCGACTTAAAATAATCACCAACTTGAAAATCATTGAAGTGGATTGCACCTGGTCCCTTCGTGCGCTCAGTCGCAAGGAAGGTGCACGAGCAGGGCCTCCAAAAGGCGGCAAGCGAAAGAGTTGACCATGTTTTAGGGGGAAATCGCATGTTTGGTTTATAAACCACCTTAAGTATGGTTATAACATGTTATAACTGTCATTAACCATATTGATCCAACTTAGCTATCGTAACGGGGGCCCCACTTTGTAGTGATATGATCTAGTCACCAATAGTAGGATAATTCTGGTGAATTTCAAAGGATCAGTTTGGGATAGAAGACTGATCTTATAACCACCACCACCACCAGTGATACGATAATGGGGATCTTACAGTAACATCAACCATAATGTGGATATAACTAACATGAACAATTATATCAAAATAATATAAACACAACCATTAACATACTAACATTAGCATCAACCATAAGGATATAATGGGGATATTAATGGGGATAGCTCCCGTAGTCAAACATGTCTGGATAATCCCATGGCACGGTTTTCATAAGTGGGCAATCTGTGAAGTGAGGATCTTCCATTGCCAGGTTAGATGACAACCGAGCGCCTGTATCAAAAACACCTAAGAATGGACTTAAACCTGACTCTATGGGGTGTTCATTGGATATCATTGGAGGGGTTTAGGGGGGAAGGGACAAGAAACCATCTTTTCTTGCCTGAAATCTAAATTATTTTTGCGATGGCCAATTTACCTTTCATTCTGTCTTTGTTTTTTTTTGTGCTCCTGGACATGTTGTGATCAAAAACGGGGCGCTAGTGACACAGCCTGTCCCAGGGATTTGCCATTGTTTTCTGCTCTGGCATCAGCAGTGAATTTTCGATAAGTCCATGAACCCCAAAAATAATGAAAACAACACCCCTGCGATTTAATGCGAAGACCTTTTCGTGTCGGCCATGTCATCACATTCTCTTGGACCAATATGACTCGTGGCCGGGTGATCGAATTCAAATCCCAAACAAGAAACGTGTCATTCCACAAACACCTCGCTTTGGTATCATATAATATGGCTGTAATAATGTGTAATAATAAACATGCGTGTATAATATAAAAAATATAATTTCATTATCATTATACCATCTCCAAATAGGCATGTGTAAGAAAATCATCCTCCGCACACACACACGTATACCTAAATATCAATTATATAAACACATACACGTGTTCTTTAAAGCATATCCAATCCAACATCACCGTATATCCAACATGGCCGAGGCAAAGATTTCACCGCGACCACCTGGAATTGCTTTGGGCAGCAGCTTTCGTCCATCAACGCTGAACTCCAAGGCCTAGTGCGGCTGTTGTTCGGTGTACCTTGACCCCTAGGCTGACCTGTCAGAAATGGTACAAGAGTGCAGGAAAACATTTTTTTTGGTACAAAAGTACTGTAAGTCATTGTAAATCATGGTTTATACAATTTGAGTGCATTTGGCTCAACTCTTGCCCGTCCGGGAAAAAAACGGATAAACATAGAACACGCCTGTCAATTGAAGGTCTAGCTAGATTTCTTCCATAAATTCTGTCAAAGGTCAAACTAGGCATCGTTCCCTGGCAAAGTTGCATATGGATGTTTCCAAGAATTGGGGTACCCCCAAAAAACCATCCAGTCATTAGACCATTTTAAATTGAAACCATTTGAAACCCATGGTGACTTGGGGATCTCCGAGTTTAAGAACCCCATGCGTGCCTTTCTCTGTGCTTGCTATCAAAAGAAAGGGTCCCCTTGTACTGCATGAAAAATGGCGCGGCAATTTCCAAAGGCCAGGGGAGATTTGCTGTTGTTTCCCGCTTATTTTAAGCGGCCAAAACGGGGATCGTGGATCAGAATAAGAAAGGGTATACCATCGTCAACGGAATTATGTAATGTCAATTCTATGCTTGCTTCCTTTCCACCTGGCATGCTCAAAACATGTCACGAAAATGTGAGTGCACGGTGAATGAGTGTGTGAGTGTGCGTGCGGATGTGTGTGAGTGTGCGCGTGTGTGTGTGTGTGTCCCATGCTTTTGGGCAAACCCAATCAGATCCGTCCCGTTGTTCTACACCCTTTCTCCGGACACATCCAAAGACCGTTGTTCTACCCCAATCACATCCGTTTATCCTTTCTTCGGACACGCCCAGAGATGAGCAATACACATGTCGTACTCAATTGTCGTGACGTATTAAAAGGGTGCATATCATATAGTCACCACCAAAGTAGCAACTCTAGTTCAGTCAATCATGATAAAATATGATAAAATCCTTGGACCCTTTGAACATGTCTCGGATGTTATCTTCAAAATATGGAAAGCCAAGTTCCCATGGTCCATGCCATAGCTATTTTTTGGGGTTCTTGGGCTCCGACAGTCTTGGGCAGTTTTGGAATCCTAGGCTGTCAATGGATTGATGCAAGATATGCAAGGAACACCTGGAGGAACGTATTGTAGTTACCCTGAAAATCCCTGAAATCTACAGGGCTCCGGATCCGGTTTCAATTTTGCGATCATCGACTTCTGCAACATTCTCCCTATCCTTTTCCCTATTTGTTGATGGCGATATCGCGCCATTGGGGACTCCCCCCCGAAGGGTACCAAGCTATTTGGCCAACGCCAAGAATCTCAGGCCCACGATACAGAAGCTCGAAACGCAGGCCCTCATTCTTCGGCCTCAAAAGCGCAAGATGTCCGCTGCCTGATATATGGGAGATATATCTATAGTTTATCGGGTGTATAGATACTGTAGATTAAAACTTATTACTGAGGGGCACAACTGTTGTATCCATTTCGTATCCCGGTCATCGAAAACGCGGAAACCTGCAATGAAGATTTTGACTGAGTACCCAGTAAAATGACGATCTACCCAGTAATATTAACCATGGGACTTCACAATCTCTCCAGTGTTCTAAAAATGTGGTTTGAGGCCTGGTTTAACCATCCTGAAATGAGGATAACTATGTATTTAATATCGATATAGAGAGAGAAAAGCAAATAGATAGCGAATGCAATATTCAATAGCCCCAATTTTATCCATGTTTTGTGTTCCAAAAAATACATCCAATTTGTTTGTATGATTTCCTTGGAAGGGTTGTCTAAAAAGTCAGAGCCGTGTCCAGTCTAGTAAGTCCCCTATTGGTGGGTTTATTCCATGTAGAAGGGCTTGTAAGAACAATAGATTAGAATGAACTGAAACAATTTAGCATACATGGATAAGCATGAAGCTAACGACGATACATCCAATAATGTTCACGTGCACTGCAGTGCACCTATAGTGACGGGAGTGGACAGAACCATGGCACTGTGGTTATGATTATATATCAACCAACAAGCAGCAAAGTCTCAAGTATTATTGATGTGTCTATTATTGAAGACGTATTTCAGAAAGAGCCCTTTCGCTCTTGTGTTCTTTTGAAAGCATCCTGTGGAGAAATGTCATCCTGGCTACCCTTTGATGCCCTTTGCAGGCAAGGGTGGCTACCCTGCAGATGGAGAACATGCGTTCTTCGAACAATGGCAGGTATGGGCCAAGTGTTTAACACATATCTATGTACAATTATGTGCATATGCGCATACTTGTAATAAATACATGTGCATAATTGTGTATATATATAACTATATCACATCATGGCCAATCTTAGATACCCTGCAACAAATAAATTCTTTGCTGGTTAGTAGATAATCCCATTGATACCAAAAGGCTAAAGGATTACTACCCATCAAAGATTGACCTAGACATGTATTTATATGTATATATATATATCCATTGAACGCCCCATAAAGATCCAAACAGCCCCTCCCAAAAAGTATATGTCTAGCCGGGCATTATGGCATTATGTTCTCCCATTCGCATTACTGAACTATCTGACTGTCAACCCCCCCATTGTGTGGACCACTCCCAATCTGAGATATACCCTACAGTCTACATGTTTAAGACAAACATGTTCATATCCGTATTTGTACTTACTTACAGACGTGTGTATACATATGTATATATATAATGATAATGCATATGTGTATAATTGTGTGCAAAGGGCAAGCAGCTGACATTTTCACATTCCTCAGGTTGACCCAAACAAAAAGGGCGCCCCAACGACGTATCCACATCAAAGATCATGCCCAGGGCTTCCCTTAAACCTGGGCAAATGATCGTCAAATGGCAGCTGGGGAAGGGCAGCTCGGTGAGGAAAATATTGTTTTGCCAGCAAAAATGGAGGGTTCAAGCAACAAAGCCATGGATTTTATATGACTTTATAGGGACAAGCAATAATGGTACCCCTATTCCCACAAGCTTCCTATTCGGACTAGGGGTTTCTTATGGGAGCAGGAGGGTAGGCTTATGGATAGGGATACCGTCTGGAAATGACCCCCACAGTCATGGGAAACCATCAACGGGTCATTTTCCATTGCTATGTTAGATTACTACTGAGTAGGAATGAAATGATTAAATGGTTATGGCTATCCTATCGTACCCTGGTTTTCATACCGAAATGGGATTTATGGATGTTCCTCCCCTCAGTCATTCAAGGTGTCTCATAGGTTTTGATCCATCTCTGGAATGGAATGGATATATAGATTTCCTCAAATGGACCACCAAATCACCCAAGTCGTTCGACCATGATAGTATTGACACATATGGTGACTTGGGAAACCACCATGACTTCAGAGACCCCCATATGGATGCAATGGATGGGACGTGTATAACTGGGAAAAATCACAGAAACGACTCTTCAGTGCCGACGGTGTTTTTCAACCTTCCTGGTTCCCCGGCGACTATCCTCTATGTTTCTGTGTGCATACCGGGGGTGATGAAGCGTGGAGGGTCTAAGTGGTGCACGCACTGACCTTTGTGGTCTCTCCCTCTCTCTTCACCTTTGTGGTGCACTCATCGACCTTTATGGATTTTCCACCGGTCTCTTGTGACCAATACGTAGGAGGGTGAATCCAGGGGGTCCGACGCCGTGTGTCCACTGTTGTGGATAGCGTCCTTTGAACTTCGCACGGTTGTCCTTTGATGCCTTAAATTTGTTGGACTACACCTGATTGGATCGGAATTGTGCTGTTTGCAGGACATGCTTTCCTGGTAGGATTGAGACCCCAACAGCCTGCCTTGATCTTCTTTTCGCCATGGAATCCTATCTACCACTGATCTACATAGAAATCTACATGTCAATATCTAAATGTATAAATATATTAATATGGGTATAGCATGGTATAGCACATGTACATGTATAAACTACATCCAAGAAAAAATGATAAACAATGCATCTATATAGAAATACGTATGACTGCATGTATGGCTTCAGCTTCGCCAATTTTGGCCACACCGTTCTCACTTTTTCACCCCTTAGACAGGGTCCCCGGCAAGGGTCGCACAAGCGACTGGTCACGGGGCCGGAAGCTTTCAACATGGGAATATCCTGGCAGCTTATGTTGCCCCAGTGGAGATCCGAAATGGAGCTTGGATCGTAACAAAATCCCATATGCGAACCATGGTGCTGGTATATTTACCAACAAAACTGGCGATTTTGTTATGGGGTAAATGTAGGTAAATACTCCAGCACCATGGAGCATATGGGTATGGGTTATCAAATGGATTTCTGGGCTGACCGTGATAATCAACATACTGGATGGTATGCCATGTAATATTCCAAAAGGGGTTTGGAACATTGCTCAATTGGACAACAAAGAACTCTGGTTCCAAAGTAACAAAATCCAGCTTGGAAAAAATGAAGGAGCCATGTCTATATTTGATGGTCATGGTGCCTTGGTGCCTTGGTGGGCGGTTCCAATATGTTCCAATCCGAAAAAAACTGCGAATTCACCATCATCCAAGAACTTCCAGTTGCCTCTGCTTCAGTTTCCTGTGGGACAAGTTAGGAGAAGTTTGCTAAGTTGGTTTATAACTCCAATAACTATGGTTTATAGGTGATATATCTATAGTATCCATGGGATTATAAACAAACTTATAACTTGGGGGGCACCACCTTGTAGGAATTAAGCTCTTTGGTTCAATGGCCATTGCCACAGCGACCACTCTTCCATTTGTAGATGAGTGATCATTGTTTCGATGCCTTTTAGTTATATAACCATAATTCTAGGCGTTGTATCCCAGCTCATGGGCGGTAAATGCCCATAGTTATAGCCATAAAACTAGTCATTATAAGCGATTTTCTCACCATGATTAACCATCATTAACCACTATCAACCATGATCCCAACCAGTATCAACCATTCTTCCCCATGATTTTCCCGACTCCCTCAAGCCACTTATTTTTCACGAATCTAACCCATGAGATCCCCATAGCCAGGCAAACACCACAACCGAGGCACATTCACTTCCAATAGCCAAACATTGTACTCATCATCCACCTGCGACAACGAGGTTGGCTTTTTTTGGCCCACAGGCCAAGTGGCTGTTGAGTGGGGAAAAAGTTTCGTGATGGCTGTTGAAACATCTCATTTTGTCACTCACGGGGATTTCCAATCAGCAATCCAACATGCCAACCCGAGGCGCAGGCTCAGGAGCACAAGAAATGGAGACTGCTCATGAAAATCCTCAAGAATGTACATGGCAAACAATAATTGCGCACCATGAAGTCGTAGCCGAAGAGTTGGAAGCTGCACGAGTGATTCTCAGACCTTAACCGGCGCATCATTCAGACGTGCTTATTAACAATAGGATAACCCAGTTGAATAATGTAAATTCGATTTAGATAGTTGATGAAGACAATATATATATAATGAATTATATGAAGACATGGTTAGATTCTTTGTTTAGACTACCGGGTTAGATTGATAGGTTGTAAACGAGATACTGACTGGGATGCACGTCAAAAAGGGGACTGACGTGTTGCTGATGGTTGCCCAAATATCTGGGAAAAAAGCACCCTCCAAACCGATCCGGAAATACACAATCCCAGCAAAACAGTGACTGTGTGGCGTTTTGAATTTCTATCATCTTTGGTGCTTACTATAAAGACATGGAACATGTATTCGGCAAAGCGGTCAGAGTGGAAGCAGCCCAGGGAAAATCATTTTATCTCATTCTTCACCTACAATGACTTGATTATTCAGACTGACAATGCACACACAGTTTCATACACATACATATGTGAATAACAAGAAATGACGGGATATTATATTATGTTATATTATAGTGATTTGTAGATGTGTCCTAAGGGCCTTATGTACCTACCTATACATATCCATGCCAAGTTAATGGTTTCAGGTTCCAATCCCTTTAAACAACAGAGGTACAAACAGTAGCCATAATCTTCCCAAGTAGAGATGGACGAGAGCAAACAACTCCCAGAATACCCTAACAATCATAACCAGTACTACGACATAATCAGTAATATATATATATATAGATAACTGTAATATACTAAAAATATGATGAACATGTTGTGCCCATATTTGTTGGGACCTCCTACCTACTAACTATTCTTGTTTACTTTGCAGTTTTCGAAGGCGGTCCCTATGCCGTCCAGCTTGGCTTCCAGCTTTGATAAAACTTCTGCCACACCTCGGGATGACATGCACCAGCGCCATGGCGGTTCCAGGTTCCAAAGGATCTAAGAGAATCTAAGACGTTTACAAAAGAGGGAAACTCACCTCTATTTCATGTATACTGGATATCCACATGTTTCAATCTTAATTTGTTATTTTTATTTGAGTTCTTCAGTTCTTTGTATGCAGAGTCCCTACCAGTGATAGATGCGGTGCAGCGAGAACAACAATGAAGAAACAAAACACACATAGTACTGATAAACCAAGTTCTTGACGTGCTGGAAAATGGTGAGAAATGGTACCCTCTGGAAACTTAAGTTTTATAAACGGTAAATCATCGAAAACCCATCGAAAACCCTTCAACAATGGGTAATTCCTGCCCAAGAAATCATGGGGGTTGTCAAATTCCTGGCACAAATTGCCATCTTGCATCATTCCGCCCTATTTTTTTGTCGAAAATGTGTCCCAACTTGACCTATCATGTGGATGTTTCCTAAAATATTGGTACCCCTAGTTATCATCCATTTATAGATTGGATTTTCATAAATCATCCAGCTATTGGGGTACCCCCATTTATGGAACCCCCCCATGTAATGACCATTAACCATTATCAACCACTATTAACCACTACCATTATTAACCAGTGTCAAAAAGTTGATTCACTTTTCCAAAGATTCAAGTTTTCCGAAAAATCCCATGTTGCGACACCTTGGTTTTCCAGGGAAAAAACGACTCTTGGTATTCCACCAAGGAGCTGAGCAATGAATTCACCACGATCTTCTGCATGGCGGGTCGAATCTGGCCGTGGCCGCGGCTAACGGGGTTTATAAACACCTCTGGTCCGTTGAGTTGATTTACCGGTGGCAAAATGGTGAGATTTACCTAGCTATGTTAGATGAGCAAGGTTTATCATTGTATATATATGTATAAAATCCTTTTGAGCTATCGTATATTCAACATTATTCAACCATATCGAACAAAATGATTCATAATTATATTTATACATCATATACAAATGAGCCAATACAACACACACACACATATCTGTATATATACATATGTAAATATTATCATATTATATAATTCGATCTTGCTGCTATCCCGAAGCTTGGCAGCCCTAGTTTCACCACCCTCTGTCGTTCCACACCGCACCTTGTCGTTCCACACATCGTAGCCAGCCTTCTCTGAGAGAAGGCTGCGATATCTGTCCTGTCGTAGCGCGCCAGCGGTGGGAAAGGCCATACCCCAATGGTGGTAGAAACATGTGCGAACATGTATAAACCACCAAATAGCAGGGGTTTTCTTGGATGAAGTGGCACAAGAATGTTTCTGGTAGCGAATCTCTGGAGAAACCTGCCCAGGGTCCTGCGTCCACTGACATCTCCAGTCCTTAGCCAGGGCCGAAAATTGGCTTTCGGGTGTCTCCTGCGAAGCAGGTTTTATAATGTTCATCTGGGGTTCTGAGGGGCCAGACTGACACTGGAAACCTACCATTTGGAACAGCAATCACATGTTTCCAATGCCATAGCTACTGAATGGCGAGTGTTAGTTGATCATGATTCAATCATGACCAGAATCATTCAGCTATAGCCAGTAAGCTTGGCAATCCTGACAGGCGGGGGAATAATAGCTACTGTAGAAAAGGCTACTGAATACAGGAACGATGGGTCACAATTTGGAAGATGATTGAAAGAATCATAACTAGTCAACCTGCAGAATAAAGTCCTGGATTCTTGGATTATCCCACTTGCTGGGCAAACTGACCCCAGCTACCGGCCAGTGTAGCAGCCCGCAGCGGCCGAGATTCTTCATCGTCGGGATTGAAGTTGGGATGATTTTTCATGATCACAGTGTGCGTGAGATGCTTAAAACCTGTTCGGAGCAGAACCGGAACCTATGAACAAATACTCCAGGAAATTGGGATTTACCATCAACCATGTGGATTTTATTGACAAAAATGTGGGATACAAGATGATACAAAGGAATATAGTGGGATATAATAAGAGTTATAATGGGATCATATTAATTCAGAATGGGCCCCTGTTCATCCCCAAACCTAGAAGATTTAAGTCTGTACTTTCTATTCATTTTAAACATACCCTATCGCACTATCGATGAGCGGCTACACAGTTCATCCTCTTTGATGCTCGTTTTGTCCTGCGATTCAAGTGTTGAAAGGAGAACATGAAGACCAAAGCTGCTTTGATACCGCTCAAATATGATATGCATGTGTATCTACAGTATATGAGTATATGTATAAATATATGTATATGTGCAAAACACCCATAGGGATCAAACAATATGGAATAATGTTATATATATAATATATATATGTATACAGTAAATATATATTTAAACAAATATATGCTATAGACTAATCATGTGGCTATATATCAACGGTTCAACCTGGCTCCTGATCAGCAGGACACGGGTCATACAGTCACTGGCTTGATTTCACCGGAAGAAAAAGGACATCATGACCTGACAAACCCCACCAAATCCATATATTCCTCCAGCAAATTCACGTAGACCCTGCTTAAATTGCCAATTTTCAGTGAAAGTACGAAATCTTGCAATCCCCTATTTGGTGGGGTCTATGTGAATTTTCTGGAAATGCCAACCCCAAATCAATGAACCTCTGGGCTGTTGATGGCTGTTGATCATTGGGGGATCCCTGGGGTTAACTAAGAGATTTTCTCGAATCTACGTGAAGGTTTCCCCTAGGGTCATCATATCACCCGTCCAAGGTACGGTCCCCAAAGTCATCCAAGGAGTAGTCTTCTGCAGCGAGTTTGACATAGCCTTAGCTTTCAACAAAATTTTCACAGCAGTTTGCTGGCTTGTTTCACTTAACTGATGGATCATCGTGGTCAAGGCCTTTCGACAACCAACTTGGCCTTCGGTAAGATTTTATACATATATGTGGGCATCATGGTTTGACAGGGTGCACTAACAGCCATGGAAGGCACAAAGGGTCTGGGTTCCATGGTAAACATCCGAGTCCAGGAGATACTTCTTGCATCTGGTTCCTGAAATTTTGTCCAAATGAACATTTCAATCATGGGAATCATTTCCACTGTTTGGTGGGTTGAGCCATCCAGAATATAATGGTAGCCCCCAAAAGGATCGACATGTAACATCATGTAACATGTATCTATTCGTTTCTTTGAAGGATGAAAGTCATGTTTGAACCATGGCAAGTGCAAAACACAAGCCACGGATGACCCCAATGATAGCTGGTGAATAAACCTTCATTGGATCTTATTGATGGTGGTTCGTTGGTAGCAAATGAAACCATAGTCCCATGGTAAAACCCGAATTGCTAGGGGAGTGGCACGCCACTGACTAGGGCCAGTTCAATTCCAAAACCACACGAATCCAGATAAAACCAATAGAAAAAAAACAGCAAACAACACTTTTTTCCCCCTTCTTCCGGTGTCCAAAGTCATGGGCGATCCGGGGGATCCAACCCCCGATCCCCAAGGTCTCCAGACATTCGCTGAAGAAGTAAATGGTCAAGGGATTCAGCGCCGTGACCATGACCCACTGACGAATGTCATGCTTCCTGGCGCCGCCAATCCTGACGGAACGGAACTTGGAGCGGTTGATGGTTGCCAGGTGGTGTCACCCCTGGCATCATCCTTAAATTGAAGCATGTTTAGTATTGAAACCCATGGTGACTTGGGGATCCACCATTCTAGGAAACCTCCAGTTATGTTTGTTGGCTTTAGAAACCCGTATAGATACGAACGTTATCAGCAAATGAGCATCATCTTCCAAACATGTTTGACCTAGGCCCTCGTTTCCGCAAGGGGACAGCGTTTCCATTGACCCCAGCATCCCCGCCAGTCATACTGTTGCCTGGCAGGCGATAGACGTCACCAACACTATTGTTGCTGCAGCCAAGCCGTGCCTTGTGTCCCACTAATGTTTGCCCTGCAAACACCTCCTCTGAATCGTGACCCATTCGTTCCCTTGCAGTTGAGCGGCAGCAAAGGATTTTCAATATACTTCCTTGGCATCGGCCCGGTTGAAGTTTCTCATGGCCAATCTTAGATACCCTGCAAAACATGAAATTCTTAGCTGGTTGGTAGATAATCCCATTGATACAAAGACTAAAGGATTAAACTTCCCATCCAAGATTGACCTAGTCCTGAGTACTTCGTTGGCCTCGTCTATAAATAGGTACAGTGTCAAATTTGAAGGTGAAACAAGACATCCTGAGCACTAGTTTCACATGATGAGCTCCCGCGGCGCTTCACTGGGCAAGGTACTGGCAAACATAGCTGCAGCTCTTGCCTCCACGTCTAAGAGTCTAGAGCTGGGTGCTCAACAAGCGAGGGAAACAACAGACAGTAGTGCTGCAATCCCACCAAAAAACAACAGTGAGTTTACGGTAAAGCAATGTTTATTTTTCTAGGGCATGGTTCGCAATACGATTATGCCCCCAGAAAGGTGAAATTGGAGACATTTCACATGACTCATTCAATCTCTCTCTCTCTATATATATTTAATTCTTGGGTTTTCTCATGCAATCCGTGTGAGTCTGCTTGGTGAGAGGCCAGACGGGCCTTGGGAAACCCATCACAAAAAACATCCCAAGAGCGGTGGCGAACAACAACACCCCAAAGCACCCAACGCTGCTCTCAGCCATGTAAGCAAGTTGAACATCACAGGTCAGCTGGATCTATAGTATCTATAGTACCACATAAATAAAGCTAGACATGTGACTTACCACTGTTTTAGCAGGATCTTTTTTTAGCACTTTCCTATCTTTCTGGGGTTTGCTGTATCTTTTTCCGGGGTTCCACAACTCGTTGTGGCACCTCTGGAGTGTCGCAAGATTCGATCCAAATCGTTCTCCACCTGGGCAACTGGGATGATGATGGATGATGCACCTCGACTTGATTGCAAGTTACGTGCCGTGGTGCTCCCAACATAGTAAGCCAATAATTTTTAGTTATTGGAGTGTTGTTAGTTTTATGTTCACCAACTTAGCCATCGGAAACGGGGGCCCCACTTTGTAGAGAAAATATGAGAACATGGTGATGAATCAATGGATGGAATGGGAAACCCTATTTCTGGACAAGTGATTTCACATTTTGACAATGCTAATGCCGTGTTCAAAAGTTAATTCAATAGATTTATGGTTCTTGTGCATGGATGGGTGGTTGGAGCATCATTCATTGAGCACTACATTATCAGTATGCTAATGCATGTGAGTCTGGATGTCCCAGGATCTCTCTTCCCTATTTTGTAAACGGATTCAATGGTCCAAAATGGTGCAATCATCCTCTGCAAGCAACCTGTGGGAAATGTCGTCTTATGAATGTCTCATGGGACCATAAATTTCTTGAATTTAGGAATCTGGGGTCACGACACCATATATCCTGAAGGTGATGTCCCCACTGCTCGTGTGGAGAATGTCTCTTGCATGTTTATGCGGTACAAAAATAGTATGTATAATTGTTCTATCACATACAGTAGAGATGTTAATGTACTGTGCAAACCTCAAGAGTTGAAACTATATATGTACGCATCTACATGTGTATATACATGTATGCATATATACATATGGGCGCGTTTGAAATCAAACATATCCAAAAATGGCAATCTCAACAGGGAAAAGGGTGATCAACATTGACCATGGGAGTTTGGGGGTAACTACATGTTTACATGCAATTACCCTATATTCAAACATACCCCATTTCATATATATATATACATTATAATATGTATATGTACAACAATATATATATAAGTAATATTATTAAAATATATTATATATATCCACGTGTATGTATATTTATTATATACCTCTTGTGGCATGGTGCATCGGTCTGGTGCTCTTTTTCTTGCCGCACGATGAAGTCGCAAGCACGATGCCGAGATGCTGCGAGGATTGGCCGTTTTTTGTCTATCCAGAAGAATCTGAGGAGTTCACATGTGAAATTTCCAGGAAAATTTCCAGCACAAGAAACAAATATATGGGCAAACTACTCTGGTTGGTGGTATACCTACCATCTTGAAAAATGATGGATTTCGTCAATGGGAAGGATGGCATCCCATATGTTACGCAAAATAAAAACATGTTTGAAACCACCAACCAGTAATGGTTTTTGATGCTGTAAAGCACCAAATATGGGGTGGTTCAGCAGCATTGTATTCTGCAAATTCTGGGATTGGCCTGGTTGATCAGCAGCTGGTGCTGTGATGGGTGCCAAAAAGAGTGGGTCTTGTGGCTACGCCAACATCTACGCCGCACATGGGCTTGAGATAGGAGCATCTCCACATTTCTATCTACTATAATTAAAACGCCTGTGCAGTAGAATCAGAAGTATATGAGATTATCAATGTCACAGCCAAACAATGACTCATTTAATTTAGCAATCTGAAAGTAATTATATTACCAGGTGACCAAAGTTGGCAATGGATAAGTCTTTCTTTGATAATGATAGATGGCTATCGTACATTTGATGCGATAGAAATCGCATCCTCAGATTCCTCAAATTCCTCAGATCAGCTCGACATTCACTGCCTCTGCCTTGCCAGATCCTATCTCTACTCTGAAGCTAATCATGTCTCCCTCTTTCAAGCTGGTCCTTAGTCGCAGCAGGGCCCAGCGCATGGGTACCATGGGTACCTGTACCCATGGGGATGACCCACAAGACACCAGTCTCTTCTGCATCTTGCTGAGGGGTAAGCATACCAAGCTTACTCAATGCTTGATTTGGTGTTTCCATGTGTTTCCGAAATATTTTCCCATGTGAAGTAACGGAAGAACCGTTGCGACAAAGACAGATGCAGGATTTTGGTGCACCATGAGCATCTTGAAAATTCAAGACCGCCAATCAGGTTCCACAGGCTGCTTCGCTGAACAGGACATAACAGGACCAAGGGGCGACAAATGTCCATTTGACCTGACAACACTGCGGCTACCCTCTGGCGTCAGAGATCCATCATGATTTGCCGTTGCGAAGTTTGATCTTTCAAAGGGCTCCTCTGTTGATTTACAGCACTTCTCGCGGGGATGTAATTCGTTTCAAACAATCCACCCAGGAACTTCACACGCGCCCACCAGGATACAAAAAATGGGAATTTCAGGATCCTAAAATGGAGGTACGTTAGTACCATATAAGGCCATGTTCCTGGGGATATTCCCTTACATAGGCCTTAAATAGGCCTTACTGTATATATGGTAGGTACCTCCAATTTAGGTTCCTGAAATGGCCAGTGAAAAAACAAGACATGTGGGCCATGTGTGAAAAATCTCCTGATCTCCAAGGGAAAAGGATGTGGATATTTCAACAACACCATGGCCCCAATCTGGGTGGTATTTATTTTCGATGCATCCATGGTTTTTTCGTATCTACGGTACCTTATTTTTTTTTGCATAATCAGCACTTGATCCCTCTTTCAGAGTATGAACCTGGTCTCTCCCAATGAAGAAACGAAACAACTTGGACACTTCTTCGATATCAAACTTCCTTTTCAGAATATGTGTATATATATATACAATAACTCCCCAGTTCCAAACTCAAGGATTTCTCCATTTATTCCAACGCAGCTCCCATCCTTTCGAGATCCCAACCCACCTAGTTCCAACAAAGAGATCCCCGGCGAAGGATTCCGAGATCACAAAGCCCCAGTCGCCTCTAAAACTCCTAGGCTTTAGTGAAACGGACGACCAGGGATGGCCGTAAGGACCCAGTTAAATGAAAAACCATTTGGAACTACCATGGATTCCATCTTGGTAGAAAAACTATTTGAAGAAAAGCTATTTGAAAACCTCTGATTGGATTGATTGGATTCCAGAAATAACTTCGAACACTGTTTTTTTGGGGGGGCAATCTTTATGGAATCATGGGCTAACCAGTCAAGTGTGATGGTTTCTTGTATTTTTCTAAAAATATGGGAATCGACATAATAGCAAAATATGTACCATAAAATCCGGGATTTCTCTCTCCCTCTATAATTCTACATATGTAGCATATGCAAACATAAATGTATATGTGTGCGTGTGTTTGCCTTGCCGCTTCACAGTGGACATCTTTGTACAGAAACATGTATAGTGCAGGTGGGGGCAAACATCCGCTGGTGGATCTCCGAACAACCGCCTGGTGTGGCATATGATAATCATAACAACCTGATGCATCCATCTAAGCTTGATGCAGTTGATAGAAGTTAATCGCTTTTTGTTTTCAACATTTATCATACGATTCCCCGGATGCTACTAATTGGCAATCACCGGCTTGATATCTAGCAGCTAGCGTAACCGATATAGGTCAAGGGGAAATCCACCGACCTTGGATTTTCGCCTGTGTGAAACCACCAGCAAAGACGCAGGAGTGGGAGTTTCCGTTGCACCGTAAGAGGTCTGCAATGATCCCTTCCCCCTAATACTTAACCCCCCCCGCCCAAATAATAAACACCTCAGGGAGTTTTTATCATTAAGGTGGTATTTATTATTAGGGAACCCTAATAAATCGAAACCCTTAATTAATAAAAAAAAAAACGATTTCAACATCAATTAATTTTCCTTATATAATGCAATTAAACTATTGCCAAAAACTGGATTTCGAAGCGGACCCTATTAATAATAAATTGAAACCCTTAATTTAAAAAACTCAAATTTTCACGGACCCCAATAATAAACACCCCGGGGTTAACTAGTTTTTTTTAATTAGGGGGCGAAACCCACAAATGGTAGCTTTATTTTTGATTTGTTTTCTAAAGGGGATCAATTAAAAGTCAAATTGGCCAACCTGAAATTATCCAAAATTAGAGATAAACCCTAGTTTTTATTATTTGGGGGAGGTTTAGGAATAGGGGGAAGGGATTAATAAAGCAGGGGCGGTATTTCTCGCAAACATATGTATATATTATATATATATATATGCTCTTGCAGTATATTTATTATGCAACAAATATAACAAGTTTGATATATTTTAACCATACAGTACATGCACAAATTCTGCTGAAAAGATCTGAGAAAAGATAACTATGTGAGCATGAACCACCAGGCCCACAACTCTTCCCAGCTTGTACGCATCTGTCCTGACGGTGCCAGTCAACCTTGGCTTCGCGAAATGTTTTTAAAGTAATTAATCCGACTTGATTTGAGGGTGAGAAATCTGAAGCTAAGATTCAGGTGAGTGCTCATGCTTCTTTGTTGGCCATACCAGGCCCTTGAAACATACATATCTGCAAACTGTTTCTTACTACTCCGTTTGCCATTCTTCCCCTGGCCACCCTCAACTGTGCCTTCAAAAGGCTCTCCCAAACCAAACTTTTTGACTGTCAAACTACGATCCCACCTCCAAAAGAAAAACACGCATGTTTAACTCTTGCAGGCCTAACTGCCCCGTCAAAAAAATTGAAAAACAAAACTCTTGCTGGGTCACCAACAATATTTGCAGAAAGAACGGTGTTCTCCGGGTGAGCAAGTAATTAGGACAGCCATCTTGGCAAAATTGTGGTGCTGCATGGTTGCCACATCCAAGAATGATCCCACGTGCAATCGACAACCACTCGGATATCACTAAAAAATACGTTGTCCTAACGTAACCTGGCTAGCTGGAACATACTTCTAATAGGAAAATCAATGGGATAATCAAGAATAGGTGGTTTTCCCGTTGAATCAGCCTTAAACTCCTTCAAATCGGAAACCTCACCATGAGACAAACATCCAATAACATCCACCATCGAATCACCAAGTTCCATCCCCCTGTTCCATCCCCCTGTTCCGTGGAAGCAGCGGCCAAGGCACTTTTTCCCCACCAACGTGGCCATCTCCCGCGCCTTCCTGGGCGATCGGCTCCGGGACGGGACCGGCACCGGGAGCACCGGGAGCACCGGTGAAGTCGTCGCATGCGTCGCGGGGCTCAGGATGCGCACCTCGGGATGGATACCCTCTGGTAATTTAACATAGCTATGGAAAATCACCATTTTCAGTGGGAAAATCCACTATAAATGGCCATTTTCAATAGCTATGTTAAATTACCAGAGGGTATCAACCAATACACGAACCATATAGTTGGCCACCTTGAACCCTAAACCTTCACGGAGTTTTTGATACTTATAGCATCTTATAGCTAACTAATAGTGAGGGTTACTGATACTTATTAACTTAACTATAGTTAATTGATTAGTATTCATCTGTTAATGAATGTCAATGTTTTCTTTCTGGTTGGTGGTTTCAACCCCTCTGAAAAATATTAATCAGTTGGGATTATTTTATATTCCCAATATATGCAAAGAATAAAACATGTTCCAAACCACCAACCAGTTTTTCAATATTCCCCATACAAACATGTTACATGTTCCCCATAAATTCCATAGTCTTGGTTGATGTCCTGGGATGCAAAATCACCTGAAACATCCTCAGAAAACCTGAGCGTCCTAATGAACTATACCGGATCAACTGATCATGATTATATACCGGATCTAGTTATTATAATTATATACCGGATGTATTTATTATGATCATCATAATTTAATATAATTTATGGTTTCAATTTTAAGAACCACGGATAGTGTATCTATCATGGCAGTCGCCCACGTCAGTCGCGCGACGTTGGAGGCTTCGAAGGTGTCTTTCTCTTTGCTCACATCCTTCAGAGTGCGGGTGGCTCCCACCAAGTGGCTAGCCCAACCCGTGAAAAAGTTGGGGAAAAAATGGCTTGACATGGCTTGACATAGCAGATAACCACCAGCTTCTGGATTTTGTGCTTGTTTGGCCAGGCGTAGCTCCATGTCTCTTTCTGGATTTGTTTTCAGGTCCAAGTCCAGGTTCCAAGGTTAGTATCGGACATAGCTGGAATTGAAGCTGGGGTGGAAGTTACCCATCATCTGCTCAGCATGGAACAAAGAGAACACACGTGTTGGACATGTCATTAAACATATACTAATGTATATATATATATACACATACAATCATATTAGATGTGAAAAATGCATGCATGACTATTCACTCATGATCAAACAATTACTACGGGCTATATTTCTAAATTGTACCCTGTTGCTTCACCATTGCAGCCTATACTGCGCGGCTGAGCCACTCGCGTGATCCGGAACTCAACAATGTCTCCAGTCACCAAGGGGCCACCCAAATGTCGGTTGCCTCCAGTGCAGACATGATGCAACACATTTTAAATGGGTCAAACATGGGACTTCAGTTTGATTTTAATGGAATTTTATGGATGTTCAATGAGATTGAACCATCAACAATGGGAATAGTGGTCCCCCTCATATATCTCAGATGATCTCTAAATTAGATTCAAAATTCTTGCAAGAAATAACATCGACGTTAGAACCATCGAAAACCCAGCCCCTTTTTTGTCAACTCTTACAACACGGCGTGAAAACCAACCCAACACACTTGCATCCCAAAAATGGCCAATAATCATACTGTATGTAGTATACTTACGATGGATGGTATGTCCTAAACTCCAGACGTTATTGCAGCTTTTGTTTTGGGGGTTGAAGTTACAGTTTCACGCTGACAAGCCCTCACAAACTGCCTGTCCGCATGGTTCTTGGGTCATGTTCTTTTGGACAGTGCACGGTTCCGCGTGGCTTGAGTTTATGTGAACAAAATTTCATGCATATCTGAATGCATGCACTTATAATATAACATAATAACACATAAAATATTATAATCATATAAATATATATGTACATAGAATTATAATCTAATAACATATGATATGCTAATCTAATACAATCTAATATAGTCTAACAAAAATACAATATAAAATAAAACAATATATACTATAATATAATATGATAAAGCATTATACGGCAACATAATATAATAGAATATAAAATACAATATAATATATTATAATAACATATTATAATACAATACATAATACATATATATATAGATAACATATGTATATAATATGTATCTCGATTTGTCGGTTTATTGTTGTGTATGTGCGTAGCTGCATAAGTACGTAATTGCGTATGCATGTCTGTATGTCTGCATGTATGTATGCATGCATGGATCATGATGATGTATGCATGTATGTTGGTCTCCATGTATGCATGAATGCGTGGATGCATGCATGTATATATGCATGCATGTCATGCATGTATGTGTCTATGCAAATGTGTCATATCCACATATTCTACATGTATCATTTCTCCAACATTTGAACATAGAACTATGGAATTGCCGCATCCTCCGCCCAGGTACTTCTCAAGCCCACGAAAACGTCGCCATCGAAGTGAGGTGAAGTGATGAACCCCCACTCGCCACTGAACTTTCCTAGGTCTCACTGGGAAAATGATCGGGATATGATAGGGATAATTAATTAATGGGGATTTAAGCGTTGATATCTACATATTAAGGGGTGAATCGTGAATAATCACTGAACTTGTGTGGGTCAAACCATACATGGAGGTACCTGCAGTTATCATCCACTTTTTCATTTTCGTTTTTTTCCCTTCACGGGATAAACCATCCAGCTATTGGGGTGGAACCCACCATGTGTGTATGCGTCAATTGAATCGTGACAGCCATCCAACGAAACAGAAGCATATGGAAGTCAAAAACATTCAAAAACGACCAGAGTGACTGTCTCTAGTGGGATGTTCATCCACCAACATCTATGGTGTTATCAGCGGAAAAATGATTTGTGGCGTACATTACCACAATATTTCACAACTGTGGCAGCTGGGCCTCAGACGTTGACCATCACTGGTTGGGTATTGATGTTTGGGCATCATGTGGATGTTATCATCATAATTTATCTGTTGTTTGTTCACTGGGTCAAACAAGGGGAAAAGGGGTATGCCCTATGCATCCCACATATCAAGTGATTAATGGTTGGTTGAGAGGTGGGCTCCAGCATTGGGCGAAGCCAAGAAAACCATTTGACTTGGTTAAAATCTCAATGGTTGGGAAACCACCTATTGTTTGTTCATGATCATCTTTCTATATATATATATATCATATATGGATCCAGTACTAGTTTCAAACCCTAAAAGTACTCATATCCTATCTGGTTGCTGGTTTCAACAAGATATAAGTTGGTTTCTAACCCAATCTAAATATAGTTATAAGTAAGTATCATACACCAACTTGTTATAGTTACAAACCAACTTCAACCAATCGCGATTCCGACCTGGGGCCCCATCCGGTGCTTGCAAGGACCGATGAAGACCGCTGTGATCCCACATGAAATATCCGCCGAGTTGCTGACGGTTCCGCTACAAATTTGCCCCAGGAGCTCTGACAGCGGCGAAGTTCGGCGCAGCAGTCGCACCTGGACGGCTGCGCTGGTGCGGCGGTTGTCTGTGTTGAATCGCGACTGGTTTAGACTTGGGGGATAGTTCACTATAGACTTTCCCGGTAGCATGTGGAACATGGCCCATTTATGGATGAATTAGCCATTAAGATGGTCATTTTTTGCATCTATGTTGATTTGCCCGAAGATAACTAGGGTTTATGGTGATGAATATGGTTAGATGGGTTGTAAACCAGTGAATTTATAAAAGGGAACACAACTTTCTAGGAACAAGTGGAGGTATATACATCTAATATACTAAAAACTAATGGGAAGTCCCAAAGTTCAACCCTTTCTACTAAGAAAAATCTTTCATTGTGCTCTTTATAGAGGGCTTTCCACAATCTGCCATCATCCCCAATCTACATATGGAAGACAACGAAGATGAAAGTGAATGCAGAGTCGGACGCCTCGTTCCCATATAGTGCGGTGGAACCGCATATTAACAAGTTGAAAAAATGTCAGAAAATATCAAGTTGGTGGTTTCAACCTGGTTCAAGTTGAAGCTAGTAGTAAAGCCATGGAACCGTTTCAAACCAGAACCAGTGACCAGTGACTTCCGAGCCTTAAGTGGATCAACATGTCCTAGCATGCAAAACTACTTCTTGGCAATTTGCGGTTGGGGTGAGGTGTGTTCATATTCATACCTTGTGGATCATAATTTGGATGTATTAATGCAAATCCTATGTGTTTTTATCATGTTCCTTATTAAATTGCCATTTGGGGGATATACCCCATTTTCAGGCACACCCATACTTGGATTTGCTCAATGAACTAACAAAAAAATCCCAAATGCTGGATTTCCCCTTTTGGAAAACAAACAACTGGTTGGTGGTTGACCTACCCCTTCTGAAAAATATTGTCAGTTGGGAGTATGACATTCCCAATATTGTATATGGAAAAAATCAAAAAATGTCCCAAACCACCAACCAGATCATCTTCAGCACATCGCATATCATCCCATGTCCCAGATTTCCCAATGCGCCGAGCCACGTTTTCAGCGTGGAGTCGTTCGCTGCCACCCACGGTGAATTCGACCGTCTCCCCTCGTTCGCCAACATCGATTTCCAATGGAAATGCTTGACTTACTTTCAATTCAAGTAGACACCTTTCATATATCCTTTCATTAGTTGATCACACCATCTCCAGCGATGCAGGTTCAGAAGTTGATTTGACAACACCGCCCAGACAAGATGACCTGCCAAGGCGAAGACTGAGACGGCTTGGAACTGCCGCAGCAGAAGCTACACTGTCTCCAGTGCCCCCAGACAATCAGAAAGGATTAGATGGCTATCCAGACAGCATGGCCCCTCAAACTCCGACCCAAGTGCAAGAACCAGAGCAACAAGAAGCTACGCAAGAAGCAAAGCCATGTCTATCCCAGTTAGTTGCTGGATAATGATAACCAACCAGACTTTAACCCACTTATGGGATATACCCCCACTTACATGTTTGTTATTTATTATATAATATATTAGTCCAATTTCCCACCTGGAACTGCGCTCTCAAGTGTGAAAACACGACGCTTTGAATGGAGGCTTTAATGGTAAAACCATCCATAATGGATGATTTTCCATTGGTATGCTTGATGAAATTCACCAAAGCAGCCATTTGCTGACTTCTCTACTTTACACCCCAATCCCTTCAACATAGTAAAAACAATAATGATAAACAGAAGAACATGATAATGATAACGATACTCAACATGAACATGATATCAATATATTGAATGATACAGGTAGTATAACAATAATATTTGTCAGTTGGGATTATGACATTCCCAATATATGGAAAAATAAAAACATGTTCCTAACCACCAACCAGTCATATATGTAATATACAATAATAAAAAATACCTCTTTAAGTCTACCCTGACAGCCACATGGCACCTGGTGACAAAGGTGGTAGCCCTGGATTATCCCGAAGATGGAGGAACACATCCCCTTGGCCGACGCCGAGATATGAAAGCTTCGCATTGCTGGGATGAAGTGCTAGATTACATTCAAGAATTCAACATACCAGCAACGAACTTGGAACAATTATATCCAAAACACTTTAGCTCGATGGATCGATAGATAGATAGATGGATGGATGGATAGATAGATAGATAGGTAGGTAGGTAGATAGACATACATATATATATAGAATATAGAGTATGCCAGTTCTGAAGTGAGTAGAAACACTAGCATGCAGGTGACGCATTGTGATGGATTTGATGCACACCATTGCCTGGCAGATCCAATATGATCTTCTTTTGGCGATCCCCTGGGGAGAAAAAGAACACACACACACACACCTTCAGCCGGTTATGTGGCAACTCCATCTAAGCCCCAAAACACTGAAAATCAACGTGTATGTCTACACTCCATCCAGCAATCACCTTTGCTCTGGAAAAAAAAACAAAGTCGAACCTAAGGAGCTCCTCCATCAGCATTTGATTAATTACAAAGACACTCGCCAAAACATCCGGCAAATGGATGTGCATTCAACATCATTCAACCATCTTTAACCTCAAATATGCCATAATCATGCCGGCGGATCTTTTACCGTCCCACAAAAGCGGGGTTGGGGGTGGGGTGGGGTGGGGCAGTAACGTCCCAGGCAAGGGGTGGGAGGTGGTGATGGGGAGGGCCCAAGATATGTGTGCATATAATGTTCTTGGGTTGATGCATATTTTCTTTTTTCATGCGTGGTTTTCATGTTGACGGAAGAGTTGAAATGTAGATTGAAACGCCAACATTTTTTTTCCCATTCTTTCTTCTGACATTCTCTGAATTGAATTTAATTGGTAGAATGTGGAGACATTTTAAAATTCAAGACCACATCCGTGCCTTGTGATGCCCAATGGAAAACATCATGAAGATTTTGAGTCTTCTCATCCTGTTAAAGCTGGCTTCAGTTTCACTTCTACCGCTCCTTGGAGAATTGATGAGAATTGCCTTCAAACTTCGGTTGTTGTGGCCGACCTGGATTGCACTGTCACACTGTCAACAGAAAATCGATAAACATCGATGATGCATTTTCTGCAATCAAAATCAACATTTCGCTAAAAAGAAACAATGATTTTTGTATAATTGTGGGACCGTGAAAGATCCGGCGAGATAATCATGGGTGAAACCGGTGAAACCATTTAAAAAAAATGAAAAACTATGAAAATTGGAAGGCCTTGGTCCAACAGCCCGAAATAGCCCGAAGACCCGCAACGTTCCAAGGCCCAGTTTCCCTCCAAAGAGTCCGAGGTAATGAAACCCCATTCGCCGCGAAAGCTTTTCACCTTCCCAATGCAGGTCTGTCCTGGGGCTCCATGGGCTCCATGCGACACAGGAACTGAACTGTGTAATTAGAAGTGGGACAACACCAGTTACCCTCTGGTAAACTAACATAACTATGGAACATCACCATTTTCAATGGGTAAATCAACTATAAATGGCCATTTTCAATAGCTATGTTAGCTTACCAGAGGGTATAAATTCGTAAGTGGCTTATAACCCAAGTTAATCCAGCAGGGTAGACTAATGGATTAGCATGGAGCCGAGGTCTAGTCCGATTCTCCCCCGTCCTGGAGCAATTCAGATGGTCTTCTCCAAGAATTGCGGCATGTAGTCCAAAAAATCAATGGTTTGACACCATTCTAAAGCCCAGTAACACTTGCAATTTAGCGGTTCCCTTTCCGGACAACCCTGTATGACTAACATAGCATACTATCTATACACTGCCAAAACAAGGGCTATGAAGTGAGGCCTGGTATCCTGTATGACATAAAACATGAACTCATTATGCGTGTTGCGGACCCGGTAAGTCGATCTTGATCGGTGTTGTATCCAGCTTGGTTGTTCAAGCCTTCAAACCTGTGAGTGGATGATCATCCATGCTTCCCAAAAAGCATGCAAAACCCTTGATATACTCTTCATCATGAATCATGATTGAATAGAATCGTATGACCTGTTATCTTTCTAGTCCCACCCCTTGGAAATGAAGACACACATTGCGACATTCTGCGACCCAAAAATGAACAACTCCAAGGTCACATCAGGGTTGCTGGAGGACTTCTCATATCTCATTATAAGCTACAAGGGTTCAGGAAGTGATTGGGAATGTGGAAACCCCAGTAATAAATACTTCGCCATTTGTGGTTTATGGCGGATCCTGGACTTTCTCACTGCAGTAATTATATCCCGTATATACATATATATAGATATATCCATCTATTATATTATACTACTATATAGTACTTCACCAACCCAACAAATTCAGCTATGTATAGCTATGTGGGGATGATCCCCTCTATATTAGCCATCTTTAACTTTACGTCGGTACGTGATGCGACGTGAGGCCGTTATAATTTCACATAAACAAAATAAAACATAATGATTCAAACAAAAAACAAAGAATGATTAGCACAGAATGGGGAGATTCCAGCTCGAATTTGAATAGGATTTCTCGTTTCTGGTGTTTTTCCGTGTGCCTTTTGTATCTCTCGGCTATACCATCCATCCATCATGATGACGGCTGCATCAAGCGTCCTTCCTTGGTGTCCTTCTGCACCTGAGTAGTGGGAAAATCATGAGGCTGGGCTGGGTACCTTGGGGTAAACTAGATGTGGAAAATGGTCCGTTTATAGATGATTACCTATAAAATTTAGTGAGCTTCCACATCTATATATGTTAGCTCACAGGACGGATTCTTTTCCTCATTCACTGACCAATTTTTTTCGGTTATTTTGGGAGGGTTACGCCAACCATCGTTCTAGTGAGGCCGCGACGTATATATATATAATTATATATATACATATGGTAACTTAGTATATACATATATAAATACATATACAAACAATATGATCTTGATCTTGATGTTGTATCTGGATTTGGTAAATATGCAACCGGAGACGACCATGGTTTGACGGGACCCAAAAATCTACAAAGCGTTCTTGTGAATGTTCCCGCTATCCAATTCCGGGAATGACGCAATGCGGCAAAAGACGTCATCTGGGTATGTGTCAACATGGGGCATCCATGACATTGGATGGTTAATAAAGTATGCGACCAACCTAGGGCCTCAATTTCTCGCCCATACCCATCTAAAAGCATGGATTATCATGGCTTTCACGCAAATGGGCGACGTACCGCCCACATGGAGTCACTCAAGATCTTGCTAAAGTACCAATCAAACATCATCAAACTAGAAAAAGGTTATCGCCAATCGGGATAGTCCCGCTACGAGCGGGATCTGATCCTCATGTTTCCTCGGTACCATCTCTATCATGCACGTGTAAATATATATATATGGTTCATATAAAAAGAAAGAATAAAATGCTATATGTATATATAAAGGTTAAAATATTATTACAGACATGTTTTTTACATGTAGATTCTCTGTAAAACAAATAAATAAATAAATATATATATATATAGTCAGTATATATAAATCCACACGCGCGCACATAGATAGATATATATATATATATATTTACATACATATACATATATAAAATAAAAACATATATATATATATATAATTATATATATATCATATGCTTTAAATACATTGATTGCATGTTCTAGCATCGGGCATTCCGAACCTCTCCTTTGAAACACTTGAAGATGGAACAATGTTGGAACCGCATGGCTTTGCAAGATCGGCGGTGTCAGGATCGATTCCATGGTGAAGTGGGGTGAAATCAACAGTGGCATACCCTATGTGAGTGATGTTGGGTAGGGTATCCTCCCAATGGTTATCAGTCTACATTAACGGGATATGAGAGGAAAACACAGGCCAGGTCTTTGCGGTAGGTGTACGCTCTATATGATGATGATTTCATGATGATGATGATGATATTAATCTATGGTTGAAAAGTTGCTTCTTAACCATTAGCATGCATCAAGTATCCGCTGGCCACCAGCAAGTTGACATGGCAATGTGAAATCCAAAGTTTTGAGGTAAAACCATCTAAAAACCATCTAAAAACAGATATAAACGAAAAAAATGTCTGCTGCCATGTTTGATCAATCAATCCTATTCCCCGTATGTTCCTATAGTATATATAGGTATCGAATACCCCATATGGCCCCGCGAATGGATCCCTTTGTTCAACCCAGGGTTTAATATGGTTTAGCTTACGGGGTATCTAATATCCAGAAATATTGGGGAATACCCATGTTTTTTTTTGGGCACGTATGAATGAGGGCATCTAATACCATTGAATACACATTATTAAACCATTATTAAACCATGGTAAACCCTCCTTTTTACCCATTGAATACCCATGATTAGTTGATTACTTTCAATGGGTAAACCCTCCGTGACATCGCTTAAGGCACCGTGGAGTTGCTTCGTGCCACATCCACTGCATGCAGTTCACCCGTCTCCTGCGAGATCCGCGGGAAACTTGAACCATGAAACTCCAACGAAAAGGGGCACCCTAAAAGAACGAGGAACATCAGATTATATATGATTATCAAATATCATTATATCATGATAATTAGTGATCATATCAACGTCAAACCTAAACTTTTTACAATCTTTAAGGCATCATCAACGAGGAATCATAGTAACCATACCATTTGGTTGTCCTCACACCGCATCAGCTGTAGCCTTGTGTGGCATCATGTCCCGGAAAATCTCTAACGAAATGTTTCAAGATGTTTCAAGCCACCAGCCACTACTTGGTGGTTAAACCGTTGACCCCAATGAGTATGTGGGCATGAGCAGGGTAGGATTCAGATCTGATTGGGATGAAACCACCAGGTCATATGGGTTTTTCTGAACATAGGATGTCCTACCCTCTAGTAAACTAACAGTTGGCTATTGAAAATGGACCATTTATAGGTGATTTTCCTAATAAAAATGGTGATTCCATAGTTATGTAAACGTTTACCAGAGGGTAATTTTCCAGCCAAATCCACTGGATCATCTTCCCGATTGAATTGGCTCGGAGGGCATACCCCATTGTAAGACGCATCCTAATTAATATAGTACAGTATAGTAACTTAGAAATCCTCACAAAGATAGAAATCAGACTCCTGCCAGGAATGGCAAATAATTGTTCCTTCTGTTTGGTGGTTACTCGGAGTTACTCGTGTATGTTTCGAAGATATCCCTCTTTCAGCTTGGCCCAGGACGGTTCCCCCATGTCGTAAAACACACTAAAACCAGAACCATAATTTCGAGACATTTTTGGACTTGGTAGGCCGCGGTAGGCCAGTGATCTTGCAATAATTCGCTGGTTTTACCATGGTCCCAGTTTCTCAAAACATTTACGGCGCCGCGATGTGAATCTGACCTCATCCTGCTGGATGTTGAAGACCACAGACTCCCCGGACTTCAACGGCGTCTTCAGCCGAGGATTCTTGTCTTGGCGCGGTTGGGTTCAGCTGGTGCTTCCCTGTCTTTGCCAACTTCAAAGAAACTCTACGCTGGGAGTTAGTTTCAACTCAAAGCCAGCTGAGACAAGAACACATTGGCTTATAAACCCCATGAATATTATGTATATTACTATAGATTGACCATTGATTAACCACATATCAGTCCTAACTTAGTGTATGAAAATTCCCATGCTCATATAAGAGTCCATTGCATGTTCATGACATGTCCAGTTGGTCAGCATGTGATTGGAACGATGCCGTTGTGCCCAAGGGGCCCTTTGAGCCGCTCTCGGCTTGGACGTTGCGTGTGGATGGAAAAGTGAGGTCCTTGCGGCCTACATTCGTTGCTGTGTTTATCCTTGAATTGTTGGAAACAGCTACCATTGGAACACCCGCTTCTTCATGGTAGCGGAGCCGCGCTCCTACGGGACCGGCTGCCGTGAAGCAATCATTGCTTGAGACTGGAGCGATACGCTCTTTCTGGTGAGGACATTAGGTCCTAAGGTGAGAACCGAGACTATCTTGTCTCTCAGGTATGTCGCTTGAGAAGCAGGATGCCTTCAGGGAACTGCAATTCAGCGGAAAGCCATCAGATTACAGGGATTTCAGACGGAAGACTATCTTAGCAGTAGCTGGTTTGGAGGACAAACATGCATACCTTGCAGGACCACGTTTGCTTAGCAAGTTGTCTGGAGAAGCCTGGAGAGCCACCGAGCATCTGCAAGTTGCAGAGCTTCGGAAATCTGATGGATGGCTGTTAGTGATAAAGGCATTGGATGCCCACTACAGGTACTTGCCAGAAACTGAACTGCATGAGGCCATAGAAGAATTCCTGTTCATGCTCAAGCGAAGACCCAATGAGGGTGCTACATCGTTTTCGTCACGTTTCCGTACACAGCTGGATAGAGTTCAGACTTTGATAGCTCAGGAACGGACGACGACGAAACAGAAACGACGACGACGCAGTGCAAAGGGTTCCAAACCTCAGTCGGAAGCTAGTAGCTTAGAAGAATCTGACGGTGAAGACGATGCGCCGCAAGCAGTGCCGCCAACCATGGATGATCCTGCTAGTGCCACTGATGAACCAGAGACACCGTTTGATGCTTTTGCCGCAGAGGGTAGTGAACATGCACCACCACCGTCCGCACATGGACGAGCTGCCACGGATCCAGTTCGCTCAAAACCGCCATCAATGACTGGAACTGAGAAAGGTACCAAGAGGCGTCACAAGACGTCATCGCATGGAACGTTTGAGCAAGATCATGCTGCAGGCCAACGACGCATGCAACATATGCTGGGCACCTTGGAAATTGGACATTTGACCCCAAAGCCGATTTTTCCTCAGAGTGTGCTGGGCCACCTATACATGCGGAAGTTTGGACTGTCTCGAGATCAAAGGGCTCAGATTATTCGTGCAACAAATGGTTCTTCTCGTTTCAAAGATGTGGAGAGAATCATGAGAGCAAGTGATCTGGAAGAAACTCGTGGAGATGATCGGCGTCAACACAAACAAACACGCCGAGACACATATGTAGTGCAATCAGAACCTCAATCTCATGTCATGCTGGCTGAAGGAGATGATGAATCCTCTGAACTGGTAGACTTTGAGAATGACCTGAGTGAGACTTCAGAAGATGTCTTAGCTGCTGAGGGTCGCGATGAGGACTCTGATGATGAGGCCTATGAAATCATGGAGCTCCACAAGAAGTCCAAGGATAAGGTCCGAAAGGCTTTCAGGTCTTACAAGGAGTCAAAACGGAAGGTGAAGGAGATCAAAAAGAATCGACAGTCATACTATCCTGTGGTTGCTCTTTCGCAGCCTGCTGATGGTTCTGTGGCAACTTCTTCACAGACGCCCCTGCAGAAACAGCCTTTCAAATATGATCGCAAACCTGGAACTGCAAAAGGAGTTGGCAAAAAGAAACCTGACACAAGGTCCCGTAAGGAGGAAGCCAATTTCACTGAGACAAACATTGCGACATCATTCAACTATATGGTCGAGTGGGATGATTCTGGAACTAGTGTTTTGTCTGAGGATGTTTTACTTGCAAGTATTCCCAGCGGTTTTGCAATCATTGACACAGGATGCACTACATCAGTGATCGGACGTGACCATGCAAATCGTTTGATTGATTTTCTGCAGAAGCATCAGCTTCCACAGCCGGAGTCGAGACAGTTGCCTCCGGTCGAGTTGAAAGGTTTTTCAGGTGAAGCCACAACAACAACTGAAGGGTTGGTATGGTATGTGCAGTTGGGACAGATTTGGGGAACAATCACCACCTATGTCATTCCTGGTCGAACAGCATTCCTTCTTTCAAGACGTGTTTTGGAAGGTATGAACGCTCAGTTAGACTTGGGAGCCAAAACTCTGACATCCATGAAACATGGTATTTCTGGTATGGTGTTGAGACAAGCCTCAAATGGTCATTTGCTGATGCCACTTTGGCACCTCCCTGATGAATGGAAACCTGAAGAGATTCACCTTGAAGAACATGATCCTGTAGGAAGCGAGACTGCAGAGAACGAGATCTATGAGCCCAATGACACCGAGACCACTGCCACTCAGCGACATGTGCAGTTCTGTCCAGAAGCCAAGGACTGCAATTCCGATGCTGTGGGTAAGTCATCTAATAAAGGTAATAATACCCCAGAAAAAATAAATCTCAAGGGATCATGGGCTAAGGGTAAGCGGAATGAAAAGGGTAGAATCACCCGAAATGACCAGCGCAGTGCACTCCAGCACATTGCAAAGCATACCAAGAAAGGACTGGTTGATCTTGAAGCCATGAACATACCCCTAAAAACACTTTTTGGGACATGTAGCCAAGAGATCAAATATGCCTTCATAGCCTATAGACCAAAACTTGAGAGAATGCCCTATAGTGCAGAAAGTGAAGAATGGTTGAGATCGATTGTAACTCTTTCTAACGATGGTGAATTCAACATGAGTCCCTGGGCCATCCGTTCACCTGATGCTGTCCGCGGAGGAGTTGCCCCGACAAACTTAGCCCTTTTTGCGTATAGGAAGCCAGTTTGCCTGACAGTTCAAAACCCGAGAGGAACAACAATGTTGGTGTTGTAATGATCAAGACTTGGAGGGTGTAGATATCAGCATAAAGGGGGATAGTGGGGGTAAGGATCTTGAAGCACTATATGAGGAAGTAGATTGGTTGGAACCTAACCTTTGCCAGTTGTCCCACAAAAGTGCTGACCTCATCCGCCAAAGTATCAAGTCTGTCAAAAAGACCAGTTCCCAGCTTGTCCTCTCGCGGCTCTTAAGTGAGCCGGATGCAGTTGAACGTGAGCTCAAGGCATGGCTTGGAGATCAGGCACATAAACTCAACAGTCCTGTCGAACTTGTTGAAGTCTTTACCGATGCCGCACCTTTATCAGCAGCAGTTGAAAAGCTTTGCCCAGGTACTGCTATTCGCATTGGTATTAAACATGGTCAAGATTTGAGTAAGTTAAAAGATCGACAGTTGCTGCTGTGCCTGATTGCATGGACCAAACCAAAACACGTTTGGTATAGTTGGCCGTGTGGAGCATGGGGCCCATGGAGCCGATTCAATATGGCTCGCAATGCCCAGATCCGTGCCGACATTTTGCAAAAGCGAGCATACCAAAGACGGTATCTCCATATCGTGGCCGAAGCTTGGAACCTGCAGAACCTCCTAGGTGGATATAATCACTGTGAAAACCCCTTAAGCTCTGATGCATGGAGGGAGCTGATGCTAGGTGATGTGTTTGACTGTAGAATAGACCAATGTGCCATGGGATTGCGCTGTCCCAAGACCAACATGCCCGTACTCAAACCGACTCGCATAGTCACCACATCCCGAGAGTTAGCAGAAAGACTCCAAAGCTGCCGTTGTGACCAACGACATCAACATGCACATCTCGAAGGGAATTTCCGTGGAAAGAACCTTTCGGCATGGGCCGAAATTTATCCAAGGAAGTTTTGCAGGATAGTAGCCGAAGCCTTGCATCGCCAGTCTTGCCAGTTTCAAGAGTCCAACACGGACTGGAGCGAAGAACTGTTTGCTGCCGAATCGTCACAGCCAGTTGATGCACCTGACCTGGACGATCCACCTGATCAGATCGTTGAAAACCAGCCGGCACATGAAGAAGTCAGTGTTGAAAGAGCCAAGGCCATTATCAATAAACTTCATGTGAACACCGGTCACTCATCGACAGGTCAGATGATGCGCCTTGCGAACCGTTGCCAGGCATCAGAAACTCTGAAGCAAGCCATTAGGAACTTCAAGTGCTCAGTTTGTGATGAACTTAGGCCTCCCCCAATAAGTCGCAAAGCAACTATGCCTCATAATGATCGACCTAATCAAGTTGTTGGGATAGATTACGTTCAGGTAGAGTTGATAAAAGAAGATGAACATGGGGTAAGCCAAGAATTGAAGTTCAATGTCATGACTTGTGTCTGCCTTGCCACCGACTTTGCGCAGCAGTACATAGTGCCAGAAGGGCCCAATGCCCTATCCAGAGCATTCCATCGCTGTTGGGTCAGGTCATATGGTGCACCTGAATCAGTTTACATGGACCCTCACTACTCCACGTTGTCAAGGGATTTCCAAGCTTACTTGGACCATTACGATATCAAGTTGCTCCATATTGCCGCTGAAGCCCACTGGCAGCTTGGCCGTACCGAAATAGCCAACAGAGTCTTGCGAGGAATGGCCCAGAAATGCTGGCGTTCATCCAACCGACCGCCAGAGGAGGTGATCGAAGCATGTTGTGCAATACGAAACCAACAAATGCGGAAGTGTGGTTTTTCCCCAGCTCAGTGGTTTCTTGGACATGACATCAAAATGGCAGGTTGGTTAGGAGATGTGGATCAGCAAAGAAACTTGCCAGTCCAGTCCCAAATCCTGAGTGATCCAGTCTTTGCGGACCGAATTCGGTTACGTGAAGAAGCAGCAAAAGCCTTCATCGAGGAACACGCCAAAGACGTGTGGCGACGTGCAATCTGTGGCCGAAACAGACCCATCCGAGGTCCCTACCATGTTGGTCAACTTGTTTACATGTTTCGTAGGCAGGGTAGGGGAAACTTCAAAACGAGATATGGTGTCTGGCATGGGCCGGGTAGAGTCGTTGGTGTAGAGAGCTCACAAGGTCAAACACATGTGCCACGTGTTGTGTGGGTCGCCTACAACGGTTTCCTGTACAGATATGCACCAGAAGCCTTGCGTCCCGTTCCCGAAGACGAAGCATCCTTCCGAGAACTTGCGAAGGACTTAGCCGAGGGTCGTTTGCATCCGGATGTCATCCAAACTGAACAGTCCCTGTCAAAATCCACCGGCTCATACAAAGACATGATCCATGAAAAGCCTGAAGATGAAGACATGGAATTAGAGTCTGATGTAGAAGCCGAGCCAATAACCGATGACCATAAGGGGATAAAGCGTAGTTTGGAGGGCGATGTAAACCAACCCCGAAAAATCCTCAGGAGAATAACTAGATCACCGGAATACTGGATGAAACGTTCTGCAGGCATGCCACCTTTGGGAACAATCCAAGAAGGTGTTATTCCCGAAGTCATCACACTTGATCAACCAGCTCCGAAAAGAACTCGAACAGAACTGGAGCCAGTCCCTGAAGCAGAAATGCCTGATGACCATCCGGACAACCGATCCGCGTCGTATGCCCCGTCCATAGCCAGCCAGGAGCACGATCCGGACATGTTGCCGCATGATCAGGTTGCCGATGATGAAATGGGTGATAATAATTCAGGGGACCCCATAGCTGATAACGTAATTCATGGGGATAATGATGAAGTAGATCAAGGTGAGCAACATGCAGAGTCTGCAGCCTCCGAAAATGATGAAAGTATTCCAAGACCAATAGATAAGAACTCACCGGATGATCCAGCTTTGCCCCATATCGATTCCGACGATGAGGGTTTGCTAGCTGAAGCCAAGCTTCCAAAGAAGCCTAACTTGGATGTTCTTGAAGTTTCCATTGACATTCACCCTGAAGACATCAGCGACAATCCGCTATGCCTGTGGTCCGTCCTGGACGAATGCCTGGTTGCTGCACCTTCCAAAGCTGCAAAAAGAAGGGTTGAAGTATCTCTTAGAAAACTAAATGATGGGGATAAGAAACTATTCGAAAAAGCAATGCAGAAGGAGTGGCAGTCATGGGTAGAAAATAAAGTGATGTCTTTAACAAAACGTCATGGAATAGACCCCGAAAGAATAATCCGAGCAAGATGGGTACTGGTTTGGAAGAAAAGCAGCGACCCAGACAACAAAACAAAAACTCCTAAGGCCAGACTTGTTCTGGTTGGTTGGCAAGACCCCGAACTAGGTCGCATTGCGACTGACAGTCCCACCTTAAGAAAGGAATCAAAGAGCCTTATACTATCCATATGTTCCTCCAAAAAGTGGCGTTTGTGGGGTGCGGATATTAAGACGGCCTTTCTTAGTGGAGATGCCTCAAATAGGGAGTTATACTTCAAACCACCTAAGGAAATCCAAGAATGGATGAAATTATCTTCAGAAGATGTGTGCCGTCTCGAAAAAGCTGCGTACGGACTTGCAGAAGCCCCTCGGGCTTGGTTCCTGCGATTGTCGAGGGAGATGTCTGAAGCTGGACTCACAAGATCTAACCTAGACCCATGTTTGTTTACACTCACCAAAAAGGTTGGTAACCAAACAAAACTACTAGGAATCTGTGGGGTACATGTTGATGATATAATTGGGGGTGGGGAACCAGAAATGGACCAAGTGTTGGATCGTCTTAGAGCAAAATTGCCTTTCGGCGATTACAGAACATATACAATCCGCTACACGGGGATCGAAATCCGCCAGGATCCTCAGACCTTTGCAATCGAGATTGGCCAAGAGACATACATAGAGGGTTTAGAACCAGTAAATACGAAGCCTCTGGGATCAGCCGGAACCAACCTGAATAACCCCGGAATACTCAGGACATGTGCCGGACAGCTGGCATGGGTGTCAAACTCGACACGCCCAGACCAGAGCTTCCTTTCATCGTTTCTTCAAGGTGTGCAGGACAAGGGACAGGTCTCACATGTCCAGTTGTTCAACAAAGCACTCCGTGAAATGAAAGAACGTCGTGTTTGCCTTCGATTCCCTAGTCATGTTGCTATTCAAGATTGGTGCATTGTTTGCATTTCAGACTCAGGTTGGGGTACTAGAAGTAGCGGGGAAAGCCAAGGGGGATATGTCTTGTGTTTAGCCCATAAGGATATACTTGAAAGAAAAAGAGCAGCCTGTTGGATCATAGATTGGTCAAGCAAAAAGTTGAAACGTATGGTAAGAAGCTCAGTAGCAGCTGAGACGTTGGCCGGTCAAAATGGTTTAGACGCAATAGAGTTCTTTCAAGCCCTCATGAGCGAGACCTTGCATGGAATCACCCCAAGGGAGTTTCGAAACAACACTCCAAAGATTCCTTCATGCCTTGTGATCGACAGCAAGGGATTCTACGATGCAGTCACCCGAAGTTGCAGTTCGCAGTCCATTTCAGTGGAGCGTCGCCTGATGATAGATTATGCAATAGCCCGTGAAACCATAGACAAACAGGGAGTACTTGTGTTTTGGGTAAATAATCTTAGAAGGAGGCACCTTCTTGATCAAACTGTGTTTGGAATCAGGACGCAAGGAAACGGCGAAGCAAAAAGAGCCGTCTCCAAAGCAGCAGTGAACAGCCGAGTGAATGCATGTCAGTCTCAGCATGTTTGATGCTTTGAATGTATAGTCATAAGTGTAAATCGGTGCATAGGCCTTAATCCGAAGTGAATAATAAGCAGGCACCGTAACCTATAATTAAGACTTAAAGAAAGAATCCATTGTATAGTCATCGCATCATGTCCATCCGTTTTACCAAAAACCTGCTTGAGTGTGGAAGCTGGAAAATCAGTGAAGCCACTTTTTCCCGAGCAGTAGCCGTGTTTTGCATAGCACCGGTGAAAACCCTAGTGATCCTCTTTTCGATCATGAGTGTCAGCAAAGTATCCAAGAAGGAGACCTTCAGCGATTGTCCGCTGTCACCACCGGAGATTGAACTAGCCTCCCAGCTCCTCTTGCGTGCTGCCAAGAATGATCAGACTAAGGCGATTATGAATAGTATCAAGAATGCCCCGAATTCCAAGGTCTTCTGGGCTTCAGTGAAGTCTGCACTGGAGTGGATCCAGAATGATGTGCCATGTGGAGGTGGATATCCAGGCTCTTCGATGACAGATGCTTCGAAGCGTCGATTTCCAGATGACGATGCTGCCTCATGGGAGCAAGTGTCTTCGAATGGAGAGTCTGTGGAGCAGGCCACGTACATAGCATCCTTGCCGGAGCATGTTGCCGTGCCACCACCCTGGAAGGACGGAACCAGTCCTGTGCTGAAGGTCATGATGGAAGCAAAGGAAGATATCAAAGTGTCTTTCCCACCTGATGTGACCGATTTGCGCCAGTGGGGCCAGCAGTTATGCCTGACTGAGAAGTACAAAGATGCCAATCTGAGCTACTATGAGTTACTCACCATGGCAAAGACCGATACCGATGTCCATCAGTACTTGCAGTTTATCAAGAGCCGCTATGGCCAAGCAGCTGAGCAAGCCAAGTCATTTGAAAAGATGACTCCAGGCCGAGATTTGGCCAGGTTTTTGTTGAGGTATGGCTGGAATTCCAGCGATTCCAAGGCCACTTTCAGTCGCCAATTTAAGAGTTGATAACCTAGGATGCAGATCTGGTGAGATCATATGAACCTTGTGCACCTCCGGCAGAGGGCGTGAAAATTCCCATGCTCATATAAGAGTCCATTGCATGTTCATGACATGTCCAGTTGGTCAGCATGTGATTGGAACGATGCCGTTGTGCCCAAGGGGCCCTTTGAGCCGCTCTCGGCTTGGACGTTGCGTGTGGATGGAAAAGTGAGGTCCTTGCGGCCTACATTCGTTGCTGTGTTTATCCTTGAATTGTTGGAAACAGCTACCATTGGAACACCCGCTTCTTCAGTGTATAACCCCATCTAAACCTAGTGAAATAAGTATCATAAACCATAGTGAAAATGGAGTTATAAACTCACCAACTGAGCTATCGTAAACGGGGGCCCCACTTTGTGATTTTAGTTTGTTTTCACTTAATGTGCCCTCGCGACTCATCACATGTTCCCTCGCCAGCCAGTGCCACATCCCTCAATTGTTTGGCCAAAGCTCCAAGCGAGACAAAGAGTTCTCCCTCAAAACGGAGGGAAGCCAGAAATCCCCAGTCTTCTGGGTAGAATGATTTCCTGACGGGCAGCAAATGAGCATCCAGCGCCGCTTCAACACGTGTCACGGCTTAACACGACTAAAACTTCACAGTGGTAGTTCAAAATGTGTTGATCTTTAGCATTGCTGTCCAGCAGTCGTGACCATTTATATGTGCATGCTGCATGTATGTAGTTATGCGCCAACACGCAATAATTACATCGTTAGTTAGTTTGTTGGTATTTGATGGTATTTGAATCTTTATCTCAATGATTCTCAATGTCTGGTAGACAGACTACAAAGTGAAACCACCCAAGGGAAATAGCAAGATCTCACCAAGGTTGAACATAGCAAGAATGTTAAAACCAGAATGTTTACTAATGAAAACTCATCTTCATTACTAAACTGTTCCCCTGTCTTTTTCCCCACAATGAATGCCGCCATGAGACACCCAGCCAAACCTCAGCCCGGCCGTACGATCTCCAAATAAACAATAAAGCGAAACAAAGTAACGTATAGCTAGAGCAATTTAGTTAACTAGATGATTTTATCATCCATATCAATGCCGTTGATGATAATCCAAATCGGTAGAACAAAACAATAATGATCATAATCAAAATGGTAATGATTGAAAACAATGATGATCATGAACCCGAACCCTGAAACCTAATTTTAAGGCCACCAATTCCTCAGCTGTTGATCTGCAAAGTATCCCACTATGGCATTGGCTCTACCCTCGCCATGGCTAACCGTATTACGATCGCCTTCAAGGACTTATAGCAACTGCCAAGAGAAAATAGAAACAGTAAATAGACTGAAGTAACTGAAGTAGTGATAAGTCATGTTCCTATCCTTTTGGGGGGCTCTATACTTCTTAATGTGTAGCACATGTTCTTGGATCAAAGTTATATGGCCAAATAAACTCCACCCAGAAAAACCAGTCGATTAGTCGATTTCGCCAGACATCTGGGATTTTCCGGTCAGGCTTGGCTCATCTCTCTCTCTCTCTCTATCTCTCCCTCCATCACCTTCTCAAAGGCTTCAGCTAGGGTTGCTTCATCCTTTCTGCCCATCTTCCCCACTGTATGTTTGGCCAAGTTGGTCGGTGGTTGAGAATTATGTGCACATTAAATGGGGATGATGTCCCAATGTTCAGACACACCAATGTCGCGTACCTTGAAGGTTTGCCCTTAATCTCACATAATCGTAGCGTTTAGCATTACTCAAAAGAGATTACCCTCTGGTTATTGAACATAGCCATGGAAAATGGCCCATTTATAGATGGTTTACCTAAAAAAAAAGGGGGTTTTCCATGGCTATGTTAAATAACCAGATGGTAGCATTACTCAAAAGAGATTATTGATAGGGACAGTTGGTCCATCTATGCTCCACATCTGGAATGTTTACCAGACGAATAACACGAAAAGTTGTGTAATGGAAGTCAACATGCAACCACCATGGAGCGTATGTGCCATGAAGAAAAAAGTATATTATATATATATTATATATGTGGCATGGACATCGCGCAATGGGAATCCTTATCTTGGCCATTCTACGACTCGTTTTCAATGTGGGTGTCATCCTCCAACATTGCCATAGAATCCAACTTTTGACACTGGCACCAATATTGGAATGGTCGTTAGGAAATCCTGATGGCTTCTCAGAAATTTTACCGATTTTTAAGTCCTACCATTATTGGTCCACAATTTAACCAAACAATGTTTCATGTACTCGGTTGTAATTGTAATTACCTTAAACTCTAACCTCCTGTAAACAAATATAGATGTGGAAAAGCCACCATGAAACTCGTTTTCTGAGGCTTTCCCATGGTTTCCCATCCAACGATCCCGACACGGCACAAGCGCTGCCCCGTCAGCTGGGCCAATGGCACGGGCAGCACCTGACAGCCCACCGCCTGGAAATGGCCGGGTGGATCTTCCAAGACCTGCACCACGTCGCGTCTCGATGGGATCAACGAACTCAAGATCTACAAAACTCCTGGGAAATATCAGTTAACTATAGTTAGATAATTATAGTTAGGTTATAATAGTTAGGTAATTATAGTCAGTTAACTATAGACTATAGCTATTAATCATAGTTAGCTAATTTTCTAGTTAGCTAATTATTATAGTTAGGTTTTTCCCCACCTGCCAGGTGAGGGTTGTTAGATTTTATGTCAGTTGCCTCCTCGTCCTCCTCCTCCTTCTCCTCCTCCTTCTCCTCCTCCTCCGCCTCCTCCTGCCTCGTCCTCCTCTCCTCCTCCTCCTCGTCCTCCTCGTCGTCCTCGTCGTCCTCGTCGTCCTCGTCGTCCTTGCTCAACTGCGACCCGCGATCCACAGTGTTCTCTGCCGGACCTCAACCACGACCATCCACGCCCAGTGTTCCCTGCCGGACCTCAACCACGACCATCCACGCCCAAAGTTCCCTGCCGGACCTCAACCACGACCATCCTCGCCCAGTGTTCCCTGCCGGACCTCAACCACGACCATCCACGCCCAGTGTTCCCTGCCGGACCTCAACCGCGACCATCCACGCCCAGTGTTCCCTGCCGGACCTCAACCACGACCATCCCCGCCCAGTGTTCCCTGCCGGACCTCAACCACGACCATCCACGCCCAGTGTTCCCTGCCGGACCTCAACCGCGAGTATCCACGCCAAGTGTTCCCTGCCGGACCTCATGTAGGAAGATAAAATGTCATATAGAGTGCCAGAAGATTTGCCAGGTAGAATGCCAGAAAATATGCCAGAAGATATGCCAGATAGATATGCCAGAAGATATTCCAGAAGATATGCCAGAAGATATGCCAGATAGAATGCCAGATAGAATGCCAGAAGATATGCCAGAAGATATGTCAGAATATATGCCAGAAGATATGTCAGATAGAATGCCAGAAGATATGTCAGAATATTTGCCAGAAGATATGCCAGATAGAATGCCAGATTGAATGCCAGAAGATATGTCAGATAGAATGCCAGAAGATATGCCAGATCATATGCCAGAAGATATGCCAGATAGAATGCCAAATAGAATGTCAGAAGATATGCCAGATAGAATATTTGCCAGATCATATGCCAGAAGATATGCCAGATCATATGCCAGAAGATATGCCAGATAGAATGCCAAATAGAATGTCAGAAGATATGTCAGATAGAATGCCAGAAGATTTGCCAGTAAGAAAATGTATAAATGTCATGGTGGGGATCACACGAAGTAAAGTAATTAAAAATCAAAGATGTTTTTAATCACCGAACTTCAGACAATTGTCTATAAAAGTGGGAAATGATGGTTGTGTCTGCTGGGGTTTCTTTACAATATAATCATGACAGTTTTCACGTGCAAAAAACAACTCAAAACCCGCCGCGGTGTATAAGCAAATGTGGGACTGAAGTTTCGCTACATTGCGAGAAAATCATTCTTGTCTGGATAGTAAATTCAACAAAGCCCATGACCGAACACTACACCAAACTGCTCAACATATTTTTGGTTCTCCCCATTGCCGCAGTCGCTTCGGCGGAAGCTCAGGGATTAACCATGACTAACCACATATCAGTCCTAAGTTGGTGTATAACCCCGTCTAAATCTAGTAAAATAAGTAGCATAAACCATAGTGAAATTGGAGTTACAAACTCACCAACTGAGCAACCAAGGAACCTGGAAACTCACAGGATCCCCAGCTTGCACCGGTCCCAGTTCGCTATTGTTGCGCCGGTGTAGGTACAGGTCACCCTGAAAGGCCTCCGACACCACGAAACCTGGGCAGTGCATTCCACTTTCTGAAGATTTCGGTAAGAAAAACATGGAAAACAACGATGGTTTTTAGGACCTATGTCAAAAACTTCATGGCAGAACACATATTTTTCCCCACCTGCCAGGTGAGGGTTGTTAGATTTTATGTCAGTTGCCTCCTCCTCCTTCTCCTCCTCCTTCTCCTCCTCCTCCTCCGCCTCCTCCTGCCTCGTCCTCCTCTCCTCCTCCTCCTCGTCCTCCTCATCGTCCTCGTCGTCCTCGTCGTCCTTGCTCAACTGCGACCCGCGATCCACAGTGTTCTCTGCCGGACCTCAACCACGACCATCCACGCCCAGTGTTCCCTGCCGGACCTCAACCACGACCATCCACGCCCATGTTCCCTGCCGGACCTCAACCACGACCATCCTCGCCCAGTGTTCCCTGCCGGACCTCAACCACGACCATCCACGCCCAGTGTTCCCTGCCGGACCTCAACCGCGAGTATCCACGCCAAGTGTTCCCTGCCGGACCTCATGTAGGAAGATATGGGACAAAGAATGTGCAGAAGAAAGTTAGAAAGAATGTCAGAAAGAATGTGATATGCCAGAAGATATGCCAGAAGATATGCCAGATAGAATGCCAGATAATATGCCAGAAGATATGCCAGATAGAATGCCAGATAGAATGCCAGAAGATTTGCCAGATAGAATGCCAGAAAGATATGCCAGAAGATATGCCAGATAGATATGTCAGAAGATATGCCAGAAGATATGCCAGAAGATATGCCAGAAGATATGTCAGAATATATGCCAGAAGATATGTCAGATAGAATGCCAGAAGATATGTCAGAATATATGCCAGAAGATATGCCAGATAGAATGCCAGAAGATATGTCAGATAGAGTGCCAGAAGATATGCCAGATAGAATGCCAGAAGATTTGCCAGATAGAATGCCAGAAGATATGCCAGAAGATATGCCAGATCATATGCCAGAAGATATGCCAGATAGAATGCCAAATAGAATGTCAGAAGATATGTCAGATAGAATGCCAGAAGATTTGCCAGTAAGAAAATGTATAAATGTCATGGTGGGGATCACACGAAGTAAAGTAATTTTGTTGATAGATTGTTCTTCATCTAAATGTTTTTTTGAATCAAATCATGGGTGTTTTTCGTGCCAAATTTCCCTTCAATTCTCGGATTTACCGTACATATTTCCAATATGACAGTGACCACAATTCCCCATCTGTTGTATGCACACTAGCAGTACCTGCTTTACCCATCAGTCCAAAGAAAACACTGGACTTCTCCCACCCACCCCCAAAAAAACAAAACATTGCCTCAATGACTAGATCCAATACAACCAGTTTCGTGTGGAGTGTGCGTTTGGACAAGGGATTGTTGATGCAAACATTCATTCATGGACCAACTTGATCAACCAAACAGTCGGAACCAACTCATTCACCGGGAATCAACTTGATTGAATTCCTCATTAATTAATAAAATGTAACCATATGCATGAACAAACCCCAACAAATTTCAGTATCAGAAACGTATGTGATTCGACCAACCATCATGATATGGAAAATGGATGAAAATGGCCCATTTACAAATGATCTACCTATTATACATGGTGATGTTCACTAGATGCATTAAATTAATGGATGGTACCATACCCATTTATGGCTGTTTATGTTGATTTACCAATCAAAATGGTGTTTTGTTTACAGCTGTGTTAGCTATTTACTACTATCAATGCTTACGAGAGAGTTAACCAAGGTTTCCATCACCGTTGATCAACGGTCACCCTCTTCATCTAAGGAACCCCAAGAATCCCGGAAGCTACGCACGCTGCCCTCCAGCCTTTGACCTTGGACATAGGAGGGATGAGATGGGAGCATTCTGTAGATCCCATGCCATCCATGTATCTGGGTAAATATAGTAATCGAATGTAATTCACCACCCTGAAATGTTGGGCTGTTTGGGGATAGCTACCCCGAATCCTAACCATTACCACCCATGATTCCAGTGAGGTCGCAGTGAGGTCGTTATAATTTACCCGCAACTTGTTGCGCTCGGTCCATAGCCTGACGAAGTGTGAGCGTTATAATTTACCCAGATGTATCAGTAGTACCGCACAAGGTGATGGCGGAAATTTGAAAGACACGAAGCTATCGAAACCATAGGAGAAGTGAGTTGCTGTGATGAATGGGTGGCAGAGCGAACCCACTGATGGATCGAAAGGTGGTTGGGTCTCTGAGTCTTTGAGTCTCCGAGTCTCCCTCTCTCTCTCTCTCTTTGTCTCTCCCAAACTCTCTCTGTCACCTTCTCTCTGTGTCTCTCTTACTCTCCCTCTGTCTATCTATCTGTCTATCTGCCTATCTCTAGTGTAGATGTAGTTGTCGTTGTAGTTGTAGTAGTTGTAGTTGTGGTTGCAGTTGTGGTTGTAGTTGTGTGGTGTAGTTGTGGTTGTGGCTGTAGTTGTAGTTGCAGTTGTAGCTGTAGCTGTAGGTAGAATGTGGTGTGGTGTAGTGTTGTGTAGTTGTAGGTGTGGTGTAGTGTAATGTAGTTGTAGTGAAGTGTAGTTGTAGTCGCAGGAGCAGTTGTAGTCACGAAAAATGACATTTGAACGTCCAAAAGTGGAGCGAACATGGTGAGTGCTTTTACCATTTTGACTTCGACATGTGCTTCCGCCACGACGGCGTGCACTTTTCCAACATCTCAACTTCCAAAGGTGCTCGGAGAATGGTGTTTTGCACATTTTGACTCCGAAATGTGCTTCATTCAATTTTTCAATTCTCAGACCGCAACATGGCTCTGCACCCGTCGCTTTAGCGAGCTTACTTATTACTTTTCGACCCTCCGAAGCCACAAAACATCGCCTATGTATTTTTTATTGCTGATAGTGATCACCAGAGTTTGACAATCCCCTAATAGCCTAAGTAACCTAAACCCAAAGAACGGCCCATTTCTAGAGAAGAATTGTCTTCCATCTCTCTGTTTTCGCGGGGTCTGTGTTAGTTGGATGGAGGGTAATACAAACATCCACCGCTCAATATTAACCGGTGTGTGTATATATATATAGCATAATATGTGTGTACAAAGATATTAGTTGACTATGGTTTATGAGACTTATAACTTTAATATTGATGGAGGCTGTCCGAAAGTAAAACGGGGGCCTAAAACACCTTTCAGCCAAGTCACCCACCAAGTGTCTCACCTGCGCTCCCTTCTCGGCCGCATTGGCACCGTCGGAACTTCCTGGTCCTGGTGAGATGGACCGTCTTTTCGGGGGAGACCTCTGTGGTGAAACCATCACAATTGGTGGTTTCAACTCGTCCCAAGAAAAAAAAACTTGGCTAATTGGGACCATCACCCAAGGTTGGGTTGAAAATTCAAACACCATGAAGCCACCATAAACAGCGGTTTGAAGCAACAAACATGGCTCCGCCCTATGAATTTACAGCATAGAAATGATCGATTTAAGGATCTCCAAAGGCTGGGTAACTGGAACGACTACAATTTGGGGCCCCGCAAACGTGATGCTTGTTGGTTGATAAACCCTATTAATAAATACTACGGTTGTAAGCGATTTCGTAAACGCCCCCCCCGCCTTCGTAGGGATATGATATTAACTTGAAGCCAAAGGGAAGGGGACGAAAGCTAGCTGGGCAAGGAGAGATGTGTATTGAGAGAAGATGTGGCGCGACCTTCTGAGTGTCTTTGTTTGAACTGAAATAAATAAGCTACCATTCGATGTTGCTGATACGCTAACAGCAGCGTATAATTATACTCTAGCTCGCATGCACCATAATCATTCCAAAACCCTCCACCTGACATCCTAGCATACCAGCGTTAACATTACGCTCACTATACCAGCCTTGGAATCTGGTATATAACTTCGGTGCATACATCCATCGCTTGGGAATCTTAAGATGTGCATCTTCCATTCCTCACCAAGACCGGGTCATGTTTTCACGCAGACCTCTTGAGGAACAGGAATGCAAGACTTCAAGTGGTTGTCTCATTACATTACACTACATTACAAAACACTACATAACATTACACAACATTGCACAACATTACATAACATTACAATACATTACATAACATTACATTTTATTACGTTCATGACATTAAATTACAGTACATTAGATTAGATTACATGACATTAGGTTGATTGGATTAGATTGCATTAGGTAAGATTCCATTGCGTTACATTCGATTTACAGTAGATTTGCATTAGATTAAATTATATAGATGGCATTACATTAGATCACATTGCATTGCAATGCATAATCATGAAACCAGTCCGACATGAAAGATCATGGAAGCTGCATCCGGTCTGCCCCCAATTCATGGCGAAAGCAAGTCCAACTCCAGCTAGAAGCTAGCTTTCGTAATATGATACTGGTTGGTGGTTTCAACCCCTCTGAAAAATATGAAAGTCAGATTGGATCATCATCCCAACTATTGGGGAAAATAAAATTCATGTTCCAAACCACCAACCAGGATATTGTGAATCCTGCGTGAACGACCCACAAACCCGCCGAGCCGCGGTGTGCAGGTATAACCGGACCATGGCCGCCATGGCCCAGCACGTGCACATCGATGGCTTCCGTCTTGTTGTCGATCTGACGAATGGAAAACTCCACCTGGCATTCGGTTGGCATAGCACGGAGCTTGTACCCTCTGGTAAACTAACAGTTTGCTATTGAACATGGCCATTTATAGTGAGTTTTCCCATTAAAAATGGTGATTTTCCATAGTTATGCTAGCTTACCAGAGGGTACATCTTTTCCCTACTTTGTCGGACGAAGTATGAAGCTCTTAAACAGACTGAGGCTTAGCAAAAACGCTGGATGGCTTTGGACCAAAAGGAGCCATAGCCCATAATGCCCCATACCCTACAGCCATGGATTTGCTTAGCTTATGCCCTGGTAAACCAGCCCGTTTTGGCCACTGGTTTTAAACAAATCCTATCTATGCATGCGAATTGGCAGCTACAGTATGTGGCCACAATCGGCAACATTTTCCGAATCATTTTGAAATGGCTCTGAACAGGACATGATTTCCACAAATGAGCCATCGAGACGTCCATAATCTTCTTGATGAACACCAAGGGGATTTGAGACCTTTCTGACCAGAAATCAAGGAAAACTCCCTCATGACCAACCCTCAGGGTCAAGGCCCAAAAAGGTTCTATGTATATCAGAATAGTTACAACATTCACCCTGAGAATGACATTTAGACCCACCATAGATACATCTTCTGCGGACACAGTTATACATCCGAGTTTCAAGGTTATGCCATCCTCTACTGGCACCGCTGTGAACAATTCCTTTCAGAGTGTCTTCCCGCTATATAAGCGGCAATTGGAAAAGTGTGAGTGAGTAGATTTGCAGTTGCTTTCTTTAGGGTAGGCGAGGCACACATTTCCCAAACGAGAGAGGAAACATGCAAACGCGGCAGACAGACGGTTTCTTGTGAAAGCGACCCAAACGGCGGTACCACATTTAATACACCATGTGGGGGATTCAGGCACACAGACATACATAATCATAATCATACATACATACGTATAAATAAATAAAATCTCAATAAATATAGAAATAAATCTCTATCTCTATGTATATTTAAATATATATAGAGTTATATATATATATATTATCAAATACCATATGTATATATATATATATCTATACCGTATTGACATATTGATTTTGAATAAAACACCCAAACTTTCGGTGAAACTGGTCATCCCTCTGGCTCCACCTGATCTCCCGCTGCCAGCGCTGCAGATAGCTGGGGGTTGTTCCGCAAGCCCACGAAGAGGTCGCCTGATCTATGGTTATAGACTATAGATATACAGATATATATTATATATATTATAATATATTATATATATGGGTAAATTATAATATTTCACTCACCTTAATTGTTCGGCCATTTGGGGATGATTTCCCTAAAATAAACCATGATTCCAGGCTTCGGTCGAACAGTGAGGTCGTGATGAAATTTACCCAGATGGTTGAATGGGATGATGAAAAAGGGAAAATCTGCAAGATCCCCATGGTTTTTTAACATCAAACCTAGGGGTTTCCTGTAAATTGGACAATTTGTCCCATCATCCAATTGCGGGATGGTTGGTTTATGTTGGTTTATAATGATCCCACTACTATACTTAATTTCTGAAGATACATATATTATATTTTGGATATATCTACCATAATCCCCTGAGTTGTGTTCACCAACTTAACTGACAAACTAGCGCACCACCTTCTGGTTGTGCATCTGGCTTGAGGGTGAATCTTAACTAGGTGGTTTGTTCATGCCCTCCTAAAAAAAATAACTTTAGGTGGGTGATGTGGTATAGCCATGTAAATCCCATCTAACCCCAAGACACCACGAATCCAAGCAGCTACTCTCCGGCAACCAAATCTGGAAATAAATGAAACGGCACTCCGCTTTTGTCCCTAAAAATCAGTTGTAAACGGATAACAACTGGATATGTTCATGTATTGAATGCATTATTCCGTTGAGGTCATGTGGCACGATGTTTCTCCTTACTCCCCATCACTCAAGAGTGACGAAAAGCGACATGAGATCTTGTTTGTTCAACAGAAACTGTGTTTTGTGTCGTTACCCTCCTGTAGACTAACATAGATGTGGAAAATCATATTCATTGGAAAACCACGGGTTTTCCACATCTATGTTAGTTTTCCCCAGGGTATACACTCTGGTCAGGAAATTCTCTGACCTGGTGCCGCCATTCCTTTCTGGCACTGGGTGAGGTGGACATACGCTGCCCCTTCACCACCGCCCAAAGGCGAGTTGTCGGAGTTGTCGGACAGAAATTCTATCATCATGTCAGTATCAGTGATCATATCGCATCATAAAATATCATCATATTGTTTCATATATCAAGTAATGTGTCATAGATATAACTCAAGAGAAAACATATCATATATACATAATAGTATTTATATATATATATATATCTATATTAAAAAAGTATATATATATATCCATATCAATTCATCCATGTTTTCTTCAACTGCTCCCCTTGAAACACCTGATCTCCGACCCGGTGCACCCGAGAAGGACGGCGAGTTGATGAAGCCCCAACTTCCGGTGAAGCTTCCTGAGACGCTGAAGCTTCAAGAAATGCTTGGGAAATCCATGGTGAACACTTGGAAACATGTTATTAATGGGCATATAAAACTTATAAATCCACCCATAACACTTATCATGAAATCTATGTTATAAGCCACTGAGAATATCCATGGTTTTTGTTATAAGTGGCTGAAGTCTATGGTTTATGGTAGATATAACATGATAAAACATGATAATCATGGAGGTTAACGGGCTTTACACACCTGGGGGGCACCATCCTGTAGGAACATGGAAGTGAACATGGAAGTGAAATTCATGGCTAAACCCGGTTTACCCTCTATCAATTAGTTAAATGGAAGTGTAAAATGTATTAAAATATATTAAAATGTTGGAAAAGCAATGATCATCAGGAAAGTTGAGGAATGAAACATTCTTTAGTTTCTCAATGTGTGGTTGAGAAGCTCTGATCGCAATGACCATAGCTCCTGAAAATCTCCCCACACAAAAGAGGGAATATGGATACCCTAGCTCCAAACCGCTCCCTCCTAACCACTTCAACCGTCCTAACCACTTTCCGCCACTTTCGAAAACAATAGTTCGATCAACACATGTGATAGTTCCGTATGGTTCCATTGACGTTTCTTATCACTTTGGTCTCCTCCTTTTGTTCATAAAATGTTGATACCCAACTCCGCACCTTTGAATAAGTGTTTTCACATGTTTTCACTACACAATATAATCAAATCGAACCAGGTTGAACCAAACCATGAACAATAACAACATCAACCGTCGAGAAGCCTACACTAATCATGATCCTCATATCTTTTGATCTTTGAGACATGCACACTGTAGACTGCTCTAAACCATTTAAAACATTCCTTTGTGACGTATCTACTGTAAACATCTGTAAACCAATGGGCAATTCCCCAACTTATCCTCTGGTAAACATTTACACAACTATGGAAAATCGCAATTTTTAGTGGGTAAATCCACTATATAATAGCTATGTAACAAATTCCCATGGGGTGGATGATTTAAGATGATTCTCCCAGCTCTGCACCTCGATTCTTCCAACGATTTCACCTAGGCGCTGACCCAGCCGCTGTGGCGCGATGGCACAGCAGGCTCCAGGACTTGGAGTAAGGGCTGCCTAGAGCTGAGTGGCACTTGGAGGCCGGCACGGCTGGTGACTTGGTGAAATGTCATGTTTAATGGATTGATCATGATTGATCATAGTCTCGTGATGTCTCGTGAAGCTGAATTTTGCTGACAAATGGATGTATAATGGCTGTATTTTTGGGAATTTGCTGGATTGACAATGGATTAAAATGGTGCATAATGGTTGAAAAAGGGCTGTGTCATTTAGTTTACAACTAACATCCACGTGGTAAGCGACTGAACGTTCGTCCGGAATAGGCGGCTCGTAAAAGTTCAACTGAAGAGCCCAGCTCATTTCATGGGTCATAATAGGTATATAGTTAGTAAGTGGTCTATAATGTATATAGTTTTTTTTTTTTTAAACGATATAGAATCTTGGTAAGTGGATGTAAGTGGTATTGAATGTATAACCATGCATATAGGAGCTTGGCAACTGGTCAATACTTCTTAACCATATCGAATCAGGTCCGAATAACTCTCCACGGTCCCAGGGTCTGATCCACTTAGAACCATGGTGTAGTACCCTATAGTTCTATGTGGCCACACACACACACACACTTGCTCAAAGGGTTTGTCGGAAAATGGTGGGCACCTTAAATTTGATAGCTATAAATATAGCCAAATCATCATGTTACCCTTTTAAATGACCATTTGAGGGGTATCCTCCATAAAAAACTGACCCTCCATTTTCAAACAGACCAGTTTTTGGATGTCCTCAGTTTTACATTTGGCCGACTATGCTCAATTTATCATAGTGATATGCACATCGAAGAAACAACGCTTCAATGCAGCATTCCGAGTTCCAGAAGCAGCAGAAACAAGAACAATGGACCTGGATGTTTATACACTATGATTTCCTGGTTGGTGGTTTCAACCCCACTATATAAAAGATCTTAGTCAATGAGGGTCATTATCCCAGTCACGAGAGAACAAGATAATCATTCAAGATTCACATCAATGATATCACCAAACAAACGATCTACTGTGTGCCAAAAGAATTTAGTTCAAACACAACCCAAGTTCAGAATTCCATGGAGCAAAATGAGCAAAACAAAAAAAACAACGGCAACCAGCTCCAAGTGCCATGAGATCATGTTGTAACAAAGCTCAGGACTTCAATAATTGACTTTTCAACGCAAACAAAAACACAAACATCCAAATGGCTATGAACAATTACATCCTATCCTGGTGGTTTGTTGATCCCCTATAATAAGTTAGTGGGAAACCTTTGGTTAAAAGCCTAGGTGAATCTCCAATTTTTACACCTCCATGCAGTAGCCTCTAGTTATTTAACATAGCTATGGACAGTGGCCAATTTATAGATGATAAACATGATGATTTACCTGCTAAGAAGTGGTGATTCCAAAGCAATGTAATTAACAAATTAGCTGGCTTATAACCATGATGCATTTCATCAAATCCCTTTGACATCCATTGAAAAAATCACAGTTAAGGCCCATTTAAATCCAATAAAGATCTCGTTCAATTTTCCAAGCGTCACATTGACGGCCTCGTTTTTGCCACGGACGTCCTGACAGGCCATGAAGTGCTTTCTGGTTGGGGGATCCCCAGTCGTCATCATAGGTTTCAATCGTCAAATGGTCACCTTGCCTTGGAGAATTTGGGGGTAGCCCCTGGGATTGGAAACCTCCACACACACACACACATATATATATATAAACAGACATATGTCACCATATATAATTATATAATATATCATAATATAATATCTATGCATGTGTAGATGCCAACCTAAACATCGTTGGTCATGCAAAAGTCAATACAGTACTGGTGAACCTATGAAGCAAAGATATAAGAAGTAACACACCTCCAGCCAACGCCCGACCTTGCGAACATCGAAAAGAACGGTGTTCCCCTCTGCCAGCGTGGTCAGGTGAGGATTCCTTGGAATCTCATCCGGCTACCATGACCAAAAGGGACTTAGCATGGGAAAATACTATGGGCGCAAAAGGGGATACATATATATATATATATACATACATTACCTTTACCTTAGCTTACATTACATTACATTACAGTACACTACATTACAGTACAGTACGCTACATAACATTACATACATATATATATATATATTCATATATATAAATAAAACGTATGTACATATCTAGTTAAGGAATGTAACCCAATTGAAACCCTGCATGTTTAGACACCACCTCCCTCCACAAAGCTTGGTTTTGATTTTGATGCACTGTAAAAGGATTTCTGCAGTTGACTCAGCAACAATTGGATTCATGTGGTCAAGAATCCTTAAAAAATCCTACGGACATTAAATGAACCATGATGATTATTAATGGACCAAAAGGATTATGAATGAACATTAATGAACATGAAGGAACATTAATGAACATTAATGAACATGAATGAAGATTAATGAACCTCAATTTCCCACCATTAATGGCTTGAGTTCAAAGCAACCAAAATAAAACCCTTCGCTTGGATGATCACAACAACCACATGGTTAGGCAACCTGCAACAACAACGTTGCTGGTTCTATTTTTTTAACAGCCAAGGACCACAATGGAACGCAAACATAAACATCACTACCTAACAATTCACCAACTATTAAGGTCCCACATGTTATCACTAAAGAAATCCGTGGACCAAGCTTGGTGATGAAACCTTTTGTTTGCTGCTTAAACATTGTTTTAATGGGTGGAGCCAACCAAACACACGTTACTCCATGTTTCTATTGTGAGCTCTCAATTCTTGTGGGGTAAACCAGCATGTTTTGCCACAAATCCCAAGGTTCATTAGAGATGTTCACTCATCCCTGCCAAACCCCATAGTTGTTTCAATATATTTTTCTTGCTTACCCTCTGATACTCAGATACTCAAACATCAAACATGGAAAATCCAAAAAAAATATGGATAGTTTCCCTCCATTTGTACAGGATGGGGCCCCCCAGTGATGTGAACGTTGGTTTCTAAACCATGATAATCCCCATGAATACTCTAGTTATATCTACCATAAACCATAGAATTCAACCACTTATGTTCACCAACTGAACGCAACAACGAACGGGGGCCCCAGCATTTCTATAGGGGACTTTCCACGTTGGATTCCCGAAGGCCCAGCGTCTCCCTTAAGCCGACGAAGATGTCGCCAGAAACCGAATCGCTACGAAGGAAGCCCCACGTGTCCTGGACGAGAAATCCATAGAAATCCAGGATTAATGCGAATTATACATTGTAGGTCTGTATATAGAAAATATGTATTTTTAGGTGTGTATTTAATTTTTGTATATTAATGATGGTCTTACTGGATCTGGTTGGTGGTTGACCTACCCTTGTGAAACAATATGAAAGTCAGTTGGGAGTATGAAATTCCCAATATATGGAAAAAATGTTCCAAACCACCAACCAGTATCATATGTCGATGTAATTTGCTAAGTGCAAGTATAGTCTTCCGTCTTCCAAACCAAAAATATGTATCATGTTATGCATGTTCCTACATGCATAATAGACGTAGATATGTTTGTGTTCAATTCTACGGGATGATCAAACACTCAGTTCTCACTGGGAATCATAGGCCCCAAATGGAAAGTCCCAGGCAGTCTTGGATAGATTTTTGAAAATGGTTGGAGAACCATTTCCAGGTTCAAATTCAGTTACCCTCTGGTGGTTTGATATAGCCATGGAAAACGACCATATCCAAATTTACGAGGAATACCCTCTGGTTATTTAACATCGCCATGGGACATGGCCCATAGAAATAGATGGCTTACCTATTAAAAAAATGAGATTTTTCATGGCAAACTGTTAAATAACCAAATGGTATTACCATGTCGGATATTTCTGATCGTCGGTTTTAACCCAGTGAATCGTCATGCTGCAGGCACAAACTCATGCAACAAACAAACAATAAACAATGAAACGGCTTGTGGCAACCCTGAACAACATAGACTTACTATATACATGTTACCAGTACATGTTACCAGTACCGTTTTTATAATAATTTTGGGATATTTGAATGGGGCTAGCATTTTATATCATGTTACGAACATCTGCAGCTTCTGGTCTTTTCGTGGGTCTCACTGGCTTCGAACTCGGCACCTTGAAACTGCGCACCTTGCCCAAGAGCATGGCGTCACAAACGCAGGCCGAAATGCGGCCGCGTGAGCGAAGCTAGGTGGGGTGGTAGGTCGCTGTGGAAATGTGGATCACGTAATTCTTACCCTCTGGTAATCTTTGTTGCAGTTTGCTATGGTATAGATGGCCTATGAAGTTTGTTACTTTAGTTATTAAAATGCTGATTTTCCATAGCTAGCCGACAAATTACTGTACCAAACGGTATCCGTTTACTTGATCATGATAATTCGGCATCTGATAGGGTATAGTTTATGATGGTACTGTACATGATAGTTTGTTTCACGGTAAATGATACGATCATTTGTTTTTTTCCGTCTGCCAGTGGGGAACCATTAACAGGGAGATCCAAAGGCCACCCTTCGGCGGCACCGCAAGTTACAGGGCGACAGCCGGTTTCCATTTTATTGGCCAGAATTATAGAGCACAACAAAACAAGGACACAGTGGGCATATAACATGGATATACTGTAACGGTTAAAAACCTTGCCCGAAAGAAATATTATGAATTATATCTGCATCATCTGAATCTTTACTGGTTTCGAAATTCTTCTGGGTGTCATGCTGGGGACATCCCATGACATGTCCAATCTTTTCTGCGCGCCTCATCTGCGCGGTTCAAACATATCCTTGAGCAAAAACATCCGTCGACCGTGCTATTCATTGACTTCAGCCTTGCGAGCCTTCCTTCCATAGGATATGCTGCCAGAAAAGTTGCATGTGGAACCCCCCAACAATATCAAAACACGAGCTTGGAACATGAGATTCACACTATTCTGAAACTGAAAAAGAACTTTTTGCTGGCTCAATGTTCAATGATTCAATGTCAAAATAATGTGACATTTCAGTGGGTAATAGCTCTTGTCTTGGTCGTGATCATGGATTTCAGACATGGGGTCGTTACCGGACCTCTGCCTTTGCAAGTGCATATATATATAATATATTAAAATATATGATAATATATGTATATGTATATATATATATAGTATCGTATGAGTTGGGCCGCAACATCTTTCAACGGTGGTTGGCAACTGCTGACATGGTTTGCTGGAACATCATCCATTTAGTTCGAGGATTTTCCCAGCTAGAGACCTTTATTTGTAAGGAAATTCCCAGTGCTATGTTTGATTACCATAGGGTAAAACCCATTATGCAAATCCCATTAAGATCCATGAAGTCCGTCAGCCTGCCGGTGTTCTCTTGCTACGCACGTTTGCTTCGTCTGAATCGTGTCCAAACCACCCTCCACACCCTCCCGTACATCTATTTTATTACTACTACTGCTTCTACTACTGCTCCTCCTACTCGTCCTCCTCCTACTCGTCCTCCTACTACTACTACTGCTGCTGCTGCTACTGCTGCTGCTACTGCTACTGCTACTGCTACTGCTACTGCTAGCTACTGCTACTGCTACAGTACTGCTGCTGCTACTGCTGCTGCTACTGCTACTGCTGCTGCTACTGCTACTGCTAGCTACTGCTACTGCTACAGTACTGCTGCTGCTACTGCTGCTGCTACTGCTACTACCCTACTACGACTCCTCCTCATCCTTGTCCTACTCCTACTCCTACCTTTCTTGCCCAAGTACTAACCCGGTAGTTCCGGTAGCCCGCTAACTAGTGAAACTGTCTACAGTGTACAGCACAACAGACGTCTACCAGTACTAGTCACAGGATTACACGGTGCTAAACTGATCGACCGGTACTCATTTGGTATGCAGCCAAATAGGTTGGTAAAGGAAGCACTTGCTACTCAAGCTGCTTTTGATCTACGAGCTCTGTCTTCGTCTCTTCTTCTTCTTCTTCTTCTTCGTCTTTTTCTTTCTCTTCTCCTTCTCTTCTTCTTCTTCTTCTTCTTCATTTCTTCTTCTTTTTCTTCTCTTCTGCTTCTCTCTCCAGCTTCCACCTAGACCTAGAGTGCACATCAAACTATCTTGGGGCCGCCTCTCTATGGCCGGCTTGCCGCAGGCAATAAATCCCTTGGGCCATTGGGCCTCCCGGTCGAATGGTCCATGGCCAAGCCACCATAATGCCGTGCCCTCGGAGACTGTTCGAAGGTTTCCTGAGCTCATCTTCTATGGGCTCAGAAATGGAATCTGCCCATAGGTACTCCCCAAACCATGAAGATCTATGAAGACTTTATTACTGGAAGTGGTGATTGCCAACTACATCCAACTACCCTTAGATTGAGAAGCACCTTTAGATTAAAGATGATTTCAACATACTGTATCAGATTTGCCTCCAACCAAGTAAAGTCTGGGACCTTTGTCAAGTAGGATCTTGGCGATACAGTGAGTGACCTATCTTTATGAAGTTTTTGTTTGGTTCCATACGAGCTACGCAATTAGAGTTACAGCACGTGGTATGGGTCAAAAATGAGGCCCATTGGAATCACAAGATGTAGCGCTACAAATCCAACAAATGGAGTATGAAACATAGCCATAAACGACGAATCGATCACGAAGCATTTTACTCGTTGCATCCCACCATGCCGAGCAGCAAAATCCAAATGTTCCGGCGGTTCAAATTGAACTGCGGATGTTCCTTCAAACACTCCATGGCCTCAGTATGAAGCAAATATCGTGTCAGTTTCGACTTAGAGCCACATACCCCTGGAGGACACAATTTTCGGATGTGGTGTTATAATGTATGAAATAGTCCGCCGGTGATGTGTAGATGGTTTTTACTGCGACGAACCACTTTCTTGCGGGATGGTCCTCCAGCAAAAGCGGCTGGCAATTGAACATTTCTCCGTTTATAAATGGCATAATGATCTTCCCGGCTAGAAACCTCCAGTCACAGGGAAAATCTTATTGCCATGTTAGATCACGTTAGATTTGATTACCGGTAATCCAGGGCAAGCATCTGCCCGCACCTACCCGCTGCACAAGCCATCAACCGAGTTCAGGAAGAAAGTCCAGCAGAAAGATTTTAAGAACAGTGACCAGGACTCTCACAGTCATCTGTTTAGCTTTCATCCAAGGTTTTTTTCCGGTTTTGGTTGCCAAAAACTGACCATGTTTCTGTTTATCCTTTAAGAACCCAAACCCAAGTACATCCTGAATGCCCAGATCGGGAACACATACAGCCCAACTGATTTTAATTTCATTGATCTTCTCATTACCTGGCCTTTATATCATTTATATATATCTCAATGATACCCTGGATGGGAGAAATCCTGCACCAGTTGACAAACGATTTATCCCATTGTATTTCCATAGTCCCAGTGTTTCATAGGTAACAATACCCTCTGGTAAATTAACATAGCTATGGAAAATCACCATTGTTTATGGGAAAATCCACTATAAATGGTCATTTTCAATAGCTATTTTGACATAACCAGAGGGTAGGAATCCCAACTGGTGCAGGATGGCTTGTCCCTGTGTCCCTGCCATCTCACCGAGACTGACCATGGCATCATGGCCAGGATGCTGCCACCACAGCATCGTGCAAGGCCAGACCCGTGAGCTCAGGTGGCTCCTGGGCAGAATGCATGGTAATTAGCAAAACAGAAAAGTGGCTATGTGTGTCATGAATTATATTGAACTCTGTGTATATTATTAATATAAATATATATATATATATAGTTGCTTTTGAATATCCCATAAAGACTAGGAAGTATTGAATTATAATCAATCATATGCACACATATAAGTTCTACTACTTACAGTAAATTATGTGTACATTTATAATATATACATAAACACATGTATACATATATTTCTCCATCGCCATCCCGAAGGCACAGCTGCAGTATATTTACATGTGTATATTTTATATGGAATATCTCATCCCAAACAAATACCAGGGAGCATGGGACAGTGTAGGTTGAAGATGGTTAACGTGCCCGTGAATCGCCAGTCGCCCTTTTCAAACTTCCACCGCACCTACCCGCCTGCGACCCGTCCCCAAAACATCATTCGATCAGCTTTCATCGTCCCAACATCTCGTTGCCAATCTTAGATATTCGTACCTTACATTCAAAAGAAAACAAGTATAGATATCGAATGATATACCCTCTGGTAAACGTTTACATAACTATGGAAAATCACCATGCTATTAATGGGTAAATCAACTATTTCTATGGCCATGTTCAATAGCTATGTTTGTTTACCAAAGGGTAGAACAAACAACTAGATTTGATCAAACATCCACCATTTACAACTATAGAACATGTATGAAATGTTGTCCCATAGTTTCATATGGTTTCCCTATGTTTGTCCCAGCTATAAAACACTATAAACCTCCATAACCAACCATAAACCCCCTTTCATGGTGATTTCCCTCCTCCAAGATCCGTTCAGATTTCACCTTCCGCACACAGCTGGGCTCCTGGGCTTTGCCCCGCTGGATGGGTTCAAACCGTTTTGAAGCTCTGACTGATTCTGGATTCTCAATGGTTATTAACTATTATTAACCAATACTAACCACTATTAACTATTACTAACCACTCTGAAATCCAGTTTTGGATGGCCACTAAAAAAAAGTTGACATTTGAAGCTTCTGAGAGATGATAATTGATGATAGAGATTTGGACCAAAATCCCGAGAGCAGTCCTTCTCTATCGGCAAATCTTCCTGCGATGCCACATGCCGATAGCTCCGCCCACGCCAGGCAGGGGGATAGGTTGCCTCTAATTTGGGTGATGTTTTAGATTGAATCCTCCTAGATGTATATATCTAGATGACATATGTCATAGTCATGCATGTGTTTTGCTTCGCACCTGCTTACTGAACTTGCGCCGAGAACATATATCAACAGCTAGTTGCTTTGCCACCTCGTCACAAATCCGTTTTCAGAACAAGCCACCCAGAAACACGGTGTATCAGTGAATCAGCCACGACAGTTATTTTCATAGTTTTCATGATGTTTTTCATATTTTCCCTTTTTCCCCAGGTTTTACTGTAGTTAAGCATAACCAAGCTAGTTACCCATCTGCAAGCGGCGTCCTTGGCTTTGGCTTTGGGATCTTTCAGATTTGTCAGTGATCCCTGGCGGAAGGATGGTGCTGCAGTGGGGAACTATTGGAAACTATGAAACCATGGGATTACAGGGATTACACTCTGGTAAATTAACATAGACCCTGGCAGATAGGGGTTGGAAGATTAGTTTCCATTAAAACTAGGCTATTTTCAGGGTCTATGTTAATTTACCAGAGGGTATATGGGGATAAATAATGGGATTAAATAATGGGATTATATGGGGACAAACCATCTACCAACTGGTGCAGGATTTCTTCATATTTCTTCCATCCACAGTATATCCAGAAGCGTCGGCCAAAAGTCAGACTGAAGCATAATCCAATAAATTGTGGATTATCCAACAGAAAAAATAACACATGATCTTCGGCACAGGGCTGCGGTGCCTTCTTCCTTCGACCTTTCACCTAGCGAAACCAATCCATTGGAGCGGGCATTGACCACCCATTCGTGGCAAGGGAAATGGATGATAAACCAACAATCCGTAGGGATGATATGTAACCAACTATCCATGTTAATAGGGAAAATAATAATAAGTGCATCAAGTTTGGGAATGCACCATTTTTCAGACAAATCCAAAAGTAGAAACTGGACCCACAACGACCAAACTAGAGGCTCACAATTTGTTTCCAAGCACCTCAGCCACTTCAACAGAAAGCTCATTCTGAACCCAAACTTCTCCATAACCCAGGATTATCATAGTCTGACATCCAGCCAAAGAATGGAACATTGTGTTAATGTAAGTCTCATCATCGGATTGGAGGGAGGGAACATTTACAGGAAACCTCTATATTTAGTATGTTTGATGGTTAAAAAAAAACAACGGTTTCTGTAGACTTTCCCTTGAATTAATCATTCCAATGACCTCCAAAGGTGGAGACAGCAGGCCAGCCACCTTGAAATAGCACTAGTAATATAGCTTGGGGCAGCTGGGCAGCATCTAAACCCATGGGGTACATGATCCAATATGATAGATACATGATGCAAACAAACAAAGACCTTCATGGATCATTTGGACCTAAGAATGCCAAAAATAACAAGCGATTATTGAATATTATTGACAATGATTGACGATTATCCTCTAGTTATTTATATAACATAGCTATGGAAAATTACCCTTAAAAATAAGTGATTCATGATGATCTACCTATCAACATTGTTATTTCCCTGAGCCATGTTAAATAACCAGAGGGTGTTTTTTTTGTTCTGCCAGCCACCTTGGAGTGTTCCGCAATCTGTTGCAGTTTCCTGCGCCCACAACGGATGATATGCACAACGGACAGGCACTGAACAAGTCCAAAACATGCCTCCAAAAGATCACGAATCTATACAAAGCTTCTGAAATGGATTGAACATTCATAAAAATTCCTACCCCCACTCACAATATTAAACATCCATTAACCAATAACTCCTTCCCCCCAAACCATGTCTTCTTTTTGGGTGTTTGATGGATTGCCGCATCAGAAAATGGGGTTCTGGAGGTGAGTTTCAAAGTACACGTTATCCGTAAAAAAACTGTTTGCTTTGCATGTATACATAAATAAATATGGGCATATATTACAATATACCTATATATATAAATATATATATATATATACTGTATATATATATATGTACATGTATACATATTTATATATATAATATCATTAAATATCTTATGTCATGTTAATCCAGCTGCAGGTCCCATCTGTCAGAATCTGTTCCTGTCGTACTTCTCCAGCAGCTGTTTCTTATCCTGCTTCGCCTGCTGTCCTCACCAGTGTTACGATTTTGTGGGGTGCGGACCGATGTAAATCCATGAATAACCTAGGAAATTGATCTTGAAATAGGGATTTCATGAGGAATTAACCAATACAACTGGTGATTGAATGGAATTGAACGTGATTTCACGTACATAGTTGTATAACCAGTTTCTCATCCGGAAAATTGTATGCAAATGAATGGAGGGTTTTCCAGATCGAAGGGTAAATCCAATGTTTCAGGAAATGAAGGAAAACCAGCCACACAAATTGATGAAAATCCATGAATTTCCTGGATTTCAGCTGCAGAAAAAAAAACAACAACAATTTGTACACTCTCAAATTGTGGCATGCAACAAATCATGGTGCTTCCATACACGGGTTGCAACCCTGCAATTGTGCTCTGTGACTCCACCATTACCCCAATGATCAATACCCTCCAAGTGGCAAACGACAAATTCAATAGCAAACTTTTTTGGCAGGTATTGAAGAATTTAAGATAATATTATATAGGGCAAGGGATTACAGTAATTGCAGTTTCATCTTGACCCAATGTGTTTTTTTTTGGGGGGTGCGTCGTCCTAAACGCAGGTCGCAACCAATTCCAAAGCACATCATAAAATCACCCTGAGAGGTTCCACTGCCAAGTCACGTCTCAAGGAATCGTGCAACCAATCCTGCAAATATCGATGGGTTCCTGGGTTCCCTTTGGTCATGATGAGATCATAGTTCAGCTATAAAATGGGGGATAAACCACTTAGGAGGAGAACCTATGAAAATCAGGCCTATGGAAACTTACCATGACTGGGATCAACATTACTTATCAATGCTACTCGTACATAATGTATTCCATCCACACGTCAGAATAGCATCATTACTAATTACTCAGAGGGAGGGCTGTATCTTTTTTTTGTTGCTTGTCTATTGATCGAAATTCATTGCCAACTTCTATATAATATAATTTTGCACATCCCCTTTTCTGGTTGCTCCAATTTTCACCTTGTATGGAGAAAATGTCATGCAAAATCGAATCTAAATCAATCAACATCATGTGAAATCATCCCGTTCCCAGCAAACCAACATCCTAATTCTGTTCACCAACGAGTTTTTGCAAATCATGTGTTGGCGGTGTTTCACCCCAAATTCGTCCAAATCATCCGTAACATGTGATATCATGTAGTCATGGCCAATCTTAGATATCCTGCAAAAAAAAATCTTAGCTGGTTAGTAGATAATCCCATTGATACCAAACGACTAAAGGATTAGTTTCTACCCATCCAGTTGATTGACCTAGAAACTGGTTGCAATGCCATATCATCATATATAATCACCATATTCCATGATATTCCCATGAAATAACCAGTGATATTTCATGCTTTTTCTCATGGATGTTGGGAAATCGACTCGTGTCGCACCTCACAGGGCCCGTTGACGCCGGGGTGGTCGAAGTCCGCCGCCGAGAGCACGTCCCACTCGCGACGCTTCACGGCGAAATCCACCTGGCACCGTGGAACGTTACCGTTGGGATCGGTTGGGGTTACCCTCCACTCATCTTAGATATCTTCGATACCCATTCCATGGATTTTATGGTGGTTTTATGGTGATTTCATGGGATATAAGATGGTTAATAACTCCAGTAACTATGGTTTACGGTGATTTATGGTGATTCAATGGTGATTTAATGGTGATTTAATGGGATGTAATGAGATTTACCCGGCCTGGTTATGACTAACATTGCCATGGTTAAACCATGGCCCATAGAAATAGATGGTTTATCGAACTTAAAAATGGGTGGATTTTCCATGGCAAAGTGATAAATAGCCAGATGGTAGATATCTTAATTAGATACCCATTCAAAAAAAAAAGGTTCATGTGCAACTGGATGGACGATATTTTCCCATGTGTCACGGGGCACAAGGCACATCTACTGATTCAAAGACATGTCGAGGTGTTTGTCATCTTACAGTTGGGACGAGTCGCTTTGAACCACACATTTCATTTACAAATGGGTTTAAACTCCCATTTGGAAGTTCAAGGTTGGTAACGGCCCAAACGGGGTTATATCCCATTTACTGAATGGGTTTACCGTAAGTGAAGGATGTGAAAATGCGAAAATGCTTAGCATGCCCTATTGGTTCTATCACTGTTTTGGTTTGTCGGCTGGGTGGAACCCATGTGGTACATGTTGTATATAAAAACTGTATAAGTATAATCATGAGTATAGACGATATACATAAATATTATATATATATATACCAGTAGGCTGCCACTGCTAGCTCTCTTGGTGAGCCAACTGTTCATCGACATTGCTGCTTGAAAAAAAACGCACCAGTGATGGTGGTAGTTGTATCACTGGTGACGCATGTCGCTCCCAGAGGCGCTCATCATTGCTGGCAGGACATTTCAAAGTCTGAAGGTGCATATGTATATAGCTATATATATATATATAAATATGATACATTCATATATGCACATATTCACATATATATATGTATATATATAGCAATTAATTTACATATATGATTCATATATGATTCATATATGATTATATGATTATATGTGCATATAATATATACATATGTTGGTCCATACCCACCAAGTTGTCATCAAGAAGGATTGACTTTCTGCATATGTATATCCTACCATTGTGGTTTCTTGTTCAATCTCTTGTTGTATATTTTTTTAAAAAAACTATCTGCTCATCAGGGTTTCCAGGACAATAAGATCTATCTAATTTTTTACAAGACCCGATCGGTTGCTTGACAAAACCTCTCTCCCTTGGCCAAATATGATCCTAAGATATCCTAAGAACTGAGGAATTTCTACACATTTCGACACCCTTTACAAAGCATCAATGTATTAATTGGAAGTACTTCAATATAATAGTACTTACCATATAATAGTAGTTACCATATTATAGTACCATATAATAATCCAATAATAATCCATCTAATGTATGGTGGTCGCTTTTGAGATCTTTCTGTCCATTTCTCCAAGTTCCCCGCTGATTTATCGCCCCGCGGGGACCTGCTTGGCCTCGTTGGTGTCAGCCATGAGTTGCGAATCGATGTCTTCCATGCGGCGTTTCACCACCTGCAAAGCCTCTCGATGCAGAGGTGGGGCCCTTGATGTTGGGGCGGAGGTAGCTATATATTATATATATAAATACCAAAAAAAAGATGCAGCAAAGTGGTAAAGTGGTCAGCACGGAAACCATACTTTTTCGATCTTTTTTTGGTAACATTGTTTTTTTAGCTTTATTGGGGGTCACTTTGACAGTCAAAAATGTTCATAGCATGCCATAGCCAGGCTTCCATTTTAGGAGAATCATCTTCGAAACCCTTTGTTATTTCTTGGTCCCATGATGCCCCATGTTCAATTTGGGTGGTGTTGGTCAACACAACTCAATCAACCCGCGACCAAAAAGGCCACTGAAGGTTTGAGCAACCTTTGGGCATTGATAGCCCTGCTTCTATGGATATGGACAATGATTCATGCGAAATCAGCAAAGGCAAGCAGTCACGCATAATTTTTGGGCCCAAAAAAAGCACTCCGTGGTGTGTACTTGCGTCAGTCAAGTTCAGAGGCATGTTCGGCATCTCTTTTGCAGGGGTACACTGGACGAACTCATGGGCAAGTAATACCTCCCAAAGAATCTGAGGTACTGAAAGAGATGATATAAGGCAATCATACTTCCAACAGTCCTCATAATCCCAATTTTCAAGGATCAAGGATGGATCCAAAAAAATGACCCCACCAGAGCCGTTGCCAAAACCCCGATGAGTTTTGTTCTATTTGCTCTTCTCTTTCGCGAGCTTTCGTGGCAACCTCCTGAACAAAAATCCCGGGTGTTAACAGCGAAACGCATCATTACTGTGTTTCACATATGGTTTCTACATGTTTTTGCAACAGACTGTGCTTTGCAGAGCCACTGACTGCCCATTCCAACACGGGGTTTTTCCAGTCATCTTCCGTGGACCACATAACCCGCGCGCCGTGCGGATCACAGCATCTGAAAAGGTCTCGGGAACGATCCTTGGTTTTCCACGTTGCTAACCACGTTGCTGTTGTGAAAAATGATCCGACCTATGGGGAAAACACCCTGGTGGCTAAACATACAAACCCAACTAACGGAGGAATCACCAGTCATGGTACTCTTGTTGGATGTTATTGGACTAGTGTATTTACTTGGTAAACCTTAGGGATGCAACAATATACAGGTTGGCAAACGGTTGGCAATCAGTATTCTTGGTATCGCAGCACTGTGATGGCAAAACAAACAACAAGGATGCAAGTTTGGGAATATAATCATGGTGACTGCACATTGAGACTCCATTGACAGGGCAAAAAATGCAAGGGAAATCGCAACGAATCCAGCATTGCCTGACATGAAAGTAATCCTTTAACCAACCGCCTCAGGTCAATCTACAGTATTTGGATATAATATTATGCGCATTGAAATAAGATGTGTATATATATATAAACATATGCACATGTACACACATGTATAACTAATATTGACAAATCATTCGACAACAAGCTGGTAGAACGTGTCATCTTCCACATCTACGAACAGCAGAAGGTCCATCCCAAATCTCCATCCGAGTGATGTTTTGTTGAGCCTCCATGGTTGCCTGGATACCCCTTCCAGCCTAAGCTGTAGGCTTATTTATCTCAAAACTCTATAGTAAAAAATCTAATCAGTCGTTTTTTGGGGCCCATGGGTCCGCTTTTTGGCTCGCCAATCACACTTCTGAAGACTCTCTGAGTTGCATGACTCTTGATTTTGATTGATAAATTCATTACGGGAATCATTGCCTTGGCAGACAAACGAAACATATAGCACACACACACAGACACACTATCTGACTACATCTCCGACTGAGCGGAGCACACATCATCATGTTGGCGCCCAAGGCTCCCTCCTTCCTGGTGCGCCAACCATTCTTTCAGTAAGCACCAAGCCTTTGAAAATTTGAACTCCTGGGCAAACTCAAAGATGGCCTCGGAGTGGGCCCAAAGTCGCCATCAGTAGCGGCTTGAGGATCAGTAGTAATCACTTACAAAGTGCAGGCCCTCAAACGATAGCTAAGTTGGTGAACATAATTCTGATAACTTTGGTTTATGATACTTCCAACTGATAACATCTTATAATATCATATAGTGTAACTATAGTATTCATGCGGGTTATAAACCAACTTAGCCATCACTGGGGCGGGCCCCACTCCCACATTGTAAATATCAGGCGCATTTTCTTGGTGAAAAAAGAGTATCATCATATATCATCATTTTCCCATCACCTTTGGATATTTTTTTTTGTGCCCTGTGGTCTGAAAATTGGCTATCCCAACAGGATCCCAAAAGGCTATTTTTTTAAACAATAAAAGTGATACATCATTCAATGGATTGGTTTAAGGGAACATTTACAGGAAACCATGGTATTTACCATGAAATATGGGTTTTTCCTGTAAAATTTCCACTAAACCAATCCATTGAATCATGATATTTTGGGGGTACCCTATTAACCAATACCCTTTGGTGGACATTTCAGCCCGATCAAGCAGCGGATGCTCTGTCAAGGTGGAAGGACGTGGGATAGAAGTCTCCTGGCGGCGATTTCATGGTGGTTTCATAGATGTCAAAATATGTCAAAATGGTGATTGAATGGTAGTTTCACGGTGGGAACTTGCTGGTTTAATTGATTTTATTACGGAAACAATAAAAAAAATGACATAAGGTGCTCGCGGTGATTTACGAGCAGTAAGAGTTTTGCCCTTGGATGCCCTTTGGTAAACTCACATAGCTATGTGGAAGCCATGGCCCATTTCCATGATTTATCCATAAACACCTGGATATTTTCCATGATGTTCCATGGTTATGTTGAATTACCAAATGGTACTTTGAAACCATTTAATGCCACCAAAAACTAATGAACATGTTCCAAGTTCCGTATTACCACATATTTTTGCCATACAACAAATAAATATTGTTCATTAAACTAACGTATGGAACATCTCTATGTCTTGTAGTAGGTAAATCAACTATAAATGCGCAATTTTTCATAGCTATGCTAGTCTACCAAAAAGGTATGTCCCATTTCAAAAGAACTCCAAAAGCAGCTGCAGCTACCAGGTGCCCGTGCGGGAGTCCACAGGAGAGCTGGAAGCTTGAAGCGCTTCAGCCAAACCTGGCAGGTCATCCGAAATCAGCCAATTTCACCGGACATCCATGGAATACTTTGGGAACATCTGAAAACTGGGGATCGGTCAATAGATGTGAATAGTCTATATATATATATATGTGATTATATATATACATATAGTATTAGTATTATTAAACCCAACAAAAAAGAGAAAAACAGTGAATCTTCCTGATTTTCTCTGGTGTGCTTGCTTTTCGGCATCTTTTGGGGGATGACTTTTTATAAGGGAACAAAAAATCAGTTGGGGATCAACCGGTTAACAGATTCCTGGAACGGAAATCATCGTACTCAATTGATGTTTACCCGAAATCAAAATCAGATATGGGTTAGGGATATTAAACCCAACCAAAATCAATTGATGTTTACCCGAAACTGGCTTTTACACCAGATTCTTGGGGATTGGGTTTTGAACTCTGCAAAAAAAACCGTGGGAACACAAAAACAAGAGGTTTCAGCAAAAAAACAATTCACTGCGAAATCACCAAGCAGAAAATGGATTGCAGCAGTGAGAATGGATACTTTGCGGTTAAAGACAACAAAGGAGCATGAAATAGGCACTTTGAAATGCCACCAGGATGGCTTCTACCTCAACCTTTTGTTTTTTGCGCCAAATTCTAAAACATTACTGGGGACTCGTTTTGGGCCACCCTAAAACGAACATCAAACCAACAGGACCAACATCTTTCATGCTCCCCGAAGCTTCTCGTAGCTGGGCTGCGTGCCTGACTTTGTTGTCAGTGCGAAGTCATGCCTCAGATTTCAGATTTCGCGTCGAACAATGCCCGGAAGTGGCCCCAAGTTTGATCCAATCGTCTGTTGACCTTAAATACAAAGCTGAAACAAAAACAAAAAACACACCCCCCTGCACATTTACCAGGTGACGTCAGGGCAACCCGATTGTAGGGGACCCAGCTGTTATCCTTACAAAGTCGCATGGTTTGCAGTTTATAAGATGGGTTGGGTAGGAGGCTTGGTGTATCTTGGTGTGATTCCCCAGCAAACACCGGCGAACCAAAAAAAACAAAAATCGGCGCCTTACAAAATGAATGCCCCAAGTTTATTTCCAGGCCCCAAACACAATCATCTTATAAGTTTGTGTCTTATAGAATGGTTGGTTTGGAAACATGTCTAACTTGTACATGTCCAACTTTCCCCGGGAAACACCGCAATCCTTTTTCCCAGTCCCCGAAGCTTTGGCAGCACACAATCTTCACGAGGCTTCCTTCTTAAACTACCCCAACATAGCTTGACTATGTTTTTTGTCAACTTTTCTTTCCATGTTTTATGGAATTTTTCGGTTATGAGAAAAAATCACACAAAGTTTGATCCTACCTTTTCTGGTTGGTGGCGTCTTGCCAGTTCTTCACACATCAATGATGGAATGATGGAACCCAAAAAGTTTAAGAGAAGAAAACCTGGTTCCTGGGCATGGTCAAGATTTCAATACCCTCCTTTGCACTGCCTGAAATAAACCCAAAATAGCGTTATGAAATGATTGGTCCCGACGTCATTTTGTAAAGAATGTTGGCTCTTACAAAATGAGTCGCCCAGCAAAAAACACGTTTTTTACAAAATGGCATGGTTGACTAGAAAAAATCCTTACAAAATGCATCCGTTTGTTACAAAAATGCCGCTGGAATAGAACATGGGTCCAGCCATTTCAAAGTGGAAGTGTACACAGGGATAAAAACACAATTTCCATGAAATTGACCCCCGTGAAAATGGCTCAACATCAGCCTATGAGCACTATCAAACCAATATTCAGCAAGGCAGTTGATTCCGTCTTGTACTGCTTTTATGCTTTGTAAAACTGTAAAAACATGATTTTGCCTGGTTTAGCCGTGATGTGCATAGGTGCAATGCCCAATTTAAACATGCAGCCCGAATTGTTATGCCAGAGATGCTCGTAATGATTCACCAATTGCGGCGGAGCCAAAGCTCTCCAATCCACCTGTCGTTGGTGGACACGAGAATGCTATTTACGGAAACAAGAACTAACATGATACTGCTTCCAGTTATATAATTGTGAGATAGGTAACCTGGGTAATTTTACATCTTAGGATTTTGGACTTGATTTCATATCTGATAGGTAACTGGATTTGGCTTCCTATTTGACAGGTAACTGGAAAAAGAACTGTATAAGCAACTGTCATTGAATAGCGCCAGTGACCAGGCACACATAACATGCGCATATGGCATATGTACTAATATGTGTAAATATGTGAATATATATTCATGATCCTACTAGGATGGTGATTATGTGGCATTTAATGTGGCATTTAAATGCATTTAACATGCTATGGCCTATGGCTATGAATTTACGGTTCTCCCCTGTTTTGATTCGGCGAAACCTCGTCATTTGGCCCCCAGTTCGACATGGCCACGTGGCCACGCCCTGCAGTCGGATCCCAGTTGGGCCTTGCTACGAGGACCCCACTTCAACAGAAACTCCTCCCCTTCGCCTGCGCGAAAAGGGATCGAGATCAATACGGCAGGCTGAAAGTTGTCCAGCACCATGGTGATTGTTATCCCCTATAAATGGAGGTGGTGAATGGAAAACATCATCTATAAATGGTGGATTTTCCATTGCCATGTCTGATTACCAGAGCTGCAATACTTTCCTACATCTTTGAGTTTGGATATTTAATATGTACGTACAACACAGTAGAACGACATCTTCCAAATCCAGTTTTCAGGGACCCATGCGAAATCATTGAGCCCGTCGGCCAGGTGTCATGCCCTAGCTATGGCCTTCCGTTCACACCAAAATAGCTGGCACATGGATGTTCCCCCAAACATGGCATAATATGGCATAAGTTGTGATTCCTCCCTATATTTTACGTGGCATTTCCCACCGGAACAGCCTGACCCAAAACGTGGTAGGGGGGCGCCTTCTGTGAAGCCTCTGTTGATGAGTTCCTCCCGAACCTTGAGCGACCAGGCGCTCATGTCTATGTCCATCTATGTCCATCTACCCGTCTATTTATCCATCACATCTATCTATCCGTCTATCTCTCTAACTCTATCTATATATATATATAAATTATAGTTGCCATCTGCGTATCTATATGTGAATACATGTAACATATACGTACACAAATGTGCGTATACACACATATATATATATATATGCGTATATATATATATATATACACATAAATTTAATATTCAACCGCACCTATTTGTTGTTGCCTTGCAAAACTGGGTGCTTTGCATGGATCCTCACTGGAAACCGCCTGGATTTACCATCTAGATCTGCCATTGTAGCTATGGAACGTCACCATTTTCAATAGGTATAGCAACCCCTAAAAAATAGAAGCAACAATCTCACAAAAATAGTGATAAAGCACTCTTCTATGTTTGTTAAGGAGTACTATAGGCCAACTATGAGTGGGCAATGTTCCGTAGCTATGTCATTAAAAAAAAACTGGACTTATCATGTGCTGGATGTTGAAACACTCAGATTTGGGTATACCCTCCGGTAAACTCACATAGCTATGGAAAATCATCAGTAAGGCTAAGTCATCTGAGGATATTTTTCACCAGCGATTGGTGTCCGTAGAAACCCATGGCCATGATCCCAGGCACCACATCCAGATTGGCGCTTTCAGGATTTCCCGTGATCACCTCGGCGACGCGTGACGAATGTGGGGAGATGTGGTGCCGGGTCTGCAAGCAGTGTTGATTTGGGTTCAGCTTTTGCCTATCCACTAAAGAACACATGATATGTCTCTGAGGGGTTTTGCAACACTCATCTTTCAGTTACAGTATTTGTAGGGGAAACATAAGAATAAAAGATGTGGCAAACCTATTGTTTCCCTAGGAAAAATATACAAATGGTGGGTTTTCCACATCCATGTTAGTCTACCCTAGCGTAACCAAGGATATATCATGTCGTTGGACTTTCTCTCAGGGGCTCAACAAACTCCCAAATGGTGGATTTCCCATTGGGAAAGCCAAATCACCTATTAAACCAAACCAGGTGACCCAGGTTTGTATATATATATATGTGTATGTGTGTGTGTGCGTCTATATATATATATATATCGTCTAAAATCATATATAGTTGACGTTGACTGTAAATAGATATATCACATATCATATTACATGTATCATAAACATGTTTGGTCCAAAGGCTTCATGTAATGTAGATTGAACCCCACATTTTTGATGCCGACAGGTCCGCATAGGCCGCATGTGTCATGTTTGACGTCCTCATTCTGGGCTTCAGAACAATACAGAACAATATTGTGGTGACACATTGTGAACTATGATTAAATCCCACATATCAATACATATATATATATATATTTGTATATCTTATGTGTATATATATATATATATATCCGGTCACGCATATATCCGGTCACGCATCTAAGTTGCTTCGAAGATGTTCCAGGCAATGATGGCAAGTGCATAAAAAAAACCCGCTTTATTGACATTGATTCAACACAAAATCAATGTGCCTCCAAAAGATAGTACAGGTTCTATTCACATCCATTTACCATGGTTTTGTGATTTTGGAACAAGGATTTTACTAAGATCTACATCTTTTTGCTAAACAAAGTGGTAAGATCCTCACAACTCACAGCACCACCGCACTTTCCGCAGGATAAGCGTCAAAGACTTTGGGAACTGAGGATGGGAGCCTAGCAGGGCGGTTTGGTTTCTGTCACCGACAAAGATCAACAACCAAAACATGGCGTTCAACCATAGTTAACCATCCGGAAAGGATCTATGATATGTAGAAGAAATGAAGAGGTTACTATATATGACTGAAGGGGCTAGAATCTATCTTTCATGTACAGTATATATATCTATATATCCTCCTAATCTTCCCAGTTACCTGTCAAATAGGTATCTAGGGCGAAGATCCTGAGATGTCCTACGTTAAGACCGGAAGGGTAGGGTTGATATGGATTGGTGATTAGATAAATGAGAATAAACCAAGGAAAGGAACTGGCATGGAATGGATCATGACCGTCATGACCTAGCAGCACTTGGATAAAAACATCACGGAACACATCGGGCCTCAGGTGATCTGGCCACTTTCGGGTCCTATATTACACTTTGCGGTACTTTGGGTTCCTAGAGAAATCCATGTGAGTGATAACCCCTCGTTGAGTGCGATGATCATAGATGGTTTCCAGGTACCTCCCGTAATCAAACAGAGCAATTGGACATCCGCTATTCATAGATGATGTTCCCATTGAAACCTCCATGACACATGTTTTTTCCGGCTTGTCACATTTGATTACCACATGGTATACAGGCGCTTACGTTCGTTTCAGGCTTTAAGAAATCCTGACTCTTACTGGCTACACCCTGATTATACATCAACAAATAAAAAAACAGTTTTTTACAAACGAATACTGTAACTGAAATAAACTAAATCAATAATGAATCAATCGATAGATAATGATTAATAAAAACATACCAAATGCATAAATACATAAACAAAATACACTCACACACACACAACCATAATTATATATACACAAATGCACACACACATATATATATATAATTATTTGGTCACACGTAATATATTAAAGCATATTCAAGCTGGAACATATTTCACTGACCTGAAATAAGGTTTCTTCTTGGAATAAACATCCCTAATCACAGGATATAGTCACTAGAATTCATCCAGATATTTAGTTAATCTTTGATAGTCCACAAACAAATTCTCATCTTTTGATGTTAGTTTCTACCCATCCAGTTGGGGATGAATATGCATATCCCCAAAGATAATCTCTACATTTCAAAATATTTTTCATGGTTAATGACGTTAATGATGGTTAAACATAGTTAAACCCATTGGTTATGCTTATGGTTAATGATAATTCTTAAGTTTCAAAATATTTCATGATTCAATGGATTGGTTTGAGGGATTGAATCATGAAATATAGTGAAATTTAGGGATTATCATTAACCATAACCATAACCAATAACCATAACCAATAACCATAACCAATAACCATAACCAATAACCATAACCATTGTATTGACCCCTTCATATATCATAATCATGTTTAACCTTTCATGATCCCATAGTGCCATTTTTGGAAAATCGATGGTTTCCGGTTAAGATTTTACCCGACTAAAGCAGCACCTCTTCCTGGAGGCTATGGAGGCCACGCTGCCGCTGCGGCCCAGGGCTGGGGACTCTCCTCCACGAGCGGATGGAGCGACTGTTGGAAGGGGAAAACATCGGAAAACCATCGGGGAAACATGGGAAAAACATGGGAAAATAATGTTTGTTGATGTTTTTTTCGGAAAACATTGGTTAAAATCATTGGAAAATAGGCACATCATGGGAACATCTGCCAGAAATATTGGTTTTCATGGGGAAAATCATCGTTGTTTTTTTGGAATTTTCCTCTATGCACGAAAGTTTTAAATTGTTTCAGGTCGCTAGGAAAAGCATCAAACTACTGCTGGTGGATTTTCTCGCTATGTTTGATTTGATGACACTGGTGTTCTGGCTATATTTATACAATACATGTCCTTCTTTATGATATCAGCGATCCATGGCCCTCCCCAGCTTCAACTATGACCTGGCAGCCAGCCACGGTTGATGAAAGTCATGTGGTAAAGCCAATGTCATGAACCCCCAAAATCACCATGTTTCTGGGTGGACTTGAAACCATCCCCAAATGCTAGCTGTTTATGGCAGCCAGGGTTTTCCACATTACTGAAACAGATGATTTCAAGAAAAAGCAACAAGCCAGGATGATTGCCAAAGTCGACCCATGAAGTTCCTTAAATCTGCGACCCTGCGGCGAAAACTCTGGTTGGTGAACTTCCGGTCTGAGCAAGTACCTATTTTATCCTTTTTTCACGCATAGCAAACCCCTAAAAAAACTAGTTGAGGGTTAAATATGGTCAAATCCTGCTGAACTCATGATGCCCTCCAGCCAGTAAACTATAACCGCTAGCTGTGGAAGCCATGGCCCATTTAGTTCGATGATGTACCTTTGAAACATGGTGATTTCCAACTACCCCACCACCCTCCTGCCATTCGTGGCAGTTCCACGCGAGCCGATCGCTTTGCGAAGGCCATGTGGGGCAGACTCCACGAACCCGAAAACCGGGCTGAGATTCAAAAATCCAAAGGTGGAACAAAGTGGGGGCCCCTGGATGGATTGATTTACAATATCTGGTTGGTATGGACTGATATATGAGTTGATAAGGATTCATATGGATTGTAATATGCTAAGTTCGTGAACATAACTCCAACAACCATGACAAGAATCATTGTCTTTTGATACTTTTAACTATGGGGGGGCCCAAATCTAACCTGATGTTGAACTTTAGCATTCTTCCTCTCCTTGTCTGGACGCATGAAGATACATGGTTACATGTCCAAATACATTTTTTTGATCCTTGCGCATGTCTAACATTCATTTTTTAATGATCATTTGAAGAGACTCAATGACTTCTGCGACAAATCCTGTTGCTGATGTTTTCGACCTCCTGACTGGATGTCTCCCCATGTGAATCATCACAGCCATCACCGCCATCCCCAGCCGCGCCCCAAAAACCAGGACCAGACGGCTGCGCAAGCGTGGCGGATCTGTTTATTGTGCAATGTGGGGCTCCCAGTTGGTTGGTTGGTTTATAAACCCCATGAATACTATGAGTAATAAGACTCATAAACATTAATAAATCATAGTAGTTGTTGGAGGTATGCGTATACCAACTCAGCTATCGTAAAGGGGGGCCCCACCTTGTAGTTCCACTCCTCCCCACATCAGCTCGTTGTCCCACGAACTCAGGCATTAGCATTCTTTCAATGGGGAGAAAATGATGGTTTCATAGGATTTTTGACGAAAGCTGCAATTAAATGATGGTTTCATAGAATGATGGTTTCATTGGTTTCATGGTTTGCCCCAATTGTTCCATTGAATGGGGGAAAAATGATGGTTTCATAGACTTCAATGGGGGGAATTGGAGTCTTCATCTCTGATTTCAATGGATTGATTTGACGAAAACTGCAGGGGCTGACCAGTTAGCTGTCAGAGCCTGGAATCCATGGCGCCCATTGAGTTTGATGAACTATATCCTATCATATCGTATCTAACCTATAGGTATATATATATATACATATATATTATTAGGCATGAACAAATAGATATATACATACATACATATATATATATATGTTACATATATCTATACATATATATAATATAACAAAGTATAATAATATGTGTGTATTAGGAATAGTTGATTTTCCATAGTATAGGCTATATGTTAAATCATCTACAGTAAGTAAGGCCAACCAAGTCCCCGAATCTTTTGGACTCAAAGAAAATGAGCAAAACCCGCCAAGTTTTATAAGTAAAACCATGAATAATACAGGTAAAACAACGGTAAATATACCATAGCGAACTGGAAAATGACCAAATTCAATGTGAATATGTCGGTGAACTATTCATAAATGGACAGTGGCAACCATATCTATGTTAAACAACCAAAGGGTGAACCAGGGGCTTCTAAGAGTTTCAAGGGGGCATCTAGTATTAGTGAGGAAGGGATCATGGAAGAATTCTATAACTTGGACAAAACATGTAAAACATTGAAAACCGTCTGGTTCTGCAACCAATGACGAAACAACATATTTCTGAGGATTTACCAGCGTTTTCAAACATGGTGGTTTTCCAGTTCACGACGTGACTACGTGACAAATAACCAAAGGGCTGATGTGTCCTCTCCACCGGATTGTGCCCATCGCGGACGAAAATGCGGAATCCCCAAACAAACCGATCAATAAGCTTCCACTAACAGTGGAAAAAAAACACGATTTTCGGGGTCTGTGCTGATTTGGGTGATAGTATTGTATCTATTAAGAGTATCTATTATTTGTGTCCACTCCGAACTAGCTATTTTTAGGGCCTATGTTAATTTGCTGGGGGGTATGGCGACATCCTATGAGTGCTCTGCGAGTGTAGTGCATCACGAAATCAGAGTTTGAAAGCCCCATCTGACGGAATCATAGTGTTTAAAAAAAACATAGTCGTCGCTCACAAAAACCTATCATGTACCCGGGTACCCTAATTGAACATAGCTATGAAAAAAAACAATTCACCTGTTTTTATGGGTCGTGTCGTGTAGCTATGTTAAATGACCAGAGGATAAAACAAACCATCTACAGTGACCCAGCCTCGCAGCCTCAGGTGCCTCTCCCCTCTGCCCGCTGGGATCTGCACAACTATGGCGCCCTTCATCGCGGCAAAAAAAATGGCGCTCAGGCGCGAAAGTCGCGACACGACGTTGCTAAGACATTCGGAAAGCATATTGGAGACCACCTTTCTTTATCTTATGAAAGGATGTCCAATGATTTATCCACACCTCAGTGAGGAAAAGAAAAAAACATGGAACAGGAAGAATCTTCCAACTGCAAACCCTGTTGCAGTATGGGTGTTTTTCTGATCTCTGTTAATCCGCTTTTGAGTTGCTTTGCCCATGCTGCACCAACGTTTGTTTACTGTTTACATTGTGCCTTTGCTTTTGTGCAGCTATCCGATCCATGGTCATAGGCGGTTCGTCTCCAATCATCTTCTAGTTGCATCTAGTTGATGGTTTCAACCTATCCCAGGAGCAGTAGTCAAGTCGTTATCGCCGGTTGAGACTATATAGACTATAGATCCTGGTGATGGATGCATTGAAATATAAATAATATATATATATGGAAATCACATAAAACCACATGTATTTTATAACATTATTTAACCACCAGCCGGTCATGTGTTGGCATCTTCTGAGTCATGGATTCTCATGGCATTAGCATCCTCTAGCTGTTTGAGCCCATCCGGTGGAGAACTCAACATTGAACCCAGCAATCTGCTGAAAGCCCCACCTGTTGCAAGCTGCATAAGGAGAGCCTTACGTAAAAATAGCATATCATCTACTTGGATGTGCATCTCAAATAGTGATGAGTAACCGGCATATAGAACTTGAGTGCATTTACAAGTGGCTTACCTAATATATTCGGCAGTTCCTGTCTATCCGTCTGGGATGAAATATTGAAGGCCTCCATGGTCTGCAAGCAGCATCCTCTTTTCGCCCTACCAGCAGCGATCAGGCGCCGCGGCGCTTCCGGGACCACAAGTTCCTTCGGTGCAGTGTCAATGGATCCATTGGAGAGTGCAGCTATTTCCATGATTTTTGATGTCTCTAGGGGCCAAAGTTCACAACAGGGCATACCCATCTCGCCGATGGGCATGAGCGGCATGAGGTAGTGAAACTTTAAGCTGTAGATGTTGCTGCTGCAAAATACCGGAAGAAGTCTCCTAAATTGTGGATAGTCCCTGCACCCTCTTCCATTAAGACCCCAAAATCCCATGGTTTCACAACCTGACTTTTCCCATCGGGATCCCTGAATTGATCAACGGAACTGACCTAACCTGTCGGCCCGGGTCCTTTCAAACAAATTGGCGTCGCGGGCTTCTTGTGATACGCGATGCAGGCCTCGTTGCGCTGTTCGGGGGTGGGCCGATAGAGTGACTATTGGATTATAAGTCCAATTACTTGGGCCTTGGGGAATTCTATGAACTTCTATGGAATTCCATGGTTTATGGATGTTTATGGTAGGTATATCTGTAGTGATGGAGAATATAAAGCAACAAAACAAAACTGAGACGGCACCACCCAGTTGGTGAGCGTATGGGCCTCATCATGGCGTGATCCCAATCAATGCCGTAGGCAACAAAGATCAACAAACCATGTGCAACCAAAAGCAACTATATACAGTGTATGGTGCATGCGAAATAGGTATTTAATGGTATTTACAGGTGCATGTACTTGGGAAAATTAAAGGACCGGATAACCCCACAAGTCAACTTCTTCCAATAATGAGTTTCAAAGGTTGTAGCGGGGTCGGAGAAGGAAGGAAAGACAAAGGAGGTGGTGAAAGACTGTGTGTGAAAGTATGTGAAAAGATAGTATGCATGTACGTATGTGTATATATATATGTATGTACGTACGTACGTACGTACGTATGTATGTCTGTATGTACATACGTACGTATGTATGTATGTATGTATGTATGAAATGTATGTATGTGTATGTGTGTGACAAAGTTGCGCGTCTGGTGGTGTTTCTTCCACTAGATAGTGACTTGTCACTGAAGGCCAGAAAAGAAACAAGATATGCTTACCACGGAAATTCTTTGTGGGATCCAAGGGTGTGTGCTGAACACTAGGTCTCACGACGTGTCTCACTCGCCTTCTTCGAGTTCCACCAGGCTCTGATGGTTTTTTCCCCGACGTTGCTTCCCGAAAGAGCTTTTATGGCAGAGCCCTCTATCAAAGCGATGGTGTGCTCTCCATACTTCCGCTGACCAAAGTAATGTTCTGCACTCTTTCGGGCGAAGCCGCAAATTTTGCGAACTCTTTCTGCATGCCCTGTGGCTGGTAATCATACCTGGTATATAGTCATGATCAACTGCTGGCGTCATGGACGTGAGATTGTGCCCACCGCGTGCCACGTGAAATCAAGGTGTATGTCACCAAGTGCCATCAGTGAGGCGCCTGCCACGCAAAACGACCTTGCATGTAATCAAGGTGGACGTCACCAAGTGCCACGCCTGCCACGCAAAGTGCCGCGGCGTCACAGGCGACAAATCCGGACCAAGCGCGCCACCCAGTACCATGAGTGCCACGCCTGCCACGCAAAACGACGGTGGATGCGAGTTTTGTGCCACGCGTGCCACGTGAAACGAGGGTGGATGTCACCAAGTGCCACGCCTGCCACGCAAAGTGCCGCGGCGTCACAGGCGACAAATCCGGACCAAGCGCGCCACCCAGTACCATGAGTGCCACGCCTGCCACGCAAAACGACGGTGGATGCGAGTTTGTGCCACGCCTGCCACGTGAAACGAAGGTGGATGTCACCAAGTGCCACGCCTGCCACGCAAAGTGCCGCGGCGTCACAGGCGACAAATCCGGACCAAGCCATGAGTGCCACGCCTGCCACGCAAAACGACGGTGGATGCGAGTTTGTGCCACGCCTGCCACGTGAAACGAGGTGGATGTCACCAAGTGCCACGCCTGCCACGCAAAGTGCCGCGGCGTCACAGGCGACAAATCCGGACCAAGCGCGCCACCCAGTACCATGAGTGCCACGCCTGCCACGCAAAACGACGGTGGATGCGAGTTTTGTGCCACGCCTGCCACGTGAAACGAAGGTGGATGTCACCAAGTGCCACGCCTGCCACGCAAAGTGCCGCGGCGTCACAGGCGACAAATCCGGACCAAGCGCGCCACCCAGTACCATGAGTGCCACGCCTGCCACGCAAAACGACGGTGGATGCGAGTTTTGTGCCACGCCTGCCACGTGAAACGAGGGTGGATGTCACCAAGTGCCACGCCTGCCACGCAAAGTGCCGCGGCGTCACAGGCGACAAATCCGGACCAAGCGCGCCACCCAGTACCATGAGTGCCACGCCTGCCACGCAAAACGACGGTGGATGCGAGTTTGTGCCACGCCTGCCACGTGAAACGAAGGCGGATGTCACCAAGTGCCACGCCTGCCACGCAAAGTGCCGCGGCGTCACAGGCGACAAATCCGGACCAAGCGCGCCACCCAGTACCATGAGTGCCACGCCTGCCACGCAAAACGACGGTGGATGCGAGTTTTGTGCCACGCCTGCCACGTGAAACGAAGGTGGATGTCACCAAGTGCCACGCCTGCCACGCAAAGTGCCGCGGCGTCACAGGCGACAAATCCGGACCAAGCGCGCCACCCAGTACCATGAGTGCCACGCCTGCCACGCAAAACGACGGTGGATGCGAGTTTTGTGCCACGCCTGCCACGTGAAACGAGGGTGGATGTCACCAAGTGCCACGCCTGCCACGCAAAGTGCCGCGGCGTCACAGGCGACAAATCCGGACCAAGCGCGCCACCCAGTACCATGAGTGCCACGCCTGCCACGCAAAACGACGGTGGATGCGAGTTTGTGCCACGCCTGCCACGTGAAACGAGGGTGGATGTCACCAAGTGCCACGCCTGCCACGCAAAGTGCCGCGGCGTCACAGGCGACAAATCCGGACCAAGCGCGCCACCCAGTACCATGAGTGCCACGCCTGCCACGCAAAACGACGGTGGATGCGAGTTTTGTGCCACGCCTGCCACGTGAAACGAGGGTGGATGTCACCAAGTGTGCCACGCCTGCCACACGATGTCACCAAGTGCCACGCCTGCCGCGGCGTCACAGGCGACAAATCCGGACCAAGCGCGCCACCCAGTACCATGAGTGCCACGCCTGCCACGCAAAACGACGGTGGATGCGAGTTTTGTGCCACGCCTGCCACGTGAAACGAGGGTGGATGTCACCAAGTGCGCCACCCAGTGCCATGTGTACCACGCCTGCCACGCAAAACGACGGTGTGTGTGTGTGTGAAGTGATTGTCTGTTAAGTTTGCGTATGTTAAGTTTGTGTGTGTGAAATTATTGTATGTGAAGTTTGTGTGTGTGAAATTATTGTATGTTAAGTTTGTGTGTGTGAAGTTATTGTCTGTTAAGTTTGTGTGTGTGAAGTTTGTGTGTGTTAAGTTTGTGTATGTGAAATTATTGTATATTAAGTTTGTGTGTGTGAAGTTATTGTCTGTTAAGTTTGTGTGTGTTAAGTTTGTGTGTGTGAAGTTATTGTCTGTTAAGTTTGTGTGTGTGAAGTTTGTGTGTGTTAAGTTTGTGTATGTTAAGTTTGTGTGTGTGAAATTATTGTATGTTAAGTTTGTGTGTGTGAAGTTATTGTCTGTTAAGTTTGTGTGTGTTAAGTTTGTGTGTGTTAAGTTTTTGTGTGTGAAATTATTGTATGTGAAGTTTGTGTGTGTGAAATTATTGTATGTTAAGTTTGTGTGTGTGAAGTTATTGTCTGTTAAGTTTGTGTGTGTTAAGTTTGTGTGTGTGTGAAATTATTGTATGTTAAGTTTGTGTGTGTTGTGTTACGGAGGCGGCGGGAGGAGGAGGAGAAGCCCGGGATACAGAATCAAAAACAAGAACCCCACACAAAGATGTGGAGAAAAAACCAAGTGCTGTACCAATTGCACGATGGTAGTTGTATTTTCTTTCTTGGTAGCTCCATTGTGGTTTGAGAAGCCCGAAACCCTCTTGGTATAATGTTAGGATGCCCTTGGAGAGGAACAAACACATGAGTGTATGCCAGAGACCCATGCTGGTATTCATTGAGCGTAGCTACATAAAATAGCTACACACACACACACGCGTATATATATATACACACTACTATTGTACGTGACATATAAATAGCTCATGTTGTACCAGGAGGATGGCCCTGATTCTTTTGGCGAAAAAAAACGGTACCAAAAAAAAACAGCCAACACACCTTTATTCTGGCCAAAGTTTTCCAAGGAAATATTGTCACTGATCAATCATTTGTTGAAATGTGTCACTGTTCTACGAATCTTAGTGGAATGCGGGAATCGAAATCCAAGCGGCTGCAATTCTACCATTCAAATAAAGTTCTAGAGTTTCACAATCCTAAAGTAAAGTTCTGCAATTTCACCATGCAACTAATAGCATGTTCACAATTTTCCACCCTAATCAAGTTCTACAAATGTGACCATCCGAATGAAAATCAACAGAAATGCCACTTCACAGACGCAGTAGCACCGCAAGACCACCCACAACCACAGCTGTGACAAGTTGCTGGTGGCCAAATCATTGTGTCCTAGGGCTTGTGGTGCTGGATTTTCCAACACGCCATATTGGGTTACCGGATGGTATATCAAATTCTTGGTGCGTATGTATGTATGGCCTGGATGGATGGATGTATGTATGTTTGTATGTATGTATGTAAAAAATGCACACACACAAAATGTATTTATCATATGCATCCGCAACGGTGAACACGAAAGTATAGGTATATATATATATATAACCTTGTGCCACTGCATGGAATGTATTCTGCGAGTTGTTCGGAAAATCAGGTAATTCGAATATCGGTACCAAAAAGGGTCTCGAGTTGAGTGACATGCTAAGGGATATTTTTTCATTGGGCATGCAATGCCCCAATCAACTCAATTCGTTGCAGAACTAAAGACATAGAATATAGAAGCGGATGGAAAATTGCACCCTTTCTCTCAGAAAGGCGAAACAAATCCATGGTTTCCATTGGGAGCTCGCTACACGAATTGCGCTAAGACACCAATCGTGGGGGGTACCTTTCGGTGATCTTCTCAAATTTATCTCTTTACATAGAAAATAATAAGAGATTGGTCATTTTTTTGGGGGGGACGTTTTTTGTTTTTAAAGGTTTCAGATTAAGAGCTTTAGACATCCACCCGGGCTACGACAAACAGAACTACACCTGTACCTTCATAAAAACAGTATACTTACATTTAATGCTACAGGACTTTCTCTCCTTTGGGAATGTAGTATTCCAATTCCAGTGAAACCAATTCCCCGCAGAACTGAATACATAGAATATATAGACCCCAATCAGAAGATGTCTCCAGTTTTCGAGGAACACCACCGAATTCCACATGTTTCATATTCGGAAGTTGATTTTACCATTGTTCTATGACGCCAGTCGTGGGAGGGTATCCTTAGGTGATCATCTCGGGGTGCTCTGTTTTTCTGGGAACGTTCCAGGAACTTCAGACATCCGTGGTTGCTACATGTAGCAGGTTGTTACTACCCATTCTCTTTTAGGAAAGTAGTGGTTTTGTGCCCATTGCAGCCCTGGCCATTGCATGTCTCACGTGTACAGGCAGATGCAAGGGTTGTTTTTGGCAGTTGTGATTTCGCAACCTCTACAGTATGAGGGGACAATTTGATAATTCAAAGAACATCAAAAGACCATAGGTTTTTTCATCTTCCGGAATTGAACCGGAATATTTTATCTCGAATAATGGTTTATTCTATGTGCACTCTTTTCAAGTCCTGAAGTTGCCCCAAAATGACAAAAAACAGTTCTATATTCTATGTATGTTTTGTAGACATATATGCGCATATATATATATAATTATATATATATATGTATGGTATACACAATATGCACATAATTAATTGTGCAATATTTTGTGTAGATGTATATATATATGTTTTATCTATGCATGTTTTGTCCCCAAATGATCTCGTGAGTGATTCAAAACCCAACAGGATTGTTGACACCGGGGTGCCTATTGCTCTCCGATATGCGTGAATTCAGGCGGCCTTACTGTAAAGAAAAAACAAAACCTTGCCGCCCAAGGAACAACAAATATTGGAGTGTTTCTGACATATAAGCCCATATTTTGTGGGGATATTGCCTTACATAGCCTTTAAAAATAGTCTTGAACAAATGCTAATAAATGCTAATATATGGTAAATAGGTACTTAGGTACAGTGAAAGCACTGTTTAAGAACCTATTGCGATAAGAACTTCAAGGGCTGGATTGCTGGATTCAACCCGTTCTGTCAGCTAATTGAAATAAGAACCCTAGGGCCCTAGGGTATCCTGGAATTCTAGCTACAGGTTCTTATTCCCCTTTAACGGGTATAAATATACCAAGCACTATCAAATATTGAGCATTGCTTTTTAAACCTGGTTGGACGGATGCCGTTCTTCTTCCCCTTAACATGAGCGGGAACATCCAACTCATGTACTGCAGATAAAGAAAATTCAAGGAAAGCTAAAGCTGAAACCTCTATGGTCCACATAGTGCAAGGCGCCCTGTCGGAATCGATCTCCCACCCTCCCGCTTGCTGCTGATGCTCTACCAACTGAGCTATTGCCTCTCTGGCCTTGGTGTCTGCCAACCTTTTATCTAACGTTTTGACCTATTTTTCTTATGGCTGCGGAACAAATCCCTTTCTGCACGTGTTGGCGCGTGTGCTTTTCAGCCCGCACAGCCTCTGTTTTGGATGGCTGCTCTGCTTTGGATCCGCTGCTTGCAGAGCTGTCTCTGGAGGCACTATTTCTACATAATTCTAAGTTGGGAAATCACTACACATGTGCAATACCCTCACCATATGAACCCCTTAAGAACTAACCCGTTAAGCACTTGAGGGCACCCTCCCTCATAATTCCCATGTTTCCACCTATAGCACTTAAGAACCACAGGGTAGGCTAGAAAATTCTTAATCGGTTCTTATCTAACGGTTCCGCCCTACCTCCAATTTGCACAAGGTCCTGTAAAATGGGCATTGAATGGTACCCACACAATAAAGTTTGCATTTACAAAGCATAGCGAGCACAACCCAGCGCCGAGGTACCCAGAAGCAGGTGTAGCCCACCCCACTGTGGATCTCATAGGTGCCACCACACTCCGCTTCCGTCGACCTATGGGGGCTGGATGGGAACTGGGACCTCGTTGGCTTCAGAAATTGCTATCGGTACGAACTTGGTCATGTATTCCTATGTATATCTTTCTATGAAGGTTGCCATAACTGGGGGTTCCCCAAAATGGATCAAAATGGATGGTTTATAATGGAAATTCCTATATAAATGGATGATTTGGGGGTAGCCCTTTTATGGAAACCCCCGAATGTGCATATGTATACAGTATTACTTGTTTTTAGATGCAAAAACCTAAAATGATCATGGTATGGGAGGCTCCGGCTCCAACTGCTACTTCCGCGCCCTTTCTTCCGTGGTGTTGAACCCTGCCCCCCCACCTGCCACAGTGGGACACTAACTTCAGGCTGGAGCATCCCACCTCTAAGCGAGCTGGTGAAGGTGAAGGTGGAATCAATGAGAAATGGGTATGCTAGGTCCATGCTCGACTTTGAATGACAAGCAGCAAATCTATGTGCCTGCGCTCATTTGTCATTCAGCTCTATATCCCATGGAAGAGATGTGTTTTATTTTTTATGTTGTTCCCCAAACAGTGTGGCCACACTAAGGGGTTCTTACGGTAAGTGTTAAGGCGCGCTGTTTGATCGACATGGTATCCGTAGCGTCCTGCATTTTTCTGTAAATTCACACAAAATGGCTCTTGTGAAATGTCCATGTGCATTTCGACTGCGCAGGCGGTATTAGCGTATTTCCTTGAAAAAAAAACGCACGAATGGCTCGTGAAATGTCCATGTGCATTTCGATTGCGCAGGCTCACACGAAACGGGGGCCGCGGGATTAGCGTCCGGCATTTTCCTTTTAAATTTCCACACAAAATGGTTCTTGTGAAATGTCCACATGCATTTCGACTGCGCGGGGCACGGCATTTTTCCTGTAAATCAGCGCAGGCTCGCACAAAACGAGAACCCTCGCACAGACATCTTGCCAAGAGACTTCCTATAGGGAGCTTGTACAGAGATCTTGTCAAGAGACCTCTTATGGAGTTCTTGCTCAGAAATTTTGCCAAGAGACCTCTTATAGAGATCTTGCCAACAGAGCTCTTATAGAGATCTTGTGCAGAGACCTGGTGAAGAGAACAGCGATCTTGCTCAGAGATCTTTCGCAGAGATCTTGTACAGAGATATTGCCAGGATACCTCTTATGGAGATCTTGTACAAAGACATTGCATAGAAATCTGTTGCAGAGATCTTGCCAAGAAGTCTCTTAGATAAATTTGCCAATAGAGCTTTTTGGAGAACTTGAACAAGAGATCTCATAAAGAGATCTTGCACAGAGACATTGCATAAAGATATGCTGAGAATTGTTGGGATCTTGCCAGGACACCTCTTATGGAGTCCTTGTGCAGAGACATTGCTTAGAGATCTGTTGCTGAGACCTTGCCAAGAAGTCTCTTACATAAATCTCGCCAAGAGAGCTTGTATAGCGAGCTTGTACGGAGATCTCATACAAAGATCTTGCCAAGAGATCTCTTATAGAGATCTTGTCCAGGAGGTCTTGCCAGGAGACCTCTTATGGAGACCTTGTGCAGAGACATTGCTTATCTGTTGCACAGATCTTGCCAACAGAGCTCTTATAGAGTCATAGAGATCTCGTACAGAGATCTTGCCAGGAGACCTCTTTTGGAGATCTGGTACAGAGATCTGGTGAAGAGAGCAGAGGTCTTGCCCGGAGATCATTGATAGATAGCTTGAACAGAGATCTTACTTTGAGATCCCTTTCAAAGATCTTCTGTGGAGATCTCCTATTGACACCTTGGACAAATAACCTTACACAGGGATCTTGCACAGCAGCTTCTACAGAGAACCTGTCAAGGAGATCTTGCGCACGATCGTCTACAGAAATCTTCACAAAGGGAACTTGCAGAATCTTACCTGGTATCTCTTCTTTTCACTAGTAGGCTCGCTCTTGTCCTGATAGCTTGCAGCCACTGATGCTTTTAGGTCGTTTCCGCCTTACCCTTTCGAATCCTAAAGGCGCACTGTTTCGGGTCTCTTGCCGGGATCATGTTTCTAGCGTTTTCATAGTCGGCTTTGCCACTCTGTATTGTACTTGAGGCTGAGGGGCCTGCAATCTTCAGGGGCCGAAAATGAAGCATAGTCATCGGGAATTGATTCATGCACTGTGCATCATTGCCTCAACCAACTCTTAAGGGGAACAACGATTCATTCCCACTTCCAGCAGCTTCATGAAGTGGCAAAACCAATTACCAATAGGATATATTGTTTACAACACTTACAGGGAACAAACCTTAGCTATATATATATATATGGTTCTGTATGGTTTATATACTAGCTATCATTTTTTAAACCACGTTTCTTACCTTCCAAAATCTGTCAATATCTTTCGATATCTTCAACATCTTCCAACCACTTTCAACACCCCAAGGTAGTTCGTCACCTTTCGGCCGTACCAAACTCTTCCAGTCCAACCTGCTTGAAGGAATACTTAGAAACTGCACCTGACATTGCTGGACCGATGGAGCGAGCCATTCACCAGTCACCAACATGTTCCACAAATGCGGTGAATGGCTGATCTTCTTCCAGAATTATTCAGGGTTGGATAAAAGGACATATGGAGGTTTCCTGAAATGGAGGTACCCCAAAATGGATGGTTTGTAATGGAAAATCCGACTAAAATGGATGATTTGGGGGTAGCCTTATTTTAGGAAACCACCATATAGGGACATCGTCGTGCAGAAAAAAAACTGAATTGACTGGTTGGCTTTCCTGACCTTTCCTTCGATATTTCCCTTGAACGCAGCCAATGAGAGACTACTTGAAAGTTTCAAGCTATCCCCAAACGACTGTGGTCAATTTAGCCAATGAAACTTGGAAAATAATTCTGACTTGAAACCAGCTGCTATAATTCGGCGATCTTAATGGAGCAAATGATGAACGATGGGATTTAGGGTTGCCATTTTTTCAATCAAATCCATACAGAGAACGAGGAGATCAATACAAATCATACCTATTGAAAGCATGGCAAATCTTGGATCTGGCAGCACAGGTAGTTTTTTTTGGCCAGGAACCATACTCCCTCAGCTATCCATGGTTAGAGCAGGCTTACCCGCAAGACAAACAAGCGTCCACCAATGAAGCCCTGATAACCAAGCAAACTTAGATTTCGGGGCTCAAATCAAGAATGATGAAAGTCAGCTCTCCTATACTAGTCACTAGCCTCTGGCAAAATCCACAATAACAATGTCTTTAACTTGCTTTCTTTACCTTCCAGCCCTAAAATATCGTAAATAATCATAAAGATCTAGTTGAATATGTTAAAATATATTAAATATCATAGAGATCTAGTATCGTCTAGTTAATCTAGTTATTTTTGATGTTTTTTTTTGACTGTATCACAACTTTGTCCTTTTTGCGGAGTGATCTTCCCATCTTCCCGGGATCCAGCGCACCATCCGTGGGACTTGCTGGGGGTATATGATCTCCTTCGAAGGTCCAATCGCGACCTGTCAAAATATACCAAAAGGACCAAAAGAAGAAGGAAACGTTATGCAAATGTGGTGACTTACTCTACCATTTCCCCTTTACTTGAAAAATAGGATGTCACTATATAAATTATATAATTCTACATATATATATATTATAACTTGATGTTCTGGCCCCCATTGCTATTGCAGTATTATAACAACATAAATTCGCAAACATATACATAAGTAAAACATAAACGCAACACAATCCAGTCGCAAAATACGTTAATGTGTCACATGTGTTTCGCATATGTTTCACATATGTTTCACATACGGCTCACATATGTTTTCACTTGCGCTGCACATACTCTTCACATACGCATCACATACGTTCCACCAACGTAAATGTGTATGTTTCATATGAGTTTTACATATGTTTTGCATGCGCGGCCACTTAGGATATGTATACGCACCCCCTCGTCAGGCTCTTATAGACGGAAGCCCTGGAGGCTTTTGAGATTCAGCTAACCCAAGATCAACTTTTTCCTGGTTGGTGGTTTCAACCCCTCTGAAAAATATTAATTAGTCAGTTTCCACTTTCCCGTTGGCTGCCGCGGTCACGCACGGCGATGATCAGAGCCTGCTTGGCGTGCTCTGCTCACCTACTGAAAAATATTAGTCAGTTGGGTACTGAAAACTATTAGTCAGTTGGGATCATGAAATTCCCAATATATATATATATGGGAAAAAACATGTTCCAGTCACCACCAACCAGTTTCTTTCCGTATGGTTTTTCCATCTCCCAGTGGCCCCAGTGGTCCATCGCAGTCCACCACGGTCCACCGCGTCAGCCCCGCGTACGTTGATCGGGACTGGCCGGGCTGGGCTTGGCAGCATCTTCGCTGCCAATGCCGTCCTGAGGATAGCTGGTGATCATAACTCCAATTTCAACTATAATTATAGTTTTTGTCAGGTTAATAACTCCAATTTCACGATTGGGTTTGCGATACAATATTCATGGGGTTTAGGATATTTCCAGATTTCCCCAGCTAGACATGTTTGATACAATCCATGTTTGTCATGGTAGATAAAAACTAATTATTGTTTGTCAGGTTCATTAATAACACATAATAACTCCAATTTCACTATGGTTTTTGGTAGGTAGATAAAACTTTATATATAATTATACAGTTCATGGGGTGAAACTAAACCAACAAACATCACTGGGGATAACGAACTAGTTCATGTGGTGAAACTAAACCAACAAACATCACTGGGCACCACATTGTATAGTTGTCCTTTAAGTTGGTGTATTCAGCCTTTTCTTCTCCATATTTAAGAAGAACTTAGATATAAATTTCAATAATGTTCGGGGATCTGCTCAGTTTTGACACAGAAACATGTGATTTCGCTTCATGTTGGGTTTACAGGAGGGTTTGGGACTGTCAACCCCACTCAGGTATATAATGAGTGGTTGATGACTTTGAGTAGCAAGTCTTCATTCATGATTAAAGCTACGTAAACCACTGGATTACAAACAACCACCAAAATCCACCAACTCATTCACAAGTTTAACCGAAGCCAATCCCATCCGCTCCATGGCAATATATATATATAGTATATTTATATAGAGAGAGAGAAAGAGAAAGAGAGAGACCAACATGTTTACCAAGAGTTACCCAAATCTATAGGTGAATATACCTGGGGGGCAGTTCCAGTTATAATATGTTATAATAGTTATAAGTGGTATTACCCTAGTAATATCCATTAAGAACCCCTGCCCCATATACCAGCACCATGGAGTCCATGGAGTCCCCTCCGCAGCCTTGTCCGAATCGGTCATGGCTTGCCTCTCAGGGCTCGTCGGGTAGCTGAGCGAATACGGATCCTGTTGACGGGCAGGAGGGATCTCTTGCGGGTGAAACGTGTTGAAACTATGGATTTCGACATCAATTACATGTACCCTCAGTAAACCAAGATAGCGAAATTCACCATGTATAAGAGGTAAATCAACTACAAAGGGACATGCTCGATGGCTACGTCAAATTACCAGAGAGTAGATGTTGTTGTCCTTAAGCCAAGTCTGGGATTGATGATGTTGTCCACTAAGATCATATATCAAATGCACCGAAGTCTTGGGACGCAAAGGAATCGATCCAATACTGTTCAATGCTGGTGGGAAGGGATGATTTTTGTTGGTTCCAAATCATCTTTCAGGCGGGCTTTTTTGGAGACTTCTGCCTTTCATGTGTGAAGCGTTGCCCCCCAGCCAGAAGAGACAGCCAAAACAGATTAAAAAAAAACAGTAGTTCTGGGGTAATTTTACATCATCCCAACTAGAACTATACCCAATAAATCCCAATCATGACTCCGCAAACTCAGAAAAATCACAGCGGCACAGGTAAAGCATTGGATCCATTGATTTCGAAGGAGGTACGTCATTGTGTCAGGTCATGACTTGAAAGGATGGGAGAGGGGGATTCCTGACGCTTGTAGAGATGACCCCAGACGTCACTGAAAGTAACCCAGATGCAAAGTAGAAGTCACAAGAAGATAAGAGTGAAACATAGAATATTTGAAAGTACACTATGTTCACTACATATGTACTATTTCTCACTATCTATCATTATCTATCTAATGTTCCATATTTTATTTAAAAAAACAAAGAGATAGAATAGTGAAATCACTGAAATCCAACCAAAATAGTCATATAGACGATTATTAGGAATATTTATATTTGACATATTCATATGTTTCAAGAGAAACTATAGATTCCGCAATTAGTGAATTTTCCATTGGAACAATAAACACGCATTATCCTCATCATGACCCATAAATAGGATCTGTAAAACATCTATAAAAGGACCATTTCCATCCAATTTCATCATTTGCCATAGCAAACTGTTCGTCATTACCAGAGGGTAATCTGATTCTTGACCGCCCAGCGGAGCTTTTGCAGCTGCCCCACTGACGGACATCGAAAAACGTCGATCAGCTGCCTACGGCAGCCGACGCGTTGCCAACTCGGCACGGCTAAGGTCCAGCGGCCCCCGGGGCAGCCGTCGGCGCGACTGGCCCAAAACGATGGTAAATGATGGTCAAAATCCCTAAGATACTGCCATCATAGCGGTAAATGATGGTAAATCCTGGTATTTTTTTTTTCGGCGAAGTAAAACATTGGAAGGTAAATGATGCTGCGCGCCCCACTGATCCCCAACATTTTGCCGGCGCCAGTCAGTAGAATGATGAAACCGTGGGTTGCATATGGTTGCATCCCCTAAATTTAGCATGGGATGGAAAATGAGGTTCCTAAGATTCCTAAGGGATTTGGTAATTTTTGGGATCCATATTCAATCCACCGGGGTGTAAAATTAATTGTCCAGGCTCTTATTCTGAGTATTTGTGGATGGGGTTTTGGTTGGTTCTGCAAGTCACGTCCACATGGCCGCACTTACAGCAAATCGCAAACATCAATGGCCATTTCAGGGACTTAAAATGGAGGTACTGTACCATATAAGGCCATATGTTCTAGGGATATCCCCTTACATAGGCCTTACATAGACCTTATATATGGTAGGTACCTCCAATTTAGGTCCCTGCAATGGCCATTGGTTAGCTGTTTAGTACGGTAAACAAAGCCATCTACTAAATCCAAAATGCCAAACGTAGGAAACTTCCAGTTGCCTTAGCCAGTCTGGCTATCAGCCAAGCCCCCCTGGTGAACACTGAACATTAACATCAAAACAGCTGGCAAATGGATGTTCATCCACCCCCCCAAAAAAAGTATTTATATGTATTCATAGTGATCCATATGCCAAATAAATCAAATAATCTAGCCTTGGGCCTTCTGGCACCAGCCGGGCAATCTGCTCAAAGAATTTTCCAGCGAACTACTTGTGCAGTCGAGCATCCTGTGCATCGCGGCAGCTCAGCATCTGGTGGTTTCATCCCACAATCGGTTGAACTTTGGATGAACTTTGGCAAAAATCTTCGAAACCACCAAGCAGTCCAATAAGTCATACCGAATCATAGGTTTGTTGACAAAAGAAACATGAAAGCACGAACCAAGGAGTTGTATATTGCACTTTGAAACATGAGAGCTAAATTAAGCTCAAGCGAAATCATCTTCATCTAGTGGCTTTCCCCTTGCACTTCTAAGCGGCCCACGAACAAAAATGACCCGCCCTCGCAGGGTGTGACAGCATGGTAGCAGCATCAGCGACAGTCTGGTCAGGTGTAATGAAGCCCTACACGGACCAGATTTGGATGGCACAAATGGGTTTCCTACTATAGTCTAATATGGGGGTTTCCAATTTCTGGGGGATCCCCCAGCTGGATGGTTAAAAAAAAAGAAAATCCCCAATCTCAAATGGATGATTTAGGGGTACCCTTATTTCAGGAAATGCCGATATATATACTCTTTCTTCTTTTGGAAAAGTAGCTGCATTGCTGCATTACCCTCGCAGGTTTGTGCGAACTGAACAAACAACACTCTGGACCCCAGCGGGTGCATGCGGGTGCTGTACTTTATTTTGAAACTTCCTGGTTTGCCAATTAAAATGCAATCAAACCATGATTCTTGAAAGAACTGCTCTGAATCCGACCCAGGCTGGCAAAATGTGCAACCACGCTCTGTGCTCAAATATTTGGGCTTGCTCAAACGCTGGAGCGTCAGCGGCGCTGTTTCAAACACATCTCCGAACACATCTTGCTCTAACACTTCAAACACATCGTTCAAAACATATTGTACTCAAACCCTTGTGTGATCTCATGGTTTCCCTAGTAATCCCTAAGAAATGTGTTTTTGTTGATCGAATTGTCTTTGCTCTTTTTGGACCTGCGGCTGAAATTAGGCTGAAGCTGTGTATGGACCCCAGCGGTGCCGCAACTTTGGTGCGGCCCTTTTTCAATTTTTGTTATGGTTTATAATCCCATTAACTGTAGATATATCATCTATAAACCATAGTTATTGGAGTTATAAACCAACTTAGCTATCTAGGGGGCCCCACTTTGTTGTGTTATGGCTACAAACTGAGTGTTTTTTCTTTTGCTTTTTGTTTTGTCCCAAGTTTCCGAAGACCCAACGACTTCAAGGAAAGGCAACTCCGCAAGTGGCTTCGCCCGAAGTGGCTATGCCCGCCCAAGGGCAGGGTGTTGGGGTCTGGATGGCCCTTAGGGTCCAACGCTGACTCCAAACTTCAAAATTTGGGAGCTGGGATGAAGGATAGCTTCGGAGAGCGACAATGGGACACTTCAATAAATGGGAAGCTGCTGAACTTATCAAAATAAGTGCCAAGTTTCACTTCAAATTCTGAACTTGGTATTACTTACATGGAGTGAAGTATGGACCGTAGCACTGTAGCGTGGAACACATGCAGTAAAAACAACCGCACTGTTCTCATTCCATTAAAAAAGTGAGTTCCGTTGAAGAAAATCTTGAAACCAGTTCTGGTAGTTCTGGTGGTATTTACGCCCGACATGATTCACCTATTTCTCTCTCCATCGCCATCCCGAAGGTCCACCTGTTTGAAACTTCAGTTTTTTGATTGTTATCGTGTCATGTTCGCAAATCCCCAATGCATCCGAATAAACATTCTCCAGTGACCAGCAATGTCCAGCTATAGCCCACCAATAACTCCCCATCCTTTATTCTTTATCTCCTCCAAACACCTCTGACATCCCCTACCCCAGTATAGACAATAGCGACAGTCGCTCCAAGTGAGCGAAAGGTGCGGTGATCAAACGACGCTTTGCGTCAACCAAATGGGATGCCCTTCTGGTTTCACCAAGTTGTCCTTAGTGGATTGGTCCAAGACACGCAGCGTGGGGTTCACCAAACTGACATATCTTCACTGCTTCATTGCAGTTAGACCAGAATCTACTCAAAGATCCAGAGCTTACTTGCCAACATTCCCGCTGTTCATATCATTCTCTTGGGGAATTGCCCGCGATTATCCACTATCAGCCTCCAAAACATGCGGTATATTTCGCTTGCTACCAATCCCTTCCCCATGAATAAATACATGAAAAATAGCCTAACAATTCCTCAAAAAAAACCGTGGCTAGACTCCTAGACTTTAGTACAGGATGGGGCCCCAGTTGTTGGTTTATAACCCCATCTTGCCCCATGGGATGAGAGAAAATTCATGGATCCCACGAAGACCCAACCCTCCGCCGAGTTCAACGGAGCTAGCAAGGTATACCAGTATAGTATATATATATATACAATTATATAATATTATATACATTGTATTTTTTTTAAAGCATAAATTACCAGAAACATGGGGAACTTCCAGTTCGCAAACTGTTTGTCAACTCGATGCTACCATCTGGTTCTGGAAACATAACTATGGACCATGGCCCATTTATAGATGATTTATCATGATTTACCTATCATGAATGGTGATTTTCCAGTTCGCTACAAGTAAAATAACCAGAGGGTAAGCCTCAGCATTTTCCCAGCAAGGGGCGATGACAAAATACTCCACTGCGGCGTGGTGGAAAAAACGCAGGGTGACATAAGGCGTCACCCCGAGGCAAAAAGCGTAACTCCTCAGGCTTTGGTGCAGGCTTTTAGTTGGCCATAGTTGCCCACTTTGTGGGGAAGAATCCCCCATGAACCAGCAGCATAGATATAACCCCCAGAGAAAGATTTTGGGACCCTGCTTAAACGAGGTTATAAATACTTTAAAGGATGTCTATTCTGTCTATTCTAGATAAATGGGGGGATGAAACTGACCCTGCTAGTTATACATGCCCATCACTATGCAGAGAGAATGCTTTGTCACCTTCACAAGGGTCAATGAAACTCTTTTCAATGATGCAAAAAAAGTGAAGAAATCAAACATAAAGTCAGGGACTGTCCCAGGTCAAACCATCGCCATTTTCGGCCGTCTATCAACGTAGCAACCCAAAAAAGGGCCTCAAAAGAAAACAAAATATCATGGCGAATCGTAGATACTCATTTCCCCAAGCACAAAAATATCATCAAACATGGCTACAATGTGTTTTTTTCCTCCAGTGATGT